AACTGTAAATTGGGAATTTCCCCTTGTGGAATTAATAAAGGAGTATTTTATCTTACAACACAAACTGGAGCAAATTGTAGAGAGCTGTTGTGGGCTTTTCCATGCTTCAATTTCAGTGATATTTGCTTCGTGAACCATACCATGAGTGGGAGGAGGGAGCAAATGATGTACAATTTTTGATCAGGTTCCCTGTATGTACACTTTAATTAATTACTTTTATTACACCACATGGTTGAAAAAAAACAATTTTTTACTAACTTAAAATGTCATGGCACTACCAGTTGTTAAAGTCTATGTGACTTTTCCCTTTGCATTTTTACATTAAAAAAGAAGAGAAAAAACACATAACAAGTAAAGTGAACATAAGCTGTATATACTGTATATACCACTTTAAGTCCCACTCTTTTCATGTTTTTCTTTCTTTTATTTTTTTACTATAATGTTTTCAGTGGTCTTTAAATTGTGATTTTAGCCAAAATTACGTTACCTGTGTCATTTTCAAGGGTTTTTCTTCTTCAGAGCTCCAGTAGCTCATTGGCAATTCGCCTCTGAGTTGTGGGCGGAGACAGCGCTACTCTGCACACTCCTCTTCATGCTAGCCTGCAGCCTAACATTGCCGGTGTAGTAGAAGAAGAAGGTAATACAGGAGCTACTAACAGAAAATCCACTTATGAAGGTGAGATCGTGACACAGAATTAGCTTTCTTACAAAGATTGCAATCCGCTAACACACACACTTGGTCTGCGATCGTCCTCTCTACTTCTCTGAGTCTGGCCTGCAAAGCGTGGCCTTGGGGGCAGAGCATGGACTTGTGACATAGAAAATCCCAATGTGTCCGACCCCCCCAATTTCCACCGCTTCCAGAACAGCTATGAAAAGGCCTTATTTTCCTATCGCAGCTTATTGTTACCATTCAGGTTAATGTGTCAATTTCCACAGGCTTCTTTCTGTTCGCCGGACTCTGGAACTGATCGCAGGAGTTCTATTTTTTCCAGACGCCGCAGTATGCAGCATAGATTTCGCACAGATTAGTCCGTGTTGGAACGTAACTTGGGTACAGACACAAAATAAACCATCCTGGCTTCTTTTCAAAATAAAACACTTTGGACCTGATCTACTAAGATCCAAAATAGCGAGCGCTAAATTGCGTGCACAAACTAAAAAATTGCACGTGCTATTAGTGGGTATGTTGCGGGTGATCTACTATCACTGCATGCGCTATCGGCTGTCACCATGGAGAGTTTGTGAGAGCAGAATGGTTTTGCTTATTTGACAGATGCAATCCTCGGTGCACCCAGTTAGTAGATCAGGTTCTAGTGTGCACCTGTTTTTGCACATGCAAACCTTTAGCAGATCAGGCCCTATGTGTTTCAGGCGGATTGTATTTCACACCATGCAAACGGGCGGGGACAAAAAAGTGAAAGGTTTTTAGAAAGCATTTCACCCCGATGACACCATGGATGAGGGGTTGCTGATTCTAGAAGTCAAGAAGTGGATTTCCTCCTCTGGAAGGACACAATCTACTGCTTATATGGTTATGTGGCTGTCTTTATGGAGACAACGGGCTCTATTTTCGTGCCTCGCCGGGGTTGTGCCGCAGGTGCGGCGTAAGTCAAGTCTGCCGCGTCGACAAGGCGTTTCCAAGCACAATTTGGTATTTTGGTGAGCGGTGCAGCCCGGTGTAAGTATCCTCCCTCCCTAACTCAGCTCCTCCCAGCGGTGTAAGTTGTAGCGAGGGAGGAGAGAGGGCGTGGAGTGAGTTTAACACAGCCAAGACCTGTATTGATCAATAAACGGGCTCCTCTCCTCACCTTTAAATCCACCACAGGCAAGGCGCATAACTATTTTTGTGAAGTAGTCAAAGAGATCAAGAGATATCTGAAAACAGTAATGCCACACAATGGCGACAGAAGGCAGCTCCTCAACAAGTGTCGCTGTCACTGTCAATGTCAATGTCAATTTTATTTGTATAGCACATTTAAACAGCCAGTGGCCTACCAAAGTGCTTTACAATAACGAAGCAGAAGCAATAAAAGCAAGTCATACACAACAAACAGCAGCAACAAAAGACATGTAACATATAAATGAAAATAAAAACAAATATATAGCCAATACAAGTATCATACTCCATCAAAAGCTAAGGTGAACAAGTGCGTCTTCAGTTGAGTTTTAAAAGTAGAGAGACTATTTGCAGCGCTCACACTTCGGGGTAGTGCATTCCACAAAGTGGGAGCTGTAACCGCAAACGCTCGCTCCCCTCTGGATTTTAAAAACGAACGAGGCACGTCTAAAACGACTCTGTCAGCAGACCTAAGGGCTCTGGAGGGTTGGTGTAGCTTAACCAGGTCAGCCAGGTACTCCGGGGCCAGCCCATTCAGAGATTTAAAAACAAATAAAAGAATCTTAAAAACGATCCTGTGCCTAACTGGAAGCCAGTGTAGAGAAGAGAGCACTGGAGTTATGTGCTCACGCTTCTTGGTACCACAAAGGAGGCGAGCTGCCGCGTTCTGCACGAGCTGCAGGCGGTTGAGCTCAGACTGGTCAATTCCAAAGTAAAGGGAATTGCAGTAATCCAAGCGAGACGTAATAAAAGAATGGATAACTGTTTCCAGGTCTCTCTGGTTGAGATACGGTTTAATCCTTGCCAAAAGCCTCAGCTGGAAGAAGCTGGACTTGACCACAGCACTGACCTGCTTGTCCAGTTTGAAGGCACCATCAATAATATTCCCAAGATTCCTGGCATGGGATTTTACGTACAGTGCTAATGGGTCAAGGGAGCTGGCAAGGACCTGAACCAGGTCGGGACGGCCGAATAGGATAACCTCTGTTTTATTTTCATTTAGTTTTAACAAGTTTAGGTCCATCCATGTTTTAATGTCTTTCATGCAGTTAAACACAGCCTGGAGCGAGTCTTTAGTAGGTGCCTTCACTGGCTAATACACCTGTACATCATCTGCAAAACAATGAAAGGGGATACCGTGCTTCCTAAAAATGGACCCCAGCGGTAGCATGTAGAGGGAGAACAGTAAAGGGCCCAGGACTGACCCCTAGGGAACACTGCATGTCAGAGGGGCAACGGAGGAAGAAAACTGTCCCATGTGAACAGAGAAGGATCTCCCAGAGAGGTAAGATTTGAACCAGCTTAGGGCAGTCCCTTTTATGCCTACACAGTGTTCCAGGCGAGATAGGAGGATTGAATGATCCACTGTATCAAATGCCGCTGTTAGGTCTAGGAGAAATAAAATGACACAGTTTCCAGAGTCCAGTTTTAACAAAAGATCATTAAAAACCTTTAAAAGAGCAGTTTCAGTGCTGTGAAGAGACTTAAAACCAGACTGAAACAATTCGGAAACATTGGCCCTCTGTAAAAACTCTTGGAGTTGGTTAAAAACGACTTTCTCTAAAACCTTGGAAATAAAAGGAAGTTTAGAAATAGGCCTAAAATTAGATAAAATCAAGGGATCCAGATTTTTCTTTTTCAGGAGGGGCTGCACCATGGCATGTTTGAAAGAAGATGGAACACACCCAGAGCTGAGACACTGATTTAAAAGAAGTAAAATAAAAGACTGAACTGAGGTAAAAACTTCCTTAAACAAACGGGATGGAATGCTGTCAGAGGGGCAGTTAGCAGGACGTAAGTGTTCCACTATCTCAGTGATTGCGGAGAGAATAACAGGCTCAAACTGTTGAAAGACCGCAGAGCCTGCTGAAGGAACTGAGGGATCCTGAGCAGAAAGAGAGAGTGGGGACCTAAGAACAGCAATCTTATTAATAAAAAACTGCAGGAAATCCTCACACAGCAATGAAGAGGGCTCAACACAAGCAGCATCGCACGGATTGACAAGAGCATCGAATACATTAACAAGAACCTGTGGTTTGTGAGCATTAGCCGAAACAAGTGTGGAGAAATAATCAGCCTTTGCAGCTTTCACTGCATGCTGATAGGTTCGGAGACAGTCATGAAGGAGATCCCAATTAATTTGTAGCCTGTTCTTCTTCCACTTTCTTTCGGCCTGCCTGCATGCGCGTCTGAGCGCACGGGTGGACTCATTCAGCCAAGGCTCAGTCTGTGGCTTCACACGCCTCAGAGACATGGGAGCAATAGAGTCCAAAATCTCATTACAAACTGAATCAAACATAGACATGCAGGCATCAACACTACGATCGCCAAGATCATCCAGAGAATATAGGAAAGAGTCTTTAAAAGCAGCGGAGAACTGCGAGGGAGTTGAAGAGTTAAAAGCACGAACACGGCGGACGGGGGCGGAGTTTGTGGTTGAGACAACAGGTATTGCGAGGGAAAACAAAACAGGATGATGGTCGGACACGGGTGTATGACAGATTTCGGTTATCTGTACATCTAATCCATAAGTCAATACAAGATCCAATATATGGCCCTTGTCATGTGTCGGCTCCGAAACGGACTGTGTGAGATTAAAAGAGTCGATGAGATTGAGGAAGTCTCTGACCAGAGGCCTGGTCTCACAACAGACATGCACGTTAAAATCGCAGACAATTAAAAAGTGGTCATAATTAAGAGTGGCACCCGACATGAAGTCAGCAAAATCCTGAATAAAATCTTTGTTAAATTTCGGTGGACGATAGACAACCGCACAGAGAACAGTCACAGAGAAGTTTACCTCGAGGAGTTGGAGCTCAAAGGTGCTGCGATTAACAGCTGGAGGCTGCCGGCAGTGAAAGGTGGATTTGAATACGGATGCTAATCCTCCACCTTTGCCGGTGATGCGGGGGGAGCTGAAGAAGCTATATCCAGGGGGAAGGGGCTCCGAAAAAGGGGCAAGTTCACCTTCCCGGAGCCAGGTTTCCGTAGGGAACATAAAATCCAATTTCCGTGAGGTAAAGAAATCGTTGATTAGGAAAGTTTTGTTTGTGACAGATCTCACATTCCACAAAGCCAAGTGAAGATTAGTAGTATCAGATGAAGACGGAGCACGCTTCAGTGAACGGAGATACCAAAGGTTCACGGAGATACCGAAGGTTCACACCGCGTCTCCCGGTAGGAACACGCCAGCTGGAGGGATGCAGCAACTTAGCTGATCGGGGGCCAGCGAACAGCTGACGCTGTCAAAGCCGCCGATGTCTGGGAACACCGGTCGGATCCAACAGCCTCTCGTCCTCATCGGAACATCAAGAAGGTGCAGGTCTCTGCAGCGATCAGACAGACGTAACGACCTCAGGTGGGGCTTGAGCCGGACCCGGAGGCCTCCGCGTTTCCCACGTCTTCTCCTGCGTCGTCTCAGGGGGACAAGATGGAGGGGAGGGTGCCTAAGAAACGCCGGGATTTCCTCGAGGCATGGAGGAGAACTAATCAACTTGTCATAAGTGAACCGATCGAAGTAACCTCCGATCTCAAGCAGAGTTTGACGGTCATATACAACGAGAGCTGAAACATCTTGGCATAACAGGTAAATCACAAAACATACAGTAAACACAGAGCAGAGCGACAGACGGCCAGTCGAGCACCCTGGCGCCATCTTGGCAGCAATTGGCAGCTGTAAACGCTGCAGAAGGAGTCCTTCACACACTCTCATATGAGCACAGATGGATTTGGTGTGTGTAATGTTGGACCCACTGGTAAGACAAACACCCTCAAGACACTCACATAAAGTTGCACATATTCAAACCTCATGTGACAAAAGTGGGTTGTGCGCAGAGATCACATCATAAACTCAAAAAATGGCATTAAAATCGGAACCATCTTTGCGTAATGACGCATCGCGCTCCGTTGCCTGGCTTGTTCTTTCATAGATGTTGGCATAAAAATTAATTTTGGCTCACAAAACTGAATATTATGATATTCATACGTCGGCTTAAAGTAAATAACTCATCTGGGGCCTCATGTATCAACGCTGGCGGCGCAAGAAAACCTTGCGTTCGCCAAGATTGGCACACACGTCCAGATTTATCATCGCGACACGGAAGCGCCGCGGCTGGTGGACACTCCACCGCTTGTCGGCGCGCTGGTGCTGATGCTGATGCTGGTGCTGATGCTGGTGCTGATGCTGGTGCTGGTGCTGGGGCCGGGGGACTCCGAGCCGGCGGACGGGCTGCCGCGGGCCGGGGTTCCGCAAGCCGGCGACACGGCCGACATTGATTTCTGTGACACAATAAAAATATTGGTTCATTTCAATTCCTGCTTCTGTGTATCTGTTGCGTTTACATCTCTCTCCATGGTATCATAGGTAAAGTAATCCAGTATTTAGAGGTCAGTTATGCACATTACAGTTGTTTATTGCATAAAAAGTTATCGAAAAATGAAGTTAAGGGCGAAGTATAAATCACGTCTAAAAATAGACTGAATCCTGACGTTGAAATGAAGTATAAACTTAGAGTAGACGTCTAATATACGTCTTTTGCTCAGTGGGATGGCAAAGCATGTGAACATTTGTGTGACACGCCACTTACCCTATAATAATAATCGCCACCACCCGCTGCTCAAACGGCGTGAGGGTCTCCTCCCCCGGAACCCCACCTGTCTGGCCAGTACTCCTCCAGAGGGCAGCTGTACGCCGCTTGACCTCCACCTTGAGGTCCGACCACTTTTTTTTTTATCTCCGCGGGGGTGCGTGTCTCGGAACCCACCGCGTTCACCCTCTGGCAAACTTTCTCCCACTCCAAGCGTTTTCGTTTTGCATGAGCCCGGTCACTCCGAAATCTGCGCTCAATTCCAAGCTGAGATGGATTTATCAAGGAAACACACGTGGCTTTCGGCGCCCGCACACCTTGATACATACTGATTTTTTTCAGCGTGACGGACCTTGCGTGCGCTCCTTTCTGGTATGAGTCCCACGCAAGTGTTGATACATGAGGCCCCTGATCACTGAAACAAACCATCAGTTCAGCCGCTGCAGCAACAGCTGCAGCAGGGCGGGGAGAGGACACGGAGACATGTCAAGGTCGAGCTGCGTGAGAAATAAGAGGAAGAGGAAGAAAGAATAGGAGGGAGGCAAATTACATATCTTGTTCACTTCATCATGTGTGTCTATTAACAAGATATTTAATTTTATTTAATGTGGTTTCAGCTGTGTTAATTCGGTCAGGTTGTGTGTCCAAACACGTGCCAAACGCGCTCATCAGATCAGATATAGATCAGAATATATCTATATAGATCTAAATGTATGTGCTGACACAGATTATTAGTTGTTGATGATTATTTATTGCACTGAAATGTGCCTGACACTGCGGAAACCTGCCGGTAATACCACTAGACCAGCTGCACTCCGCCTGCGCTGAAAGCTGACCAGGTTTGAATCGGCGAGCTTTCAGCGCACTTTATACGCCACTGGTGGGCACGAAAATGTCACTGCGCCAGCTGATTCTGTTGACACCTCCCTCTGCCACGCCACCACACCCAGCTTGGCGGATCTCGGTGCACCTCAGTCCACAAAAATACCAAACTGGCTGTATCCCGGGCTCCACCAGATGAAAATACAACTGCACGGCCTCACCGGCGAACACGAAAATAGAGCCTAACGTGTTATTGCATGAAAATCTGCAAGTTCTTGTGAGTCCCTGCGATTTCAGCTGTACGTCATCTGCCGCAAAAATTCACCTCACAAACGGACCCGGTAGGAATTGGCGGACGCCAAAAATCGCTGCTGGTCTGGATCAGAGCCGTTCCGGGTGTGGTGAAAATGGGGGGTTAAGCTGCTGTTTGGATCTGTGAGAGGTTCACAGCAACTTGAATGCAGAAATAGTCAGAAATGCAAATTTGCACTTAGTTTTCTCATATGTCCTGTAGCATCAGAAAAAAATGTCATGTGAACATAATAGACAACAAGAATAACATGATTTTCATTGAAGTAGGTCTTTAGAGCGGTACCACAGTATGTGTCACAGCCACACACATTCACACCACGTTTATATACTGATGCTCCAAAACTTAACCATCTCATTCACACACCACTTGCCACTGGAAGCAATTTCAGGTTCAGTGTCTCGCCCAAGGACATATCTGCATGAGGACATCATATGGCAGCTGTGTCTCAGTGGTTACAGATTTACAAGCAATGACTAAAAACAATAATGCATCACTGTGAATAAAATGACAACATAGATTGAGATTTAGAAGCTACTGGTAAACAAATGCTGGTTGGCTGATGGAACATGGAACACTGCTGCACACTGAAATGACTGTGACTTTATCATGAGCAAAGTAGACATTTCACTCATACCAGGTCAGGTGGGAACAGACATCCTGCTGCTTCAGGTGGGACAACCAAACCTTGATAAATCATCTGACAGACAACATCACCTAAGTCTGAGGAAGAATGAAGGAAGGTATGAAGGTTAAGAGAAATTACACTGCTAGAGTAACAAAAAATGTTCAAACTATTTCACGGTTAATTTGAATTGTATTGCCTGGACTCACAAACTGCTGCTGCTACCAGTTTAATTTAGCTTAAAGCTGTATTTTTGTACACAAGTTCTTCAGTAATACCTCCTCCTTTTCTTCAGTCTTTGATCTGGACCCACCAGACGAAAGATGTTCACTATGTTCATAATTTCCTCTACTTTTTTAAACTCAAATTTCTGTTTTGGTTGTTCATTTTAAACTCTGCTTTATTTGTATCCTCCCATCTCCTCCTTCCTCCTCATAACCATTTGTACTTTTATCCATAGAACACATGAAGGACAAACAGCAGTTGCCACAGCACTGTTACATGTTTCCCCAGAGCAGGAGTATGCAATGCATTGTTTGCACATCTAACATTACGCACAGAGTTATGCACACCTGAAATAACCTGTATGCACAAACACACACTGGACCCTGACACGAGCAAGCGCCTTTATTGCTTCATTCATACATTTACTTAATCGGTATTTCCACTGGCTCAATGCTGATATTATGTGTGAGATTCTCTGAGCAGCTGACTGATGCAGCTGCCCCATAGTTACTGGCCCAGTATTCAGGATGCATAACAAGGATCAACACACTAATGCATGCAGACACATATGCAGGTGTAGAACAGGTGATTATCTGCGTTTGAAATGTTTTTTTATACAGTCTTTTTCTGCTTTATTCAAATGTATGTGTTTTTGGATTTGAGATGGCTAATGTGGTGGAGGTAGGTGTCATCTTGTCAGGTCTCTTGTGATTGTAGAAACCTGTGACAGGTGTTTGCTTGGCATCATTTAATGTCTAAGCGACAGATTTCTGTCTCTGCTCTCTGGAGCTGCTCACCATCGCCTCCTAAATCCCCTGACAGATTTTATGAGGATGACCTCCACACAAACACGCACATGCTCATGCACATAACACTGAGGTAATGTAACCCCTTCTGTGATAAGATCACATACAAACCTTTTAAACTGCGGTGCATGTAAATCCTCAGACATGTAACCACATGCATTATCATAAACGGAGCATTAAGTAATGGAGGCTAATTTATTTTCAATGCTCTGTAAAGACAGCAGAGAAGAAACCCACTGTCTTGTCTGCAGACATATTTATATCCACTCACACCTGCTCAACCCTGATAGGAAAATAGTTGACATTTATTACGGCCATAAAAGTGAATGCTTGTTGTCAAACAGATTGATGCGTCTCTTGTGCATCCAAGTGTCTTTTCCAGCAGCCATTTATCATTTCAATCCTGCCACCCATAGTTTCTCACTCTTAGTTTCATGACCACAACATGGATTCTGCTCTTGTCCTGGCTGAAACAGCAGCACTTTATTGGCTCCTGGAGTGGCTTCATATATTGACTTGCAACAAAGACAGGCTCTATTGTTTTCAAAGGGACTCTGACCTGTGAGGTCAAAAGGTCAGAGCAGTAAATACAGCAGCATAAAAGACCCCTCTGAGTGTCTCTGTCTGCAAAATCTCACTGTGCCCTGAGGCCAGCTCTGATTAGATAAGCAGCGAATGACAGCCGTAACAGAGTGTATGGAGCCACAGTAACAACAGGCTGAATTCAATGAAACTATAAGCTGTCCAGTGAGGTGGACTGTCCATGTATTATTTTGTGATTAGAATAAGCACAAAATTACCAATACTATGACCATGGTGCTTGATGGGTAATTTCACATCAAGCGAGCAGTTTTTAACCAGAGCACGTTAAAAATCTGGTCCATGTTTGCACATGATTACTATGAAAACAGTCCAGGTTACTAAGAGGTTGTTTTTAATCCCTGCTTTTAGAGTAGATTGCAAATAATAGAAGATTTAGCTGTCAACAGTGTCATTACACTAAGTTGCCTGTCTCATCTGGATATCACGATCAATGGCTGACATGAAAGACCACCATGATTCACCTCCCCTGCTGGGATGATTATGGGCTGGTAGTTATCTTTTAACAAATTTATTCAGAGGGGCAGTATGTTGAAATGTATCGGCCAGAGATGACTGGTTTTATTTTCTGCCATACCAGATGTGTCCTTCCCAAGCAAATGAGTAAAATATTATTTGAAAATTAATAGATAGTCTTTTGGCCCTGTAACTGACTGTCCTGGGTTTGCCTAACTGGATACACTTAAAATGAAAAGGACAAAGAGGACACCAATGTGGAGCTTTAGCCAAGGCTTAAACTTTATTGTGGAAAAACACATATGCACCGCCAACCAAATTACAGCAACAGCTTTCACTCCATCCCAGAGTATGGTAGCCTGTGTGGCTCAAAATAACATAAACATACCAAACTGAGGAAAATCAGTTACATCAAAGCCTGTATGTGGAAGATTAAGCCCCAGACAGGCTAAGTCTGATTTAACATGCATGATAATTTACTAGAGCAGTGTTGATAAATGTTAATACACACATGTATGGATGTATTATTACCAGGACATCCAAAGGAGAAATTGTTGTATTAATTCTGAAGAGTTGAGAGTGATGATGCTTATTAATGTAGACATAAAGGACCTCAAATGTGATAGAGGCATTTAATTCTTTGTGGTGTGTGAAATTGAAAAATGTTTTTCTGGCTAGTTGTAGTGAATAAGGCCTTCACTTTGTACTAGGATATGATGTTTTTTATTTCTCTGAGACAGAGAAAATTTGAAATATAGGCCTGCCTCTAATACAGGCTTGCTTCTTATAGAGGCCTGGTACCTTTGTTAATAAAAAAATGTGTAAGTCCTTGTCTTTATTTGAGGGTTGACAGTATTGACAATATCAGCTAAAATAAGAACGATACTCTGTTATTCAGGGGGAGGTGCATGGCATCTTAACTTGAATGTAAATGTTTATTTTTTTTCTTCTTATCAATACCTTACAATGTTTGACTGTGACATACTACCAAGCTCTTTAACCTGAGATCTTCTGTATGCTTCTGATGACAGCTGATTTCACTGAACTGAGGGCATTAAATCAGCTGCACTGTAGAACAAGAGCTGCTCTTGTGCATGTTTTTTTTTTGCTATTGTTTTTTTTTATTGTTGTTGTTTTTTTTTTCTTTTTGCCCTTCCATTTTGAATAAGCCTTTGTTATTTCCATAAATCATTAATACATGTGCACAGTGAATAAAACAAGAATTACTAAAATCTGTTTTCAGAGGTATTCCCTGTTCTCCTGAGAGACTCTGATCGAGGACTTTGGCCAAAAATGCCTTCACTGGCAGCTCTTTGGGAATATGCACAGCTGAGCTTGCTGAGAGCTTGTGTGTCCGCTGGCTAAGCCGGCTGACTTCATGTTCAATCCTCTGCACTCATGAATGAGCCAAAATAATTAACTAAGATGTCTTTTGTAGCTATTCAAAATATGATTTAGACCATTAGATCAATACAATATGATTAATTTTGTTTCATTCTGGAGTTCTGTGATTGACAGTTTTATAGCAGCATCTTTCCTGATGAATACACAAAATATTTCCTGGGTGTCACATGATTAACTTAGCAGCTGCAGTCACTGAGCAGATAATATGTTAGTTTGTTTTCCAGAACTGTTATGGTCAGGGGGATTTTTGAAACCAACAAACAATCTGGAACACTGTTGACCATAAAAAATAACTTGTTAATGTAAATAAATTGAGCAAAAAGAGATAGCATCAAGTAATACCATGATTATCAGGATATGAAACGCTGTTAGTCAACAGAATCAAACTTAAACTTCAATTATTTTTTAATCTTTTGAAAGCTTTTAGTCACTGATAGTGAGGGGACATCATCCTTTTCTGAAGACTTTACAGGGAGCCCCACAAGGCTCTGTTCTTGGTCCTCTTCTTGTGTTTGAGTAGATTTTCACCTGTGTGCTGATGATACAATGCTTTTTATGTCTGAGGAGATAATTACATAGTTCCATAAAGCTAAAGATCCTGTACAGTCAAAAGCAGCTTTTTTTTTTTTACATTAAATTTAACATTCAATATGCAAACGTCTCCCAGCCACAAACCTGTTAAGTTGAAAGATTGATGGACAAAACTTAAAAGCACATGAAAATGGTGAGCATGATGACAAAAACCAACTTGTACACCTTTGAGGTTTCTTTGATTCTGTAGACCGTTTTATGCTGCTAATGCTTTTAATGCACTCAATGATTTTTCCATATAAAAGCTGTTTGTGCAGTAAAAACTCTGCACATTATTGTCATGTTCCTGAACAATCTTAATAAGTTGAGTTCTGAGGACTTTTAAGAGGACACAGTCCTTAAGTCACATGACATTGAGCTCTTTGTCATACAGTGATGTTTTGTATGATTTTTGTCTGCTGTACTGTTATCTCTCTTTTGAAGATAGATTCCCTCTATCCTGTTTTTTGTGCATGTGCTTTTGGTCTAATGTTAAAGCAGGGGTGAGCTTATGCTGTTTGGGGGCAGGGGAGGAAAAAGGTCACTTACTGCAGGCCATGGGGCACCAGTACACAAAAGCTGCATTTCCCAAGGCTCTTGAAAATAAGGGTGAGCTGGTACAAATTTTAAAGTGGCAACCAAGTTGGTAGGTAGCCCCTGACCCGTGAATTTGACTGGAGTTTCAAACCTTTGGTACCTACTGTGTTGGATACATTTTAACATATTTCAGTAAAAGTAATTAGACAGGGATCTGAGCATCAAACTCTTCATTTCAACTTTTCTAATAAATGATATGCAACAAACCCCAAACTATTATAACATAATTTAAAAAAAAAAGTTAATCCCTGCATAAAGCTCCAATTCTAGTAAATTTAAACTGTTATCTTTCACATGATCATTTTATTATTTTAACTGATGGGGTCGTCAGGGTGTCTGAAAAAAAGGCAACTTTAAATGGACCACCTTGTTACCATTGGTTTGAGGGTGACTGGAGACAACAATTCAATCAGCAGTCTGTCAGCTGATTACAGCAGGGGGCGTCAGACTAAGGGGGAAATGGGAACACAAGGTCCTCAAGTTAAAGATAAAGCCAGTGAGTGGTCTGTGCGTGGCGCCATCCTGCATATTGGCTGTTACTGCAGAGGCAACTGGGTGTGTGCTGCTGACTCTAAATAAACTAGACAGCAGAGTGGATAACTGGATCAATTACTTCAGAGCAACCTGCATCTAAAATAATAGAAACAAACAAACAAAAAAACCCCGGATAATTCAGACGCTGTGTAAACTCTGCAGTCATGGCAAATTTTTGACCTGTGGTCGTTTGTCATAGTGGTCTTTGAGGCCAACAAAGACAAAATAATTACTTGATGTCAATGCTGGTAGGGCCCTTATGGATTTTATTTTTATATAGGACCCATGTTTTTGCTCCTGCATGTGACTCCTGTGTCCTGCATGAAATAGCATCAGTCTTTATCACTTTGACTGATGCAATCCTCTGCTTTTCTTTTTTACATTTCTTCTTATCATTCTCACTCACCCAGGCTCATGTCTAACCTCAAACATGTTTACAAAAACAAACAGAGATTAACTCGCCCTGCAATGTATTATGTCTGATAACTGGGCTGAGGCAAGATGCTCCAGGGATGATTGACACTGACCATGACATAATCCATTTCAAACAACAAATACATCTTAGACTTGAATAAATGTGCAGTGCTGGCTGCATGTGTATCTTTGTCAGCAGCTATGCACTGTGTCACAAGTCAGTTTGTGCACAGTCCCCTGTTGCATGGAAATAAATGGCACAGAGGTTAGAGCAGAGCGAAAGAAATAGATGGCACAGAGGTTAGAGTAGAGTAAAAGAGAGAGAGAGAGAGAGAGAGAGAAGGAGGCTAAACACATTTCCTGCATACCTCTCTTGCCCGTTACTCCACTCTCTCCCTCTTAGAGCTACTAAATGAGGACGGCTTGCACGCAGCGTAATTTCTCTCTCTCTCTCTCTCTCTCCCTTGTACGCTCTATCTCTCTCTTCCTCTCACGCTCTCTCAGTTAGCGGGGGAAATCTCCGTTAGCAGCTGTACTTTAATGTGGTCGTCTTTTTTCATCAGTATTTCATTTTTGACTTTTTGCTTTTTGAAATGATTTATCTGCCAGTTAAATCCCGTCTCCTCATGCTGCAGCTGACCTTAAGTGTTTGGGAGGTGTAAAAAACCTGGAGGTAATGGAAGAGAACTTTTAAAGCTGCTCTTAGGGCACCTTTTCGCCTCTATCTCTGTCAGTCACTCTGGATTGGATTGCTGCTCAGAGACCTGTCCACAATGAAAGGATTTTCCTGGTAGTGGATGACTCATTTGGTGTGTTTTCCCACTTGAGACCGTCGGATATAGATTTCTTGTCTTTTGTTCCACCTGCCTGTTTCACCTCTGAGGTACTCTATAAGACTCTGGGACTTTTATGGAGTGTGAAATTTTTGCAGAGCCTGTGAAATTTGGGAGAGCAAAGTAAAACAAAGCATGGCTGATGGAAAAACAGCAGAGTGTTGAACCTCTCTGTCCAGCGAGACAGCTCAGGTAAGAATATCAGGATTCATTTGCATGCACAGAGACATGAATGATGATGATCTTTAACCACCCATTAGCAGGCGTGTGATTGAAGATGCGGTGCTCTACCACGCATTTAATACAGGTCTATTAGTGGAAAGATACTATAAGGATTAATCTGATTGACTCCATTGCTGTATCTCTAATTGGGAACATGGAGGAGCAAATAAAGCTTGAACAAACAGATATAAATTTCAAATATGAGGCTGAATCAGTGTGATAAATTTGGATCTAAAGGTCAGCAAACATTTGCATCATTGTGCATTCATTCCTTGGAAAGAGGATTCATTTTGTCGATGTACCTCTGAGATCCTGGGTTTATTAAGAAGCAAAAATAACAGCCCCTTAGACAAACTCTTATTTACCTTAGTGTTTTGAAAGTTTTATTGAAGCCTTCAGAGTTTCTTGCTGTGAATTTCTCAATATTCATTTTTATTTCCATTCTGAGTGTGGTACTGCAACTTGATCCAGTCCTGACAAAATCTTGTAAACTTTATGAAGTACTATTGTGTTGTTGTTCATTTTGTTCCGCTGTATTTATGGGAACTGGTGCATTTTGGCATCAGATTAGTGCAGTGAACATCTACACAAGCTCTTGTGAAGAGTTTTTAGGCATTTATGAAATACACATAAATACTCATTGATACTTTTGTTGGGGGATGTTGGGGGTGGCTTCAGCACCTGCTTGACTAACTCAGATTTTTGTAATAAATACCCACATTTGTGCACACCTAAAGAAACTAATGCAGTCCTCTTCAAGAACATCATAAAACGCATGAGCTGATATCAAAGACAGTGTTCCTCTGTTAAACATGCTGAAGTAAGACCTAAAAAGACAGCCAAAAGATGTAGAAACAAGAGACCACACCACGTGATGTGTTCTTAAAAGAGGTTTGGCTTCATTAACTAGTCTACACCAACAAACTGTATGATGATTTATGTGCATAATGAGCACAATATGGAAAATATCAATAACTGCAGAGCTTGGTAAATAAAAATGTTTAATATTAAATATTACAGTCAAATGGCACAAAAGGTGTGCTAGTTTCGCTGTTACATCTCACACTGGTAATACCCAATGAAAGTCATGTAACCCATAGAGGCTGTTCATAATATTTTTAATGGTATGAAACCACCAAGTTAGACAGTATGCAGAACTTTTTGAGCATTGAGTGGGTTATGCATCAGTAGTACTATGCAGGATCATTCAAATCAGTATTGATAGACGACAGCGTCTATCACTAAATAGTGCCTGAATTAAGGCATTGGAGAATAATTTAACATGTTATCCCCCCCACCCCACCCCCTCTTTTTTTAATCAATATCAGACACACCACTGCCAGGCTTTCTTTAACACAGTAAACTTTCAGAAAAATTACCTACATCAAGTTTATCAGTAAATTTTTTTTTACTTTTAAAATCAATTTCAGGATAATATCGTTGCTGTGGTATTCTATGGCCCCATAAATGGTGAAGTGAAATTTTGGTATAACGACAGTCTACATGTCCTCAGGCTGCTGCAGACAGCTGGCTGCTCACTGTGAACCAAAAATACAACTTTATCAACACTATGGGCTCTATTTCCGTGCCTTGCCGGCGACGTGATGCAGGCGGGGCATAAGTCAGGTCCACCGCGCAAGTAAGGCGTGCCCACTTTGGTATCTGGTATATTTTGGTGAGCGGTGCAGCCTGGCGTAAGTATCCCCCCTCCCTAACTCAGCTCCTCCCAGTGGCGTACGTAGTAGAAAGGGAGGAGAGAAGGCATGAAGTGGGTTTAACACAGCCAAGACCTATTTTCACCAATTACATCAGCCCTCTCCTTACCTTTTCAATCCGCTGCCGGTGAGGCGTATTACAATTTTCGTGAAGTAGTCAAAGAGATCAAGAGATGGCTGGAGACAACAATGCCACACAATGGTGACAGAAGGCAGCCCCCCAACAAGTGTCGCTGTAAGCGCTGCGGAGGGCATCCTCCACACTTTCTCATATAAACACAGAGGGATTTGGTGTGTGTAATGTTGGACCCACTGGTAAGACAAACACCTGTTTCCACAAATAAAGACAATCACATCAGGTTGCATATATGTAAACCACACGTGACAAAGGTGGGTTGTGCGCACAGATCACAACATAAATTCCAATAATGGCATTAAAATCTCAGCCACCTGTTCGTAAAGGACGCATCGCACTCCGTGACCTTGCTGTTTCTTTCATAGATGTTGTTATATAAAATAAACTTGGCTCACGCAACTGAATATTATAATATTCATATATTATAATATTCCGGATTGAATAGTCACAGAACTATAAGGACGTGAGGAAATTAGATAAACAGGTAATTTTAAACGAAAGTTTGTTTTATTTTATTTTTGTTCAAATTTTAGGTAAGTAAATAACTCTTCTGGGGCCTCATTTATAAAACCTGTTGTAGGATCCATACTAAAAGTGTACGTAAGTTGAAAAGCTGAAAAGTGCGCAGGCAAAAAAAAAATCTGATTTATAAAACCCTGTCTACGCACACCTGCACGCACTTTCCCTTTATAAATCACAGACCAGCCGGAAAGTTGCGCAGCAGGGATTTGATTCATGCCCCGCCCTCTCCACACCCAAAATTCACCATGTTTGATCATGCAAATTACCTCATGAATGTGATTTGCATATAAATAAGCCTGATGGATCCACGGCATTTCACGCTTAACTATGGCATCAGCAAGTCGTAGAAAAAGAAACTTTTTAGAGACCGAGGTGGAGGTTCTCGTAATTGAGGTGGCAGCGAGACGGGAGACCTTATTCGGCGGCCATTCGAGTGGCATCACCAATAAAAACGCTGTTGCCGTGGCGGTAATTGCTGCTGGCACTGAGCGCAGCGTTGCCGAAACAGTGTTGTTTTCGTCATATTTCGTCAAATATTTTTGTCAACGCCAGCATCAAAAAAGGGAAATATTTTAAAATATTTCCCTTTTTCTTCCACGACGAAGACGTAACGTTGACGAGCTAAACATAAGTCGGAGATGACTAAAATGTGACGAGACGAAAGTGCGTTTACGTTGATGGGACGAGACGAAAATGACGAACAGAGTTGCAAAACTCAGTCAGTTAAACGCTAAACATATAGGAGCAGCTTCTGTCTGCTCTGACAGCTCTCATCAGCCTGCTCTGCTCCGCCAACACACAGACACACACGCGGGCGTGCAAACAAACACATGGAGTTTTGTTTTCGTTGACGATGACGTTGACGAAAACAGCACTGTGCCGAAATCAAGAAGAAGTGGTCTGATCTAAAGGTGGAGGCAAAGGAAAAAGTGGCTTTGCACCGTCGGAGCGTGGCGGCGACAGGTGAGGATCAGAAAAAACAAGCACGTATGACACTCATGCATGTGTTCCAAAAAAAACTGCTCCGTTATCCACCGCTGCTTATGTGGTGAAAGTTCGTAAACCAAAAAGATTTAGTCATATTAATCTTAAAACAAATACATGTAAATGGAATTTGTTTTTCTTTGCACATTTGTAAATTCAAATTGGCAAACTTTCTACACCGCCACAGTGGGGTCTGTGCTTTCTGCGAGCATCACTGCCTGGTACAGCAGCTGCAGCTCTCAGGACAGAGAGGCCCTGCATCGAGTCATCCGTTGTGCTGAACGCATCACCCGGACTGCACTGCCCGGCCTCCAGGACAACTACACCCAGCGGTGCAGGTCCAGGGCAAGACGGATTATCAAACAATCTCCATCTGAACCACAGACTGTTTGAGTGGCTGCCCTCGGGTAAGAGGCTTCGCTCCATCAGAGCCAGGACTGAGAGGCTGAAAAGGAGCTTCTCCCCCCAGGCCACTCGGATCCTGAACTCCTCATAACACACACCCCATAACTGACTTCTCAACACCCTCTGAACAGACTTTACATTATTATTATTATGTTTTTTTTGGCACAATCGCAGACGTCACTTTCATTTCACTGCCACTGTACCTGTACATTTAGGCATGTGACAAATAAAACTTGAAACTTGTGCTGCATTGCGCACGACTGTCACTGTATGGCTTTTTATACGCGTGCTTTCCATTAACCAATTGTTCTCACCTTGCTCCGATTGTCTCCAAAAAGTGCGTAAGCAAGGTGTGGAGTTTGCTTAAAGTTGCGCACATTCCTACACTAGTTTTTCTTTTATAAATCCTAACTCTTGCGTAAGAAGTGGCGTAAGCACTTTCTAGCCAGGTTTTGTGCGTAAGCAAGCTTTATAAATGAGGCCCCTGATCACTAAAATAAATCATCTGGTCAGCCTTGCCGCTGCAGCAGCAGGACAGGGATGGGACACAGAGACATGTCTGGTTTCAGCTGCGTGAGGAAGAAGGAGAAAAATGGGGAGACGAATTAAATATGAAGAACTTCATCTTGTGTGACTTTTTACTGGATATTTAATTTAATGCGGCTTCAGCTGCGTTAATTCGCTCAGTTTGAGTGTCCAAACACGTGTCAAATGCGCTCATCAGATAAGATATAGATCACAATATATGGATATAGAGCTAAGTGTATGTGCTGACACAGATAGTTGCACTGAATATTGGTTGTTGTTGACTATTTATTGCACTGAAATGTGCCTGACACTTTGGAAACTGCCTGTGTGGCATCAGTGATGTATGCACACTACGCCGCCCTTCTACCAAAATACCACTAGACCAGCTGAACTCCGCCTGCGCACTTTCAATGCCGTCAGTGAGCACAGAAATGTCACTGCGCCAGCTGATTCTGTCGACACCTCCCCCTACCCCGCCACCACGCCCAGCTTGGCACACCTCGGTGCGCCTCAGTCTACAAAAATACCAAACTGGCTTTGCGCCGGGCTCTGCCAGACGAAATTACCTCTGCGCGGGGTGCGCCACAGTCCACCATGCCGCCAGCGGGCGCAAAAATAGAGCCCTATAACTGTACTGTCAAAATGAAATGACTTTTTTGTCTTAATATTTTGACATTTTTACCGCATAATTCTTAAAACAGCATGGCGTTAATCTCTTAACATAATAACAGGACCTTAAATGACTTTGTTGTTATAACATGAGAACTTTTTTCCCCCCAAAATACTCTGACACACTATACAGCTGAAAATAAAAAGTACATTTTAAAACCAGTATTTTGACTTTAATATTTTCTGTGGAAAATATTCTACCTGTTCTTAATTCAATATCAAACCCATCAGTGTGGCCCATCAACTCCCTCATCAATCAGCCAGCTGACTGGATGATGTCTTCATTGTAACAATCTGACATTTTATCAAGTTAGTTTGTTTCAGCTTGTAAAAATATCTCATTACAGTTCATTTCTCATTTACAAACTGTTTGAAACTGCAATAATTTCAGGGTGCAATACAAATAATACATTATTCTCTCTCAAACACTCTGCACTTTGGAAAAAGCTTTATTTCTAATATTCTGCACTTTTTACTTATGATTGCAATTTCTTATTTATTCTTATGAATTCCTATCTCTGTTCTCCTCTGTTAATATTTGTATTGTCAAGACCAAGTGTAATTCTGTAACAACCCAATTCTAATTCTCATTGTGATTTCAACTGACCTGACAGGCCCAAGTATAAATCTAATTTAGGATATTTCAAGCCCAAATGTTCTTGATCAGTTGGAAACACTTGATAATAAGCATCATCCATAAATGGTAAATAGACAGTTTGTAAAAAAGTAGATGAATAAAATCAATGAGAAAGTCTATTTACTTTGCATGTTTTATTGTTGAGAACAATCTAAATCTCTGCTGCATATGTGCAAGCTGTTCAAAGAGTGTTGTCGTAATGAGGATGTTTCTTTTATAAGCTATAAAACAAACAAAAAAAAGCATTGATATTATTTGACATTAACCAAAAAACAATCAGAGCACTTAAGAATAACTGTTTCTCATCATCAGAATCAAAAAGCTTTCAACTGGATTAAATTATCTGTAAATGTACAGTCTATTCATAATTTATTTGCTGTTCATAGATGATGATCATTATTAAGTGGTTCATGTAAGTTCCATGAATCAGGCTTTCAATCCTGTTCAAGAAACTTACAGGGACAGTTTGGCATGCTGCCTTTACAACCATTTTTACTCTTTCAGGTCAATGAGGTCCTTCATTAAGTTTGAATAATAATCCTTTCTGCAGAGTCAGCCATGACTCAAGTGTGCAGGGACCGCTGACAGTGACAACGGACAATGTAGGAATGATTTGATAACTCCATCCTGGATAGATACAGAGTCAACATCTTCCATGCTGTCAGTTATATGATAAAAACTAATTTGGGGAAATTTGCTTTTCGATAACTTAGGGGTTACAAGTAGAAGTACACAGGACTTACTAATTCAGATTGGTAGATCGACCTCTACTGGAGTAAAATTCCCCCAAAGTAACAGTACCTCTACCTGAATTGAGTATTGCAGTACTCCTCCCCTCTGAGTATCTCATTAAAGCGTGAGTCATCAGGGATTTAAACCTCCTGCTGAGAGCGCTGATCACATGCAAGCAGCCGAGGCCGTTTCTAAAGAAAGATGCAGAGTTGGCGAAACTTGAAATACTGCCTGACAGGAAGCTTTTGCATCAAAATTAAGCTCATGAAATCTCTCCTTTGTGAGTTCTTCTATAACAACGAAGATGTCAAATCTAATTAAATAGGCTTTTGTAGTCTTCCTGCTTGTTGTCCCCGACAATGCTGGAAAATCCTAGTAAATGCTGTGAACACCAAAGGACCAGTGCGTGCTACAAGACACAGAAAGATAACCAGATGATATTATTGCTATTTCAACACTCACCTCCGACTTTTATTTCTCTTCCTATTCATTCAGATATGACCACAGAGTCCATGGAGCCTGTTGGAGTCCTCGTAGAGAGGGGTATCAACACCACCAACCCTCCTCTGACCTCACATGAGGACACAGCTGCCACCTTCACCATCGGCACAATCCTCTCAATCATGTGCTTCGTTGGTGTCTCGGGAAACATCTACACCTTGGTGGTCATGTGCCACTCCATGAGGACTGCCGCCTCCATGTACATCTATATCATAAACTTAGCTTTAGCGGACCTGCTCTACCTTCTGACCATACCCTTTGTAGTCTGCACTCACTTTCTGCAGGTGTGGTACTTTGGAGATGCAGGGTGTCGGATCCTGATCAGCATGGATTTCCTGACCATGCATGCTAGTATCTTTACGCTGACAATTATGAGCACTGAGCGCTACTTTGCCGTGCTCAAACCACTGGACACAGTCAAGCGTTCAAAAAGTTACCGGAAGGCTATCGCTCTTCTGGTGTGGGCAGCGTCTCTCATCTTAACCCTGCCCATGATGGTGAGGGTTCAGCTTAAGACAGTGGGAAACAAGGTGATGTGTCAATCCACCTTATCACCAGTCTCCTACAAAGTGTACCTCTCCTGCCTGTTCTGCACGAGCATCGTGGCTCCGGGATTGATCATTGGCTATCTCTACATCCAACTGGCACGGACTTACTGGGTTTCACAGACAGAGACTTTCAAGACGACCAAGAAACTTCCCAATCAAAAGGTCATTGCATAAAACATGGTGTACTTTGAAAAGCATAGGATGTCACTCTCACATAGTTAATGAAGAGTACTGATTGTCAATATTGTCAATTCTGTAATAAGTCAAACACATACATAGGAATGACACTGCATTACAGTAAACATTCAGGATAAAGATTGTCAAGTAGAGCCCAGAGTTTGTTTGTGCAGAGGGCAGAAGGGGCAGAAGGGGCAAAGGCTCCCCTTGGATCATATTCACAATTGTGTCTCAGAAACCTTTCAAAGGCCCAGTTTTGTTGACTCCATGGTGGTGGGCAGTTTTTCATAGAATCCTGTTCCTCATGTCTGACCAGGTCTGCAACTCAGCTGGTGATGGATGGAGACCCATCAGTCTGATCAGAATCAGAATCAGAAGGGGTTTTATTGCCATTGTCAAGTATAACAGGCTATGTACAACTACGCAATACAGAACAGCAGTGCAGTGGGAGAAGTGCAATTAAAAAACCAAGGTACATTAAACTAAAGTGACCAGTGATAAAGTGACAGAGTTAAAGTGACTAAGTTATAAAGTGTTCATGAGTCCAACGGCAGAGGGGAAGAAACTGTTCTTATGGCGGGAGGTTCTGGTCCGAATGGACGTAGTCTCCTGCCCGAGGGGAGTGTCTCAAATAGTCCATGTGCAGGGTAAGAAGGGTCAGCTGTGATCCGACCTGCTCAGCCCCGAGTCCTGGAGACGTACAGGTCATGGAGAGATGGAAGGCTACAGCTGATCACCTTCTCAGCAGAGCCCACAATGCGCTGCAGTCTGTGTCTGTCCCTGGCAGTGGCCTTGGTGTACCACACCATGATAGAGGAGCTGATGATGGACTCGATGATGGCTGTGTAGAACTGCACCATCAGCTGGTCAGCAGCTTGGCTTTCCTCAGCTGCAGTAGGAAGTACATCCTCTGTTAGGCCTTCTTGATGAGGGAGCTGATGGTTGGCTCCCACTTGAGGTCCTGGGTGATGGTGGTGCAGAGGAAGCGGTAGCAGTCCACAGTGGTGATGGGGGAGTCTGTGAGGTCGAGGGAGGGCAGGGGGGCTGTGGCTTTCCTGAAGTCCATCTCCACTGTCTTCTGGGCGTTGAGCTCTAGGTTGTTGCTGCTGCACCAGGTCACCAGCCGGTCCACCTCCAACCTGTAGGCAGAGTGGTTGGATTTCCAGTTGTCTGGGGGGTGAGGGGATGTGAGTCTTTGAAGCGTGAATAGAAGCTGTTCAGGTCGTTGGCTAGTTTCAAGTCGTCAGTTGAACGAGGTGCTTTGGGCTTGAAGTTGGTGATCTCTTTCAACCCCCTCCACACCGAGGCAGGATCGTTGGCAGAGAATCTTTGCTCCAGACGTGCGTTGTTCCTGGCTTTAGCCTAAGCCACCTCCTTGCTAAAACTGCTCATAACTTGCTCCGCGAGCGCGCGCTCAGCCTCGTGCATGTCCACACTTGGTGGAATGTAAACAGAGCAGAGTATGAATGAGACAAACTCACGTGGCGAGTAGAACAGTTTGCAGTTTATGAAGAGATATTCCAGAGAAGGAGAACAATGTTGGGAGATCACTGTCACGTCAGAGAACTAAGCGTTGTTGATGTAGAAGCAGACTCCTCCACCCTTTGTTTTCCGACCGGTGAGTACACGATCTCTGTCTGCGTGGAGGAGCTGAAAACCCTCCAGTTGTATGGTGCAGTCCGGTGTCTGTTCATTTAGCCATGTCTCCGTTAAGCACAGAACACAAGATGAGGAGAAGTCTCTATTCTTCTTCATCAGCAGTGCCAGATCATCCATCTTGTTGCTGAGTGAGCGGACATTGGAGAGGAATATCCCAGGTAAGGGCGTACGCGTGCCTCACTGTCTGGGACACGCGAGCACCCCAGCTCGCCTTCCCCTTCACTCTTTTTGGCCAAAAAATGAACCAGTTTAGCAGCAGATGCCAAAAAAACTGGCGTAATGTCCGTGGGTGTTCTTGATTTGATGTTTAGAAGCTCCTCACGGGTGTAGGAGCACGATGACACACGGTCAACACACAAAAACAGACAAAACAACGAGCACCAGAACACCAGGGCACCAACTCTGGGTGCCATCTTGATGACGTGATGAAGGCTGATTTATAGATGTTCACAGACATTTACCTCCATGACTTTTTCTTTGGTTATACTCCTGACTCCTGTTGTCAAGGTCTTCTTTTGTATGACTCTCTATGGGAACAGGGCTTGGGCAACACTGCTGTCATTATAAAAAAGGAATGGTAGCTTTTATATGGTATGCTGAACACTCTCCACTTCAAGCCCTCCATTATCAATCCTTCTCCTGTTGCTGCAGGTATCTTTAACTCCATTGCCTCCTTTCTTTATGCTCATGCTGAGGAAAAAAAAAAAAAAAATTTTTCAATTTGCTTCATAGCAGGGATTAAGAGAGCTTCATTTTTCTTATCTGTGTGATAAACTACGTGACGAATGCTGCCCTTCTGTCGCTCTAAAGCTATTCAAAGAAATCATTTGTGCCTCTGAGAGAAGGAGACTGCAAACTGACCAACTTTGAAAAGTTCTTGTTCCTGGTCCAGGGATAATGAACCCGTTAGTGATGATGTTGGTGATGTGGTCTCTCTCAGGTAGACAAAGCAGGGTTTGTGAAGCTCTGCTTAGCTCTCACAGTACTGATTACTGGAGAAATATGACTGGGACTTAGGAATGGATTTGACCCAGTTTGACCTGTTTCTGATGAAAAACTAACTACACAGCAATTTACAGTAAAAGGTAAGTGCTCAAAACCATTAGTGCAGCACTTAAGGTTCCAGCTTCCCCTACAGAGCAAGCAAGGGTAATGTCAGGGTAATTATATATATATATATATATATATATATATATATATATATATATATATATACACACACACACACACACACATATATATATATATATATATATATATATATATATATATATATATAGAGAGAGAGAGAGATTTAGATAGATATATAGATATTATGTATATTATGTATATGTATGTCTCATAGTAAGTGACTTGCTTGCAGGTTTACGTTTTGCACAGGTAGTGCTCAGCTGAGATCAGGTGAGATAATTAATCACTGATCAATTCAAGTTGTAGAATAGGCCTGAACTGATATTTGAGACATCTGTATGATTCGAGTATCTTTAAACTGTTTTTTGATTTAGCTAAGAACAATTACACTGATTTTATTTCTGTGTAAAGTGCTATGTATGCATCATTTAGTGAAACATCATTATTTTACCCAGTTGTGACCACTTGTTTTGTAACATTATTGATGAATGATGGTCCGACCAGTTTGTCCCTTCTGCTCTGAACTCCCTCAGGTGCTGTACCTGATCTTCACCATTGTGCTCCTCTTCTGGGCCTGCTTCCTGCCCTTCTGGATCTGGCAGCTGCTTACTCAGTTCCACACTTCCATGTCCCTGTCCTCCAAGGTCAAACGAAACATCAACTACCTGACCACCTGTCTGACCTACTCCAACAGCTGCATTAACCCTTTCCTGTACACACTGCTCACCAAGAACTACAAGGAGTACATGAGGAAGCACAAGCGCTCCTGGACGGCTGGCAGCTATTTCAACAGGAGGAGTCGATTTCAGCGCTCCCCTCGCAGGTCTCCATCATCCAGCAGCCAGCAGTGTACTGAGAGCTTCATGCTCACCCACACGGCCTCCCTGAGGACTCATAACAGCAGTTTGTAAGGTAGGAGCTTCTATACTCACTGATATTTGTGACTGTGTTGATGCTTATATGGAAGACTACATCCTCAGACTTCCCTGGAACACATTTTCTTCTGTATTTTAACAACACGTGTTTTCAAATCATGCCTGATACTTTTGACCCCGTTGGAGTTTGATACCAGAGGAGACAGGCAGTTGTTTGTATATTTTCAGACAGCAGTTGATTTCTGTGAGCTGAACATGTGGGACCATATAGGACAAACCTTTAATAGGACATGGTGTTCTGGGGAAACATGTTAAGGGACAATAAACTCAGAAAGACTCATAAAAGCAACAAAAATTCTTCTAAAACTGTTTCTGTCTGTTGGATTGGAGTCTCCTTCATCAGGAGACATGGATGTTTGAAAGGACCTAACTTATACTTTATGTGGGTCAGGAGATTGGTAGATAAATGTGAAAGAGTGTCTCTGTTTGATTTTTAAGAGCAGATTTTAATTTAAAATCTTACTCAAAGATGTGGCAGATATTTTGTAATATCATTGTTACCCTGCACCATCCTGCTGTGCTGTGATGTGATCAGACATGTGGAGACTAACTGTAGAACACAGGGACACAAGAAACTCTCACTGTGCTTTACCAACCAGGTGGCTTGATCTTAATAATTTATACATCATGCACAAAAAGTGCCCAAACTTCATGGGTTTATAAGATACTAAAAGATACGGCTGTAGTGGTTCGATGATTTATTACAGAGTCATTTTGAAGTTGCACATCCTTTTATATCTAGTTCTTAAACTAGAGATGCACTGATGCATGATTTCCGATCCAATCTGATACCGATACCTGGGCTGAGCGTATTAGCTGATATCCAATACCGATCCAATACTACTGATGAATGAATGAATGAACTGTATACCTTGCTCTGTGAGTGAAGGCATCAGGCTTGACATTAGCCTTGTTAAAAAAAAAAAAGGAACAAATTAACACAGATATTTACTTCAGATTATTTATTAACAAATAACAAATTCCACATTAGCACACAGCAAAAGTAAGTAAGACTTCCATGTAAACATTTAGTGCAAAAGGATAATCAAAATATGATATAAAATATAGCAGCTGAAACCCAACAAACAAGTGGCTTCATGAACTTTGCCAAAAATATAAAATAAACAGAGGTAACACTTACTGTTAACACTTCAAAATCCAATATAGCATTATGCTGTGTTTGCATAGTAACTGCATGCTTTGCGTGAGGAAGTAACAGGCGCAGCAGACATAGAATTGGAGCAAACAGAATCGCTGTGTTGATGTGTATGATAGTAATTAAAAGAAAAAAAGAGACTGGGAAAAAAGAGACGCTGGATCAGCATCATTCATCAGCTGTCTGATCCAGTTAAATTGTCAATATCAGAGCCGATATCCGATCCAGATATCAGATCGGTACATCCCTATCTTAAACACTGAATCCAGCCTTTTTCCCCCAATCTTTGCAGATTCAATCTGTTACAAGGATGGTTCCTCTCCTGAAATACAACAAAAGTTTTTATTTTTTTTCCTAATCATTCATCCACAAGAAATCACAGTGAGTCGAAGACATTTCACTGAAAATCCCGCTTCAATGTTTTTTTTGTTTTTTTTTCTACTATTTAAAGTGTTCTCAGTGGTCTTTAAATTGTGATTATTATGTTTTTAGCCAAAATCAGGTTACCTGTGTCATTTTCAAGCGCTTTTCTTTTGCAGCACTCTAGCAGCTCATTAGCAATTCACCTCTGAGTCGTGGGTGGAGACAGTGCTGCTCTGCACCCTCCTCTTTATGCTAGCTTGCAGCCTAAAGCTGAAAACATACAGGATCTGTATTGAGTGCATTCTGTCAGCGTGGCATAGAGCAGTGCTGTCCATCACATACAGGATGCGTATTTGGAGCAGCAGCGTAGTGCAGCCCCGGTCAGCTGGGCTCAGTATAGAGGAAACAATATGTTCACAACAGGTTTGTTTGCCTTTCTGTGGTCTATTTCCTGCTAACTTTGAAATACCTGATGACATGCTTTCGGGCTTGACATCCTGTCTAGAACACTCTTCTCTGTAAAGCCGCGCTTGACATGCTTCTGATACAGAGCTGATACACGTCATGTGTGTGATGCTGCATTAGAATGGGAAGCTATTTGCTGTGTGATATGACGCTGACGTTTGGCGCTCAATACGGATCCTGTATATTTTAGCCCTAACAGAAGTAGCAGGTAACATAGGAGCTCTCAGACACTATTGTCTTTAGGGGCATGATGAAAGTTACTATCATGATTAGCTTTCTTACAAGCATTGCAATCTGCTAACGCACATGCTTGTTCCGTGTCCTCATTACCTTTCCGAGTCTGGCCTGCATAGTGGGGCTTCAGGGTTGGAGCTTGGACTTGTGACGTAGGAAATCTCACTGTGTCTGAACCTGCTGTTTGGATCTGCCAGAGATTCACAGCAATTTGAATACAGAAATACTCAGAAATGAAATTTTGCACTTAGTTTTGTCACGATATGTCTTGTAGCAGCAGAAAAATGCTATATGAACATGTAGACAAGAAAAACATGATTTTAATCAGAGTGGGTCTTTTAGTCAGTAGTTCCCAAGCTTTTTTTTACTACCATGCCTTCTTTTGAAGGATGAAAAATATGTGTTTAAACTAAAAAAAGGTTCTGCATTACATGTTACCCCCTATTTAACAAGAGGTTCTTGACTGTAACTGTTTGTTTTTTGTTATGGGACAATGAGTTTGTAGTTTTGGTTTCCACCATATTTTAACAGACCATTCTACTTTGCTCATGAAAACATGTTTCTCTGAACCTCTTGAATATCAGGATGTTTTATTCAAACATAGTGTACATAGATTTTTAACTTATTGGCCTAAGAATGAAAGTGAAATAGATCCCAAATAAATATCTTTATGATTAGTCTGATGAGACATCTTTATGAGTCAGTTCTGAAGCTGCAGCATTTCTCAGCCCATCACACCATTCAGAGCTAGAACAGATCGAAGTTCATAAACCCCACAATACCTCACGCAATGGGACATGACGAACGCCGTAAGACAGAGAAAAACCACAGTGCTGATTGAGCACAGCATGCAGTGCATAGTTTACAGACTAAGTGCTTACATTGGAATCAAATTATAATACTTCTCCAGTCTACATAATCGGACGCTGAGTCTGCAGTACATCTTAAAGTCTTGGATATAACTTAGGGACATCATAGTAAAATCTCTGGGATATGTTTTCTGAAAGTTGATGTTACCGTGCAGAGCTCTCAAAAAATTAATTTCCACTCTCTACACTGCATATACAAGATATGAGCTTTTCCCTTTCTTCTTATCTTGCAGTTTGAATTTTTGGCATTGATTTATACCCATAAATCCATGACTCTATTCAGTGTTTGTTTAACAGTTCTCATCTAGACTTTATCTGATTCTACTCAGCGTTGCATGACTGCCAGTTGCCCCACTTCCTGCAGCACATAAATTCTTCAGAAAGATTTCTGTATGTACCCACTAGTCTACAGCAGTTTTTCATGTGATAAACAGGTTTTAGATTTGGGTTGCAAAGGAAGCCGAAGGACTGAGTCATGGTGCAGAAGAAAAAGACACAGGATGGAGAGAGGGGCAGAGGGAAGGGGAGTTGGGTGGAAGGATGTTATCACACACACATTCATACTTGCCAACAGCTTTTTTTGTTCTTTTGCCAAAAATGACATCTGTTAAAGCCGTGACTAAAAGTGATGTAGGTAATTCCAATTTACTCCAGGAAAACATTCATTCGCAGAGGGGCTCTATCTTAAGGCGTTTTGGTTGGCTACAGATAAAACATTGGCATTACTTTTAAGCCCAGCACCCAGGATGTGTGGGAACATCCTGGGTGACCACAGGTGTGTCTTTAGTCATAAAATAAGGAAAGGAGGCCCTTCGAAAGTGTAGACTGTCCATGAGTAAGTTCATGAGCGCCAATCTGACACAGGTTGACAGTATGCTTCCACCAGTCAAAAATCAGCATGACTCCCGACAAACAAGGAGGTGTGGTATGTGCTTCCTGTAGGCCAGAGAGCATGGTACCAAGACAAAGTGACAGAAAAACTTTAAAGTACAAAAAGTTATTCTGGGTGCAGTAGAATCAAGAGAACATTTGTTTCAGCTTTGAGTGCTTACTCACCTTCAGACCACACTGAATAACATTCTAAATCACTGCATGAGCTTCATTATGAGCTCATAATAGTGGGTTGGTCAGTTAGAGCAGTTAGAAAAAAGAAAGACAGAAAGAAAGAAACTGTACTAACTGTGAAAGACAGGAAGATGCTGTCATGTGTTTGACCAGAACTGTTGCAGAACTTGTGACCTGCACCTCACTTCGTGCCTAATTTTTGCATCATTTGAAGTCCCACTCTGATTGTATTTTTTATTTTTACTACTTAAAGTGTTCTCAGTGGTCTTTAAATTGTGATTATAAAGTTTTTAGCCAAAATCACCTCACCTGTGTCATTTTCAAGGACTTTTCTTCTGTAGGGCTCCAGTACATCATTAGCAATTTGCCTCTGAGTTGTGGGAGGAGACAGCGCTACTCTGCACTCTCCTTTAAACACTAGCTTGTAGCCTAACATTGCCGGTGCTGCAGAAGAGGCAGGTAACACAGGAGCTATTCAGCTTTTGGACACTAATGTCTTTGGGGGCATGATGAAAGTTACTATCATAATTAGCTTTCTTACGAGCATTGCAATCTGCTATTGTCCTCTCTATCTTCAGAGTCTGGCCTGCAGAGTGGGAAACCAGGGGTGGAGCTTGGAATTGTGACATAGAAAATCTCACTGTGTCTGCACCTGCCGTTTGGGACTGTGAGAGGTTCACAGTGATTTGAATAAAGAGATATTTATAAATGCAATTTTGCTCTTAGTTTTGCTATGACAAATGTACCCACCGTCATCAGACTTTATAATTCTTCTGTAAATAGTGGATGACATGAGACATGACACGTGAGACTACAGACAATTGAATTTCCCTTCGGGGATCAATAAAGTTCTTCTTCTTCTGATATGTCCCGTAGCATCCGGAAATTGTCATATGAGCATGTAGACAACAAGAAAAACATTATTTGTATCGGAATGGGTCTTTAAATGAAAAATGTGTTTGTTCAGTTTGCACTATGCACTTCAGAGCCTTTTAATTGTGCCCTTCAAGTTTCATTGTATATCAGTTTTATTCCATCTCAAATCTATAAAACTGGTAAAAATCTAATATTTACAATTTAGTTCATAACTGTACTCTCAGTTTTTTTATATTGGCAGAGCTTCAGCTGTGATTACTTTGGTGTGTGAGTCCAAGGCTGCCTGCAGGGACAAAGTAGCAGTGAGTCATTTATTACTACTCTCTTCCTTGGAAAACAATGTGCAGAGTGACACCTGCAATAATTCACCAGGGCAGGGACAATGACCGCACATGCGAGCCTGACCCCATGGATGTCCACACTCTGTGTGCATTTAAAACCCCACCCAACCACAGTAAGTCAAGGGTTTTTTAAGTCTCTATGTCTTTTCACTAAACTATTCTATGAAGTCGTAACAGAATACTTTGACCAATATTAGAATAATACATATTTAATGTTATAGTTGATTTATTGTAATATGTATATACTGTATGTATTGGGCTTCATTATTTGTAATCTGTGGGTTCACTTTTCACCACATGATCTCTTCAGTTTATTATTTGCACCTTTGACTGAGGAGAGCTGAGTAACATAACAGTAACGTATGATAAAGGAACATTAATAATTTTGTCAATATTGACGTTCTAAACAGGATATGTCCAGTGTGACCCACTAAAGCAGCATACCTGCAGTGCACATGGAGGCTCACCATGAAGGTCATTACGCAGCCCACTGTCTCCTCTGGGAAATCACAGACTGGCCTATTAAAATGTGCTTTCATTTAAACAATTAACACCAGGAATCAGCAGCTATTGAAGCTTGATTAATGTGTCACTGTAAACTGTACAAGCTTTTAATTGCTGTGACATTCAAACAGTTTCAATCTATTGTGATGTTAAAGCTGTGAGGCACCAATGTGAACGTCTTCTCATTTCCTTTTATGGACAGAGACATGAAAGCTCAACAAGAAGGCCATGATAAAAATGAGAGTATTGATTGATTTTATTTCATCCTACAATGGAAACCCAGCCACTGCTATTAACTGACCTGAGGGGACAGCAGAGAAGACAGGGCCTGAATATGAGAGCAAGAAGCAGTGATATCATTTTTCTTTCTGTATAAAGGAGAAAAAAGTATTATCTCTGTAGGACAGAATAATGTTACGCTGACTCATTGAAAGTATAAAGGCAGAGAGAAAATTTTTGATGTATATTGTAACAATGACATGTTATGCATTATAACAGTCTTCATAATTGGGGGACAGACCCCAATCCCATTTCACTATCTGAAAGGCAGCTTTATACTTCGCTCAGCTCTTTACAAGCCTGTAGGAATAACCAAAGGACGTCTCAGGAAGAGCACTTATTACTACAGAGTCTTTAATGATCCAGTCTATGCTGAGCAGAATTGGTCAAGTACAACAATAACTTATTTTCATTGATGCTAGGATCAGCCTTTTCTATCCTGTGTCTTTGTAAGTTCAACCACTAAAGTTATATTCTACAAGACATGGACCTTCGGGCTTCTCTGTTGTTATGTCCCTTTTCAGACTCTCCTCTTCCGTCTCTCCTCTCCCTTCCTTCTCTCCCTGCTCTCCTCCCTCCTCCTGCTCCTCTCCCTGTTCCTCCAGCTCCTCAGCTCCTCTCCCCGCTCTCCTCTCCCCTCCTTCTCTCCTTGCACTCCTCTTTTCTTCTCCCGCTCCTTTCCTCTCTCTCTGTTCCTATCCCTGCTCTCCTCTCTCTGTTCCTATCCCTGCGTTCCTCTCTCCTCTCCCTGCCCCCCGCTCTCCTCTCTTCTCCTCTAGCTTCCCCTGCTTTCCCCTCTTCTCCTCTTACTCCTCTTCCTGCTCCTCTCTCTACCTCCTGCTCCTTTCCCTGCTCTCCTCGTTTCTTCTCCTGCTCCTTTCTTCACTCTTTGTTTCTCTCCCTGCTCTCATCTCCCCGCTCCTGTCCCTGCTCTCCTCTCCCTGCTCCTGTTCTCCTCTCTCCACTTCCTGCTCTTCCCCCTGCTCTCCTCTCTCCACTTCCTGCTCTACCCCCTGCTCTCCTCTCTCCTCCTGCTCCTCTCCCTGCTCTCCTCTCCATGCTCCTGTCACTGCTTTCCTCTCTCCACTTCCTGCTTCTCTCCCCACTCCCCTCTCCTATCCTTCTCTCCCTGCTATTCCCCTACTTCCCGCACTTTGCTGCACATTGAGATCTGAGCTGTTTGAGGGGAGGGCAGAGCACACTTTTGGTATTACCATGCAGAAAAAAACTGAGGAAGACACAAGAGGCTGCACAGTATTGTTAGGTCTCAATTATCACATTTTTAGCTTTGGAGAAAAGGTCTGAAGCTCTGACATCCAGGGGCTGGTTGGAGTGAAGCCACCACTCTTCTTCATCAGAAGGAGCTCATTGGGGGGGCTGATGAGGATATGTCCACTGCATCTCCCTTTGGAAGTCTCCTGGGCATGCTCACCTAGAAGGAGACCCTGGGAAACATAGATAAGCCCAAGAAGGAATAAAGTATCCAGACTGGCATGGGGACATCTGAAAATATCCAGGAAGACACATTTTAAAGACGTGTCCAATGGAAAATCATTGGTTAGGAACGTATTCCAAATAATAAGCTTTCAGTCTCAAAACATATTATTAATGGTTGTTTCCATATATATCAGTCATGGCCAAAGTGGATGTTTGCAAATGAGTCCCCTGACATTGCATCAGCACTGTCTATTAAGATTTTAATGTTCAGTTGTAAAGAAACCCATAAATGTTTCCTCAATAAAATGTGCAGGCTGTAATCATGACATTACATGTTGATGGCTGCATGAAAACTTAATAGGATGTACCCTAACTCTATGTTTTGATAGCAATAAGTGTTTACATGTTTATACCAGGAAGCAGCCAGCGGGGACAGAAAAAGGCTGAAACTATAGGACATTAAAGCATTCATCATGGAAAATGGAAACATGCATACTGTGGTTTAATATTCACAGCTGCAGCGAGGATGTATGGAAGCCTTTCTTGGATGAGATAAATTATTCTATCCATCAAAAACATAAATACTTATCTCATGCACAGGTCTGAGATTGCACGGCGATATGTTGGCAGTGCACCAGAAGAGTAACTGTGACCAGAGAGGATTAAGACGTCAGTTACTGACCACTCATAAATCATTTTTGCAGTGTAATATACTAAAAAGATGATAAAAACCCCAGCCTCTGCTTTAATAAGGTGACTTAAAGTAAAATGCATTGCCATAATCCATGCAGAGCTGTTTATGAATACTGTCTTTCTGCTCTTAATGTGTAAAACATAAAACACAGTCATCTGTCTTACACTTCCATTGTTGTGCTGACAGCTTTTACTGCTTGCTCTTTTCCGCTCAGATAAGTAGAGGAAGTTCGTCAGCAGAGGATGTCAGAAACTTCATAAAAGAAAATATTATCTGAGTAACTGTTCTTTGTGTTTCAGCCAGGCTTGAGTAGAAAAATCAATAATTCATAGAAACACTGAACAAACTGTAACTTCTATGGGCAGTTTATTATTCAGTGACTCAAAATTTATCAGAATGTGTTATTTTTTGGGAAGGTGTGATTGCACTGTGGGCTGTAATGTCAAAGAGAGAAAAATAAAGAGTTTTTAAGCAAAGTTTTACCAATAATCGAGCAGTTGACAAAGAGAATAGCATAACTTGAACTATTGTTTGAAAGTGTAGTACTGCTCATTGTGTGGTAATGTCATTTTTTGTTTTGATGCAAATGCAATGGTCAGACTCATCAATATAAGCATAATTATAGCCTGATTTGGCAGACTGGAGAACTCCTTTTACAGGATTAGTATTTTATTGGGACCTCCTGATGTCAGTGTTAAGTGTGGTGCACTCACACGGGATAAACAAAGTCTGTGATTTATTCGGTAAGACTGCTGAAGTGCTGCACAACAGGCACCTTCTCTCTTAACAGCGGCAGAGTACTGGGAAATCTGTGATGTCCAAAATAAATATCCAAAGACTTTTAAAGGTTATGTGACAAACCTGTCTTTTCTATGAAAAAAAAAGGCAGAGCAGGCTCAAACTCAGAGGGCTCTATTTTTGTGTTCGCTGGTGAGGCGGCAGAGGGTGGCGGACCCTGCGCAGTGGTATTTTCGTCTGGTGGAGCCCGGCGTACAGCCAGTTAAGTATATTCGTGAACTGAGGCGCACCGAGGTCCGCCAAGCTGGGCGTGGTGGCGTGGCAGAGGGAGGTGTCGACAAAATCAGCTGCCGCAGTGACATTTTCATGCTCGCCGGTGGCATATAAAATGTGCTGAAAGCTCGCCAATTTAAATCTGGTCAGCTTTCAGCGCAGACAGAGCGCAGCTGGTCTAGTGGTATTTTGGTCACAGTGTCAGGCACATTTCAGTGCAATAAATAATCATCAACAACTAATAATCTGAGTCAGTTCTTTCACTGTTCCGCACTTTTGAGTTCACACAGCTTTAAAAATAAATTAGGCTCGACATCGAGAAAAGTAGCTATCATCAGGTTGGGTATGACTGAGTATGTTTGTTGAAGCAGTGAAAATAAAAAAAATAAAAAACATATACAGTATATTTTATCTGCTTATATAGTTTGTAGAATTGTGTTTTTGATTTTGGCTCAATAAAACTACATCAGCATCTAACTTTGACATTGCATGTTGAATGACATTTCTTTTACATTGTTGGGCTTGAGCCAATGTGGATGGAGCAAAAATGAACAGTGCAAATTCTGTCACCTTCTATTCAGCTAGCTACTATTTTAACCCCCTGCCTGGTACCATAATCACTCTTGGTGACATTATCTTATATTGTCAAACTTGTTAAATACTGACACCACTTCATTTTATGTTAATGCAAAAAGTGAATATAAAACAACACTATCAAATCCTCCTCCTAACCTTGAAAGCCTTCCATAACCTTGCCCCTCCAAACCTGACTGAACTCCTCCACATAAATAGCCACTCTGCCCTCCACCTCTGGATTTCCTTCCCACTGGACATACGTAACATAACACATTGGCCTCATTTATCAAGCTTGTATACGGCAGAAAACTCACGTACACCATGCGTATGCATGCATTATTAAGTTGTAAATAAAATAAAATAAATTTGTTATGTCCTTAGTGAACAGGCCTGTTTGATGACTCTGCCCAGAAACACTGCCACAGGGCAGGAGCGCCATTTTAACATTGCGCGCACATGCGCCACTGTGGAGCACTGCATTTGACTCCTAAAAGGCAGGTGTCTCTGTCTTGGCCCAGCAGCGGGGACGTTGTTGTACCCTCCTGAAAGGGTGTGGGACATCATTTGGGCCAGTACAGTTTTGCACAATGTTGCACTGGCGAATGGAGTGCTGTTGGCTGTGCTGGTGCAACGTGAGGACCTGATGCCCGGAGAACAATAACGAGGAAAGACTCCAAAAAGGTGCTGTACAGAGGAGACAGGACCTTATCGATGGATTCTGACATGTAAAGTATAAGTTTAGAAAGTGCTCTGGCTATTTAATCAGTGAAATCCAATAATGCAGAATCCAATAGAAATCCATAAAAATGTGCCTCAGGGGCAGCAACACACCATTTGGTGATGTTAATAATTATTTTTGTTCAACCACTCTACATTCTGCTCTACATTACAAAGACGCAACAAATTAAAACTAAATACTTTCAATAATAGGAGCAACTTACCCTGTCTCATGGCAATAAAAAAATATGAGGCATGTATGAGATATTAATTTATCATCACAAGCAACTTATTGACTGATGATTTATTCAAACTTCAGCCACTGTCCGCTATTCCGCAGCAGCGCTGTTCACCGCCACCATAATCCTGCTCCAGACAGGAGTTTTCTGGACTGCTTTCATACCAGTTTTGATGAAAATCCTTGTTAGTTTCCACCACAGATGTAAGGATATCCACTTTCAGCTCGGAAAAGTTTCGAATCTTTCAAATATTTCTCCTCTTTCATGTTTGACCTCAGTGAGCAAGGCTTCTGAACCACGACTATTTAGGGGCGTGACATGTTAATGACAATTGATTTCAGCCACCGCATTTTTCAAGACCCGACCGTATGTACACTGGGATTAGTCAGATACGAACCCTTTCATAAATCTCATGTGTGTCCTATCGTACGATGAATCCTGCACTCAGATTTGCACTCAGTTCTACGCAAGATTGATAAATGAGGGCCATTGACTCTTTTTGAATTACACCTCAAAACCCAACTGATCAAACAAACATACTCACCCAGACTGTTTCCCCCGTTTTTACAACTGTTACATCTTTCAACTTGTTTTTTCACTGTTTGTTGTTTTCTGTGTCTTGTATGGTGCCCTTGGGTGTTTTGAGAGGGGCGTATAAATAAGATAGGATAAGAGGAACTTAATTGAACCCTGGAGGGAAATTCAGTGTTTTGAATAAAAATTTATTTTTATTATTATTATTATTATTATTATTATTATTATTATTATTATTATTATTATTATTATTATTATTATTATTATCATTATTATTGTGTTTAAATTAACAAATAACAAATTATTATTTTAAGACTTTAAATATTTTAAAAATGGACTGGAACAAACATCCTTCAAACCCTCCCTCAGGCTGTTCCTCAAGCACTTATTTAGATACAGAAAAGCCATCTTAAGATTTGAAAAATGATTTTTTTGATGCATTTAAGACTCATTTTATTCATTGAGATGAAAATTAGACAGCAGGCAGATATCTACAGAGCCTGCAAGTTTAAGACACAATAGAAACACAAAGCGTAACATTAATGTGTTATTTAGCGGCACAACACACAGTAATGCTGCAACGATGGACAGGAATAGCCATAACTGGATTTAATTGAAGTACTGTATTCAGAACCATGATTGCAATAAGACAGGTGGATTTGTGTGGTATCAGCAGTGTTGTGAGCGTTGCAGCAGACTGTTGTGGTAAAGAGAGAGCTAAGCTGCATGTTTAAGGTTTCGATTTACCAGTCCATCTGTGCTCCAACCCTCACTTGTAGCTATGAGCTCTGGGCCATGACTGAAAAAGTGACACAGCTCAAATTAGTTTCCCCTGAGGCTGACCCACTCATTTAAACCTTGAGCCTTGAACTATGAAATCTGGGGAATGAGGATCATGACAACTATTGAAAACTAGAGAGACACTATCCAAGAGGGCTGTATTCACCATGAATACTTAAACATACATAAGATAGTGTTTTACACCCTGAAAGCATGTTAATGTTGTCATTGAAAACACATCAGCATGTGCTCAAACCATAATTGAGTCTGATGCTGAAGTTTAATGAACATCAAAGAACTATAAATGTTTGTGTGTGACATAAATCATCATGTATTCACAGCATTTACAAGCAGCAGTGCTCAAATCTCGCCCCATAACCTCAGGAGATTAAAGGAAAAGCAGCTTTGACCGCTATCAGAGCCAGCGTGAAATAATCATTTCCTCATAGAGCAGACGCCCTCCATCTAGAGTTATAATTGCTTTAATTCCATGTCTTGAGCGGCTCCTCTCTAAAGCCATCCTAATCTGTCACAGGCTGTGCTGGAGCTTATTACAGAAATATTGATGGAGGATTCATTAACATGGTTATCATTTTATAGGCTATTTCCTGTGGAACCTCCAGCTGCCAAATGAAATAGCGCTCAGGTTGACGGTCTATCTGGAGAGTGAGGCAGAGGTCACATCCACAGAGGTCAAGAGACATGAGCACTGTGTCATCCACTTCCTGTCATGATGGTAAAAGGACTATTGATCTCCCAGCCAAATATCTTTGAGCCGATTACATTGACCCGGCTCATTTTGGGAATTGGAAACTGGAATTGCTGCTCCCTTTTCATCCTCTCTCAGGTGATAGGAAGCTTTGCCTGTAATAACATCAGACTGTATTGTCTGGAAACGTCCACACTGTGATCAATAAGCACCTGCTCTGCTGTTCTACAAGATTATATAGAGACCAGGATTGATCGAGTGCCCCCTTATCAGGGTTCATGCTCTGTCACCCTCCATTAAGAAAGGTCTTCAGATGATGAAACATGGGCTTTTAGATGATTTGTTGCACAAAATATATGACACATTCCTCCTTTTTTCTGTGGATCACACTCCTTTTTCTTTTCGGATTAGAGCGAACAGTAGACATTTCAGGACTTGACTGTAAGTAGCTTGTGCATCATGCTTTCCTTCTTCCCACTCTCATTAATTGACAATGAATGATGGTTCGTGCAGAGCTTTGCTAAGGTGGCACCTGAGTCTGTGACAGCAAATGACAGCTTTTTATTTTCTGTTTCCCTTATGTGAAGGAGCCCTTCATGCATCATGCAATCAAGCTCCAATTAGTAATACAGTATAGGTGTAGGTTCTCATTTCCAAAGCCTCAGTACCTGCATACTAAAGTTTTCAGGTTTTTGCAATGGTTAATGCTGTTAGTAAAATAAATAAAAGACACTCTTGAACCTGACACCTTCCAAAATAACAGTGCCAGATATTCACAACCCCTCAATGTGATTTAATATTGCCCACAGCTCCTGGCATGCACTTATAGGTCAATCCAAACATAGACATGAAAACAACACAACCATTTGACCATACAAGGACTTTATAACAGTTCAATTAAAGGCTAGAGGCAGAGCGTCATGTGCTACGGTAAATGACTCTGCTTTTGGTAATCTGTCATAATCTGTCATAATAATTATGTGGCAACAGAGAAAAGCAGAAAACTGAAGAAAGTATTTATTTGCATGATTTCATATAAAATTTTGCCACAAATGTTGTTAATATTTTTGCAAGTATAACCAAAACCCCTTAATCTTCCCTGTCATACTCAGAATGATGTGGATAATGTTTTTGAGGATTCATTTTCTCTTATAAACACCCCAATGAGACTCAAATCTGCCTTGGCCTACAGAGCATGCTCCACAGTGCACATATAAAAAGCATACATGTGTTGGAGGAAACTGAGTGGTAAGGAAGAGGATGCTGGAAATTGAAAAAGACAAAGCTTTCACATTGAGCTGTAAAGTTGTCCATGTTTTCACCATTCCAAATATCACCAGTTTTCCCTCTGCCAACTTGTTGATTGTTTTGGTGTGCAATATGGCACTGTAGTAACTAGCAGATAGGGGGCATGTCCTAACTTACCCTAACAGCCTGTAACCTGTTCTCCACTGATGTCTGCAGGCCCGGGCAAAGACAGCAGTTCAATTAAATCACTTAATAAAGCTTGAACTGTATTGATTTAGCTGTGCATGTGAATGAAATCAGACCAAAAGCCCCTTGGTGGTATCAATAAATACAGCCAGTATCAATAAAGTCAAAACCCACCATGCTAGGAAGCCTTCCAAAGCCCTTAATGCTGCATGAGAAAAAGAGAGGATGGAGGGGAGGAGAGTGAAATCAGAGGAACAATGAAAGTTGTGGTGTGGCTGGTGAGTTGTGAGGACCCAGAAGCAGACACAGAGACAGAGATCAACTTAAGGTGTAATTTAATGTCCAAACAAAGGTTGTAAATGCAAAAAGAGGAAGTCCTGTAGGCTGGCTGGCTGGCTGTCGTGTGGGCTGGAGACACTGCAGGAAAAACCAGAGGAGGGGTAGGTAAGTGAACATGCACAGAATCACGAGGAGCAAAGTTACAGATACTCTTACAAAGAGGAAGGCCAGGAGACGCGTCTGTACCGCTAGGAAGGGTAGACAATACTCAGGCGCTGAGACTGAGGGCTGCAGGCTTCTTAAAGTGCCTTGATTGGAGATGTGGAGCAGGTGTGTAGTCTCACTCAGCCTCAGCGACCTGGGGAGGGGAGGAAGCTCTGGAAGAGAGTAAAGCCGGACCAGGCAAACAAGGAAACACAGGAAGTCCAGCCAAAATAAAACAAGATGAGGAGGCGTCTCACCACAGAAAGTCACTCGAACAGAGAAAAATGGATCCTTACTCAGTCACTAAAGGATGCCTTGAAACAGATCAGACACATACCTTGGTCCTTAAAAGAGACTATAAAGAAGTGTTTGACATGAGTTTCCTCAAAAAACTAATAAGAATAACTGCCATTAAATTAATACAATTGACCTCAAGTTTTGATCTGTGCATTTCCAGACTTAGACCTGACAATACCACGAGATATATATAATTGTCAATGATATATCTATCTATATATATGTGTGTATATATATATATATATATAATTATAAATATATATATATATATATATATATATATTTATATATATATATACATTGTGTTGGAGAGGGCATTTCATGGTGTTTCATGTAAATCTGGATTGTTCATGAGTGCACTCTTACAGTACTTTTTCCAACTTACGCCCAAAGAAGTGGTTCAAAGAATCACTGCAACAGCAGATATTATTCAGTTTAATCAGGCATGTCAGTTTTTCCATGAAGTAACCAAACCCTTTACAAAACACTGTAATAAAAAGAAGCTACTGCAGGATCAGTTCACATCAAACCCCTGTTGCAAAATCCCTCAGGAATTTATATCTAGCTTAATTATGCACAACTAATGGATAACCAGCTGTTGTACCTTTGGGATTTTTAGTGGTTCAGTGACAGCTGTCTATTTTGGTCAATGATGAATTCAGTCTCAGTCTTGACTATCATGTGAAGGTACTTCAGTAAATGCACTGTGCTCTATAGGCCAATGAAAATTTAATAGAGAAACTTGCTGCAGTGTGACAGTCTGGGTACAGTGTAGGTACAGCAGGACTCCTGCTGCTTCAGAGAATAAAAAAGCTCTGCTGCATTGTGACTTAAGTGTGAACAAGATTCCTGATCCTAACATTGCATAAAAAAGGCCTTCGAATCCCCAAGCAGCTGAGAGGTTGTTTTTACCGAGAATGGAGCACTGGGCTGGGATCAAGAGAAATAAAGGTAGACAGAGTACAGTAAGAGAGGGCGAGGACACGATTTTTATTTTAAGGTAAGAGCAGCCAGGTTTATTTCTGTTCTTGTTTTAGAAGACAGAAGAGAGTAGAAAGAAGTTAGCACTCTATACATGGAAAAAATCTGAGTGATGAAGTTGAGAGAAGAATAGATGAGGTTGGGATTATAGTTTTCGTGTGTGTGCGTGTGTGCGTGTGTGTGTGTGTGCGTGTGTGCGTGCTTGTGTGTGTGTACGTGTAGAGCAATGTGACAGACCCAGGACAGGTGTATGTGTGTTTATAGACCACAGGTTCTCGCCTGCACACTTGCTTGTAAATACTTGTTGACCCTGAAATGAAGTGTCTGGCATCTGAGAACAATTTTGCAGCCCTTTCTGGAGGAGGGGCATTACACCACTTACACAAGTCCCCACTAAGACTCTGAAAATCAGCTGTGGACTCATTTGTATCAGTCTGTGCATCCTGCAGCCTGCTTTTGTTGTATTTCCCCCTCCTGCTGTGTCTCTTTGTGCTCCTGTCCTGTAATGATGATGGAAGCATAGGTTTTCATAAAAGACGAGGGTGGTACAGCTCAGTGGAGGATTTAGCAGATCATTTAAATGCACAAACTGTAACAGGACCATGAAACTTGGACATTATTTTCTTTGCTTTTCATGGCTCTCAGGTGTCGACACAGACTTTGTGAGGGAGCCTTTTTTCTGCAGAGGTGTCAGTCTTTATGAATAATTGTTGCACCTTGTGGCAGCAGGAAATGGAACTGCAGGGCCATCAGTTTTCAGTGTTCAGCCGGTGTCCTGGGTTGGATGCTGACCTTGTAAAATGAGCGATATACCTTTTAAAACAGCTGAATCTGATTGATTGGACCGTGGTGCTGTCCCCCTGACAGTAAACATTTTCAGCATGCAGTCATATTTTTAACCTGCTGGCCAAACACAAGGTTAGAGCAGGATGATTCTGCAAAGGGCACTCCAAGATCATGAAATGGAAACATTTAAAGATTTAAATCTGATCCACTCTGGTTAAAAGAAATGTTTCATGGTCAAATCATACAATCCCATCAGTGCAACAATGGCATTTAGTACAAACCCCAACCCTATTGAAGATGTGATATTGTGTAAACAATTATGAGTAGCCTTTTCCACCTATATTCAATTAAATACTCTACAAAGACAAGATGTTTAACCTTCAAACTGATAAACTTGATCCGTTTTTGCAAATATTGGCTCATTTTGAATTTCTAAAAAGTTGGTTCAGGGTCAACAGAAGTCTGGGAGACTTGAGGACTGCTCCAAAAACACCTGTTTGGATCATTCCACAGGTGAACATGTTCATTGAAAGAAGAGGAGGGTCATGACTGAGTGTAAAAGCATCCCTCTTAGTTACTCCATGAGCTTTCTCAGATCACACATCACACTCTTAGGATGTAGTAAACTTTACTGTAGTCTGTTACAACTTTCTAGATTATTTCATCTTTTCTATCAGGCACAGATTGGCACTTTCAGAGCAGAGACACAAGTTTTTTTTTTAATGTGGAAATACAAGTATGACTAACTCCAATCACTGTAGCTTCATATGACAGCTTGATGTCTACCGTTTCATGGCTCCTGGAGCAGATCCCACTAAATTATACCTGAAGCACACCATTTTAATATGATTAGTTGTAGCTCTGCTTTTCTGCTGTGGAAAATATGTCCTTGTCCTTGAAATTGAATTGACTGCAGTATTGTCCTGAGGAGACCGTCCTCAGGAGGCTCTGCTGCTGGGATATCAGACAGTGGGCACAGGACCAGGGTTTAGAGGCTTCACAGCGATCATGTCAAAACGGATGCATTATTTATCATGGAAAGAGTTCTTCTGCATCAGGAGCGTTCTGCTGTAATGGCCTCCCCAAGGCCGGGCGAGGTGACGACCTGATCGCTCCATACCTCAGTGCTCTTGTCCTGCTGCAGGAGCGTGTTTGATCATGCACCAGGAAGACTCCAAATGAGGAGGATAAATTATTCAAACAAACCTGAAACAAAGCGCTCCTTGTTTCATTCCCAGGATCCATCTCACTTTCTGCTGAGCCTTTTTTAACCATTTTCTTCTCTCCTCTGTCTCTTGTCTATCAGTTCACGTCTCGATCCCTCTCGTGCTGAGCTTGTGAGACTCCATCTGCTTGTCCAAACACAGAAAATCAATCAGGCTCATTGAAGGACGGTGAACACAGACACCCTGAAGCTCTGTTCACATGTTTTAGTTCTCGCTCTCATCACCAGAGGAAGAACGAAATGGTATCCATGGGAACAAAGAGGTTTTCCATTTCTGGGAACCACAATGTATTTGCATTAATATGTGCGTGTCTGTTTACACACACGCTGCATGAACTCATCTGCTGCAGTAAATCCCAGTCAGAGAAGTCGTATAAGGCTGATAGAGTCAATAGGATGTCTGGGTGTGTGCTCACTGAACAGCCTGAGAGTATAATCCATATCTACAGCTCTCGCTCTGTCTCAAACATTTACTCTACTCGGCCAAAAGCATATGGACAGATAAGGAGAAGAAGAACAAAATATTTAAAAGTTTTCACAAACACAAAGAAAATCACAAGATTTCAGACCAGATTTAGGGGATTTCAGGACAGCCAAGAGTGCACAAAATTACAGATTTTATTTTTTTACAGTGCAAAATATCAACAGCCAAGTGAGTTTAATGTGATACACAGAGATAACTCTGGGTTCTTGTGCAAAGGTGTTTCACTTGAAGAGTCTCCCTTGTCTTTTAATGCATTGTTGGGGTCCCTTTCAATGGACTTCCTTTATTCAATTGGGCAGGCAGCTGAGCTTGCACACCTCACTGCAGCCTTTTAGTCTGGTGGTGCAGTGGACATCCCTGTCATGACCCTTAGCAGTGAAGGACAACTTGACTTTATGCACTTGAGAGCGCTAAATCCTCGCCAAAACCCTGAGGTAATCAAAAACTTTGAGAGGTTTTGCATACAACCTTTTAAAAACCAAATACAGAGACCAGGAAATCTTCAGCATTACTACCATATTGTATTCATTACACTTAGACCGTGTTTTGTTTTTGCTTTTGAACCCTTTCTCTTACCTTTCTCTTCTCTCTCCCTGACATCCTTTCAATCTTCAGAAGTTGACAATCCTCCGGTTCAGCTGTGTGTTTACAACACTGAGACTGAATACAAATATGGCATCGTCCTTGTCAAGTCACTAAAAGTCAACAAATAACCAGATCAAGAGTTCCATTAGCTGCAAACACCTAATGCTCTCTGTCTATTTACACTCCATGCTGTTTCATCTGGTTTTAGAGCTCATGTTTAAAGCCCTGTGAGATGCTGCGGCCCAGGTTTGGTGTGCACACGGTGTGGACAGAGCTGTTGTTCACAGAACTTTTAGGCCTGAGCCAGCAGACAGTGTTCAAAAAAGACCCTCGTGAATGTCCTGTGGTGCATTTCAAGGACCACTTTGGACTAAAAAATGAGACACTTAAAAAATGTTTATCCTTTGACTCATTGTCACCTTTCACCTTCAAATCTCCGCTGTACCGGAGCCCTGCAGTTAGTGAGCTGTTTTCTTCTGTCTCTGTAGTTTTACTTTGGCCCTTGGATGGTTTGGATGTGAGTGTTTTAAACATTCAGGGACCAAATAAGACTCCAAATAACAAGTACTAAACCGCAAGTTAATTTAATTGAACTGCACATTTGATTGGTTTGCATTTTGAAGGTGTCTATTTATGCACTGCATTTATTTTGATTGTGTTTATTTGAAGTGCTTTATAAATAAAGATGAGCTGAGATGAAGTGATCAACTAAGGTCGCTTTCACACCAGAGCTGTTTGGTCCGCTTTAAACGGACTAGAGTTCATTTCCTCGGATAGTCTGCTTCGTTTGGGCAGGTGTAAAAGCTCATCTGAACTCTGGTGCAGACCAAACAAGCGAACTCTGGTCCACCTGAAAATGTGGGTCTCGGTTCGCTTGCAAGTGAACCCTGGTTCAGTTCGTATGCAGTGTGAAAGCTCACCGGACCAAACACAGGACCAAATGTCATAATGACGCTATACGCAGTGCATACGCAGTGCATCTTGGGTAGCGGAAGCACGGTGTCCCTTGTTGCAATGGCAACAAGTGACCATTGACATTAGCAGTTGCTAGCTAGCTTAGCTCAATTGTCTGAACATCAATAACCCATAATTTTACAATTTGGCATATCTAAACAAAATCAAATCACAACTACCAACAGTCACAGTCCTTAAAGTCTGAGCTCATATGTTGTCACATGTTAGATCATCAAAATTAAAAAAATAACAGGATCAATCCCTGACAAGCTACGATAGCATTATAGGAACAGTTGCATTCACTAATGTTATAGCAATCCATAAAATAATGTGACGAAGCACAATACAAGACGGCTAGTCCACCCCTGTTTGTAATTCGTGAGGTTACATACCCTCATACTTCGTCCAATCAACGAGCGCCCCTTTCAACCACGTGATGCTGCTCGGAAAGTTCAGTGTGCTTTAGAAATCACAGTATGAAAGCAGAACCGAAACAAGTGATAAATGCAACAGTGTTGCGACTTTCAGCTCCCTAATCGAACGGAGTCTGCTTGTTCAGGTGTGAAAGCGACCTAAGAAGACCTGCCCTCATGACATCAGGTGCAGAGACTGTGGAGATGGAGCTGTTGAAAGAGGCTTTTGTGTGTTTTGCAGGTGAAGAGTTTGGGCAGAAAGGAGACTGACAGTAGGTAAAAAATAAATTCCTGATTACAGGTTGAGCTAAAGCAAAGTCATCTGAGATAAGAGAAAGTACAATACAAGGAGAAAAAAGGTGAAATGAAACAGACCATTCCCACAAAATTGTCCCAAATCAATTTGAAAAAGCTGAAAACAGTCTGCAGCTCTTGAGGATGGGTTTTATTTATAGCTTAGGAGGTGCTGCTGTGTCCTCTGTGGTGTGGGGGAACTCGGGCCACTGTCGCACAAACTAGACAGCTGGTCGTGCTATAGGGGAGGGACACATCATGAAAGAAGAAAACCTCAGGTAGAAAACTAAGAGTAGCGAACAGATGAAAGGAAGATGACATTCAAGTCAGTTTTATTTTTCTGTATTCCACAGTAGCTGTGAGTTGTCCACAAATATAGACCCAGATATAATGACGCTTTATCAACGTGTTTTCCTGCCCCTTTTTTCCAAAGGTGTTAGATTTGAACAAAGTAAAAAAAAATATATATATATATATATATATATATATATATATATATATATAGATAGATAGATAGATAGATAGATAGATAGATAGATAGATAGATAGATAGATAGATAGATATGTGTGTGTGTGTGTGTGTGTGTGTGTGTGTATATATATATATATACAGTATATATATATATATATATATATATATACATTCATTTAAACAAATCAGGCCCTTTGTGTGAAACTATGCTTTTATTTTAAAGTATCCCACTTCTGGTCGCTTGTAAGTCATTGAACTGAAAGTGTGTTTGGAAAATGTAAATGTCTCTTTTAATTATTAACCTGAAGAGGCACAAGCTTTACAGTTTTTTTTTGGATTTACAATATACCTTTTGAATGTGTCTCATTATCTCAACAAATGCTACAGCTTGCTCACCAGCAGCTGCTGCTGCTTCTTTATCTGACTTCTGTTTTATGGCATTTGGTAACCAGCACAAAGAACTCACAGTGTTACTGTATGATTATTCTAAACACATTTTCTTTTTTTTTTTTTCTTTTTGCTTGTTTGTTTATTCTGGTCTATTGCAACAGCTCTGTTATATATGTATCACAATTAGCTAAACACATTGGTATGAATGTGCTCTAATTTACAATAACTTATATTTAATCCATAAATATGATATGAATACATGGAAATTGTAACCTGAGATATGAAAGTGCAGAGCTACTATCATGCTGAAGTGATGGATGATTTTGACAAACTGGCATTAAAGGGTCTGACCGCCTCTGGATTAACATCAGTGTGCTGGTGTCTCCTCTCAGCCTGGTGCTGTTGTAGTGGTCAGTAAGCTGCTGCAGTTGATTCTCTGAGTCAGAACCAGCTGAAGTGAACTAGTCTCTGAAAAAAAGAGCTGAACCGTCAGGATTTGGGTTCCTCTGTTGAGAAAATCAGTAAACTTGATTCTTGCCAAACATTCACTCCAGTTTCTTTCTTAACTTTGTATTTGCCAAAGTCAACAGAGATAATTGATCGTTAAATATTTCAATCCTTGCTGCACCTCAACAGGCCTGCATTTCCCATACTCATGCTTTATTTATGAATGAGTCACAGTCTGAGTATTCAAGGCTTGAATAAATTAATCTGTGTGTCCAGTCAGTGAATGCAGAGTGTACTGTAGAGATATCTGCACTTTTCATCTGTGTCACTGAGGAACCAGCGGAGCAAGCGGCAAACACAAGGACATGACATGGGTAGATTACATTTATAATACAACTCTCTAATTGTGGTACTGGTCTATTTACATATTTCTATTAAGTAAGTGATTATAACTTTCACTGTTTGTCTGCTTCGTGGCAAAAATATTTAAGATGCGCATTTTGTTGTTCTTCCTTTGTTGACTGCCCAGAGTCGTTTGCATGCACAGTTAAGTCAAGCACTGGTTAGATATACTGGACTGCTGTTATCTGCTGCAGTGAGTGGCGACTCATTGGGTCACTAAGTGAAAAGCTGGGCAGAAAAGGGTTGAATGAAGTTGTATGTTGTGTTTTTGGTGTGACATGAATCAAACTAGTTTCAGTGTCAGCTCGCTTTTCAGAGCTAGGTGAACGACACAGCGTAGCTCAGCTTTTATTTCTTCACAGACCTACCTCTGACCGGCTCATGTAAACTCTTAAAACACTCGGGTATATGTCCAATCTGAAAGGTGATCAGACATCTGCAAATACTCTCATTATATTGAAAACCTGAAACACCTCAGTGTGAGCCCAGGAATGGAACGCTCTGACCTGCTGCAATGGGATCACTCTGCAGGGAGTGCTATAAATATAAAAGTTACAGTCTGTGGAAAACTGACAAAAGAAACAACAAAAAAACACTATGTGCTAATGGACTACATCTGTGTTACGCTGAAGTGGAATAGACAAACATTCAGATGTTTTCATAAGCTACTGTTTTTCAATTAAGCTGATTTTAATACAAATCTTTGTAGATCTGAAATTACCATCCAAGTAGCACCACAATATGAAGAATTTATCAAGAAGTTTAATCTTTGAGGGTGAGTGGAGGACTTTAACACACAGAACATGGACTTGTGAGGACAATGAGGTTATGTGGGGTAGCTCAAGCTTTAGAGGGTGAAACATTGGGATCTTACACAGGCAGGAAAGTTCAAGGTGTTTTTTCTGTGACAAACAAGCAGAATCTTTTTATTTGCCAGAGGGAGGGGTAAATGCACAGGAACAGGTACAAACACTCTGAGGTGTTTCTGCTGTAAGGAAACAATGAATGATGGAGTTTGAGCCTTTCAGAGAAAAGAAAATCAATGTCTCCAGCCTCTCATCCTGCCTCTAAACCTCATCAAACATAAACAAAGCAGGAATAAGGGAGTGAAAGACTGATGGGGGGGTAAAACAGAGATGGACGGAGTCAAAGAAAGTTTATCCAGATGTTTATTGTGTGAGTGAGAGAAACACAGACATTTGGCAGAGAGTCTCGGGCCTGAAACATGAGTAATACATGTTATAAAACAGATCCTGTGAGCCAAGAAAAAGGCTAAGCAGGTTATTTCTGGATAAAAAAGACAGCTGAATGTTTCTGTGTTTTCCGTCCATGGCAGTATTAAACTAAATGTTGCATACTGTCGGTTCTCAAAGAGTAAGTGGGCTATGAGAAAGCGAGGACTTTAATTAGTCCACCATGAAGACCAGTACAAATGACAGGGTATCCAGGGAAAAGCGTAAATGGCTTGTGAGTCCAAAACACACACACAAATCAGAAATCCCAGATGGACTGAGGCTGATCTTAAATCCCATCAGTAGCTCATTTGCATGTCATGAAAACAAAATACAACTTCTCAGACTCCAGTCCCAAAGGACAGAAAAGTATCCCCCTCATGAAGATGTGTTTTTTTAAAAAGATAAGAAAGAAATGTGCTCAAGTTAATTTTGGAGCCATTTTAAGAGCAAATGAAGTAGGTCACTTTGATGAAATATCTTTTGTGTAAATGTGCTTTGCTTCAGGAAAACATCACAACATGCTTGAAAGATGCTGAAGTGAACATAAAAAGGCAAACTCACCGAAGAGAGTGTCTCTCTTGGTTGGACTCCAACGTTGTGGGAATGTGATCTTAGTTTACTCAAAAGTTTATGATTTAGGAACAAACAACACAAGCACCCTCAGAACAACTTTTATCAGTCATGCTTCACACAGACCTTTCTTTTTGCATTCAAGTACAATCATCATGTCCTATAGAAGGAGAAAGACAGCAGAGGGGAAATGTCCATGCAGATCCTTTTAGTGGAGATGCCAACATAAGTTGAGGTAAAAAAAAGAAGTGAAAAATGTATCCCAACTACAGGCGACACCAAAGTCCTAAAAAGTCATCTTTTTCGAAATGTCATTGCCAGAGAAGCAGTAATAGTAATCATTACCTAAATAAATAGTCTGACTTCTGTCTCAAACTCATGGCAATCTATATTAAACTCTTGCAAGATAAATATTTTTCCTGAAACCACCAACTGGACTTTTTAATGACTCTATAATATTCTGTTTCTTTTTGAAGTTGCTTCAGTCTGTGAACTTTTTATGGTTCTCAGTAGTTTAAAGCGTTTTTTTGTTCAGTGACACCAGCTTTAAAGTCTAGTTTGAACAAAAGAGAAAATTAGTTTTAAAAGTTTAATGAGAGTAAACTTAATTTTATCAATTTTGATATGAAAAACTTATTTCCAAAATTAAGTGACATCCCTAGATCTTGTTGTAATAGAAAAGAAATGCAGACTACAGTCAGAGAGCGAGGGCCTGAACATGCTCATGAGTCAGTCAGACTTATGAATGCATCCACACTGGAGCAGATCAAATAAGTCTTTTGTATGTTATCATATATTTTCAGGAACTTCTGCTCTCTGGTTGTCCGACAGATAGCACACAGTGGCAAGTGTCGTAGACTTTGTAGACAGACTGTGGGTTATATAGATGAGAGAACATTTCAAGTACTCATGCACACCTTCTCCTGCTGAGCCAGCAGGACCCTCTAGAGTTCAGGTCCTCTGGAGATTAAGAGTCTTTATGGGACCTGATGACAGCAATAATTGCCTGACACTGTGGATTAGCCTCTGTAAGACTCAGCCAAAGCGCCTCAGATATTTTACTTTCAGACTCTTAATAATGTGTTGATTCGCGGCATGTTGCTTCTCAATTACAGCTGAGCAGATGCTTAATCAGAACTCCACTTTCTTGTTGTCAAAGTGAAGCACTGAAAAATCTCATAAACATGCTGCCAGTCTTCATCTTTCACACATAAATAGATTATCTGCAGGAATTAAGTTTAGATTCAGAGCTGTGAGGCATTATGGAGACATATGGAGAAGTGGACCCAGCTTGTTGAAACTCCAGAGTACACAAAGGACAGGATGGGGAAGGGATGACTTTGGGGAAAATGATGGACAACAGATGAACAGTTAGCCACAAATTGACAACATCACAGGTGACAAGTGATGGGAAGAACAGTTGTTTTGAATCTTTAAAATCCATTCATTAAAACGATTTGTTCAAAAGATTCGTTCACTGAATCAGTCAGTGTTTCGGAGCTCCGTCCTACCAGTGCAGTACACGAGTGGGTGACACAGCTGCGAGTTCGTTCATTGAACGAGCCCCTCCCCTGCTGCTGAAGTCACAGCATCGTTCACTGTGTGACACATGTCGTTCATTCACCAAGTCCTGAAGGAAGAATCACTCTCCTGCCCTGAAAAACTCACCTCTCTGTATGTCGCTGTTAACGGAAACAACACAGCAGCAAGCAGCACGCCTGCTTGCTGCTGTGCGAGTCGTAGTTCTTTTATATCGCAGAAAAGTGGAGAGATTAAAAATAAATAAACATTGCAGCTGTAGCGAGGATTCTGATACTTTTAAAGATATCAAATAGTGTATTGCTTTAAATCAGCTAAAATTAAATCCTTCTCGCAGGAGAGTTTATACACATGTATTAATGTAAAGGCACTATAATGACCTGTTTTATCTTAGCCTCAGTGAACGAACCGGTGCTCGGCAGGTTGTAAACGATGCTACACCCTCTCCCTCTGCCTGAGTAAAGTAATTCAGAAGTCATTCGTTTCATTCACCATGTCATTCACAGACAGACTGATACATTTCGTTCACTGATGTTTCGTTCACTGACTGATACATATTGTTCATATGCTGTGAGTGAATCACAAGACTCCAGAAAAAAATAAAATACAGACATAAAATAATAAAAAAATACAGAAAAAAATCTGTAAAATAAACAGTAAAATTCTGTTATATAACCTTTTTTTTTTTTTTTTTACAGTGTATCTTTACTGTATGCATTTACCTCCACAGCAAAGAGCATCTTCTTTTCTATTATCTAAATACACCATTATATTTAGTATTCTATTTAGGCTTCACACAAGTTTATATGTTCAGGTACTCTCATGCTGCCTTAAGAAACCTTTTGTCGGTAAAAATATACAAGCACAGTAACCGTAAAAAAATAGTATCCTTCTTTCTTTAATGAGAAAAATCACAGTCGTCTGTCAAAGATTATGTTGACAGGAAAACAAGCAGGAACACCACAGATGCCTGCCACATACAAAGGCCCACACACGTGCATGTGCACATGCAAGCACACACATATGCACTTCAGGCAGGTTTAGGTAGGAGAGCTATAATGAAGCAGAGCAGAGTTTTAGAGGAAGGATCACCTCATTAGTTGAAGCTGCAGCTGTGTCTGTAAGCCATCACATGTACGAGTGATCAGCAGGATTTCTTATTTGCTTTTTGTCAACAAAACATCTAAGGTTGGGCAATCCTTAGAGCAGCTGAGTTCAAGAGAAAAGGGATGTGAGAAATCAAACTTCATCATCTCTATTTTCTGGAGCCAAAATAAACATGCCCACAGCTACAAACCAGATATAAAATGCCCTCTTAATTTTCTTGTCTGGTATTTATGGAGTAAAACTCTCTGACTGGACTGACCTTGGTTTGCCTGTGTGAGAGCATCAGGTCTCAGCCAGCCGTGTTCTGGATCTTTTGAGAGATTACCGCTGAAGGTTGACTGTTAAACCTACAGCACAGCCTCAAAACATTTCCTCTAATCAAAGTGTAACCTCTCCCATGTCATTATTATTAGCACAGTCAGAGGAAACAGGTGAATATTTTCACAATATAAGCCTGGTTGTCTCAGAGGGGTGTGTTTGGAGCCCAAAAGCCTCAGAGACCTTGACCTTCCGGTTCCTGCCTTAACAAGACTAACAAATTAGCTGCCGTGCTGATGAGTATTCAGAGCTGATTGGGAGGGGTTTCAACACTGAAGCTAATTTTTAAACTTAAAGATTTTTATTTAAGCCTATAGACGGCTGATGGGGAGGTAAAGACCTGAAATAATAAGACAAAGAAACAATATAAGAGCTTTTAATGTACCTGAACAGGGCATCAGGGTCACTGAGTGTTTCCATGAATATGAAAATGGTGTGAATAATATGCTCTGACCTCCAATGTCACTGTACTAAGAAAAGTGTAATAAGCTGATATTTCTATGGCAGTGTGAGCTCCACAGACAGTTTGATGAAGCTGAAACAAACTCTGTCTGCCAAAGAAGTTCCTGCAGCCATGCAGACAGATTCTTCAGGATAAGTGCAGATACTTAAACTCCAGCTCATTTTCTGTTTCTAATGACAAACATAAAAACCAAGCCCCACAAAAAGACTCAGACTTGTTCTCTACTCTTAATTAATTCCATGTAACCTCCCTGATCTCGTGTACTTCCAGCAGATGTGTGTGTGTGATTGATTTAAATTTTACCACCAAAGAACAGAGGATGAATGAGGCCAAAAACGTGTTGGAGGGAGGATTTCTAATTACATAGCAATTGACTCACTTGTTGTGAGCATTTGAAGTGTAAATCGTAAAAAAAAAATAGTAATGAATAAAAAAAAAAAACTCAATATAAGTGTTTGTTTATAAACACAAAAGACCCTTCAGGGGAGCTTCAATTCATAGGGCTCTACTTTCGTGCTTCGCCAGAGATGCGGTGCAGACAAGGGGCTCTATTTTCGTTCGCGCCGGTGAGGCGGCGGAGGGCGGCGAGCCCCGCGCAGTTGTATTTTCGTCTGGCGGAGCCCGGTGTAAGGCGAGTTTGGTATTTTCGTGGACTGAGTCGCACGGAGGCGAGCCGAGATCCGCCAAGCTGGGCGTGGTGGCGTGGCAGGGGGAGGTGTTGACAGAATCAGCTGGCGCAGTGACATTTTCGTGCTCGCCACCAGCGTGTAACGTGCGCTGAAAGCTCGCCGATTCAAACCTGGTCAGCTTTCAGCGCAAGGCGGAACGCAGCTGGTCCAGTAGTATTTTGGTAGACCGGCGGCGTATCGACATACGTCACCGATGCCTCACCGGCAGGTTTCCACAGTGTCAGGCACATTTCAGTGCAATAAATAATCATCATCAACTATTAATCTGAGTCAGCACATACATTTAGATCTATATCGATATATTCTGATCTATATCTGATCTGATGAGCGCGTTTGGCACGCGTTTGGCACGCGTTTGGGCACACAACCTGACCGAATCAATACAGCTGAAACTGCATCAAATTAAATTAAATATCTAGTAAATAAACACACATGATGAAGTTAACAAGATATGTAATGTGTCTCCCTCCTTTTCTTTCTTCCTCTTATTTCTCGCAGAGCTCGACCTGGACACGTCTCCGTGTCCTCTGTCCGTCTTGCTGCAGCTGCTGCGGCTGAACAGATGATTTGTTTCAGTGCTCAGATGCGTTATCTACTTTAAGCCGACATACGGATATTATAATATTCAGTTTTGTGGGCCAAATTTATTTTATATGCCAACATCTATGAAAGAAAGAGCCAGGCCACGGAGCGCGATGCGTCATTTACGCACAGATGGTTCCGATTTTAATGCCATTTTTGGAGTTTATGTTGTGATCTGTGCGCTAAACCCACCTTTGTCACGTGAGGTTTGAATATATGCAACTTTATGTGAGTGTCTTTTTTGTGGAAAAGGGTGTTTGTCTTACCAGTGGGTCCAACATTACGCACACCAAATCCATCTGTGCTCAGATGAGAGAGTGTGGAGGACACTTGTTGAGCAGCTGCCCTCTGTCGCCATCGTGTGGCATAACTGTCTTCAGACATCTCTTGATCTCTTTGACTACTTCATGGAAATAGTATTACGCCTCGCCGGTGGCGGATTTAAAGGCAAGGAGAGGAGCTTATGTGATTGGTGAAAACAGGTCTCGGCTGTGTTAAACCGACTCCACGCCCTCTCTATGACTTATGCTGCCGGGAGGAGCTGAGTTAGGGAGGGGGGATACTTACGCCGGGCTGCGCGGCTCATCAAAATACCAAAATGTGCTCGGGAACGCCTTGTCAGCGCGGCGGATCTGATTGACGCTGCGCTTGCGGCACGTCTTCGGCGAGGCACCAAAATAGAGCCCAAGGTGTTCCCAAGCACAATTTGGTATTTTGGTGAGCGGCCCTCCCTAACTCAGCTTCTCCCAGTGGCGTAAGTAGTAGAGAGGGAGGAGAGAGGGTATGGAGTGGGTTTAACACAGCCGAGACCTGTATTGACCAATAACATCAGCTCCTCTCCTCGCCTTTAAATCCATCACCGGCGAGGCGTATTACAATTTTTGTGAGGTAGTCAAAGAGATTAAGAGATGTCTGAAGACAGCAATGCCACACGATGGCAACAAAAGGCAGCTCCTCAACAAGTGTCACTGTAAGCGCAGCAGAGAGCGTCCTTCACACTCTCTCATATGAGCACAGATGGATTTGGTGTGTGTAATGTTGGAGCCACTAGTAAGACAAAAGCCCTTTTCCACAAATAAAGACACTCACATAAAGCATATATCCAAACCTCACGTGACAAAGGTGGGTTGTGCGCAGAGATCACATCGTAAATTCCAAAAATGGCATGAAAATCGGAACCATCTGTGCGTAATTACGCATCGCACTCTGTGGCCTGGCTCTTTCTTTCATGGATGTTGGCATATTAAATAAATTTGGCTCACAAAACTGAATATTATAATATCCGTATGTAGGCTTAAAGTAAATAACTCATCTTGTCACTGAAACAAATCATCTGTTCAGCCGCTGCAGCAGCAGCTGCAGCAGCACGGGGAGAGGACACGGAGACATGTCCAGGTCAAGCTGCAAGAGAAATAAGAGGAAGAGGAAGAAAGAAAAGGAGGGAGACGAATTACATATTGTGTTAACTTCATCATGTGTGTCTATTTACTAGATATTTAATTTAATTTAACGTTTCAGCTGTGTTAATTTGGTCAGGTTGAGTGTCCAAACGCGTGCCAAACGTGCTCATCAGATCAGATATAGATCAGACTATATCTATAGATCTAAATGTATGTGCTGACTCAGATTATTAGTTGTTGTTGATTATTTATTGCACTGAAATGTGCCTGAAACTGTGGAAACCTGCCGGTGAGGCATCAGTGACATATGCCGATACGCCGCCGGTCTACCAAAATACCACTAGACCAGCTGTGCTCCGCCTGGGCTGAAAGCTGACCAGGTTTGAATCGGCGAGCTTTCAGTGCACTTTATACGCCACCGGCAAGCACGAAAATGTCACTGCGGCAGCTGATTCTGTCGACACCTCCCCCTGCCACGCCACCACGCCCAGCTTGGCGGATCTTGGTGCGCCTCAGTCCACGAAAATACCAAACTGGCTGTACACCGGGCTCTGCCAGACAAAAATACCACTGCGCGGAGTCTGCCACCCTCCACCACCTCACCAGCGGACAGGAAAATAGAGCCCATAGTCATAAAGGAAAATAAAGTGGTACTAAGTCAATATATGAAGAAGATCAATTCATTAATTTAGTCGACACATCTCGGCTTTCTGCTTAGTCTTTTCAGAGTCCTGATCCCTACAAAAATGTAGCTCTAAGGAGACAAAACATTAGGTACACTTAAGCCAGATGCTCCACAGTCCATTAGACCTTAGCACCACTTTATTCTCACAACATGAGGACTTTATTTTCCTAATATTATGAATTTAATACGATTTTATTTTTTCAACAATGACTTTAATCAAGTCACATTACAACTTTTCAAGTTTTTCATACATTTTGTTTCTTGCAGTCTTAAAAAAATGCTTCAGTATGGCCCTAATACTGCATTAAATGAAGAAACAGTTAAAAAAAAAAAAGTGGAAATAAAACAAAATTAAAATTAAACTGGCAGGATCTAAAATGTGGGCCTACCCCCGCTAAGCCCCAAATACAGGCAGGTTTTCTCTTTCCGAGGACTTCTTTCCTCATGAAGTGTAAATTCTTGTACCAGGTCAGTCATGTGATAAGGATAATCATGCTAAGACATTCCCCTGTTTCATGGTAAATGGTGCAGCATTTTTCTTCTGCTCCTGATCTGTCTGCAGATTTTACAGCTGATGCATGCACACGTGTTTTATCAATTTTTAATGACTCCATTCAGTCAAAACTTTGAAGGTCACTTTATTTGCTCATTCATTTCTGTACTTTAAATTTCAGATCATTTTATAGAGTCATATGTCATTCTTTTGTTTTACTACCTTGGATTTTATCAAAATTTGTTTGTTTTCGAATTTTATTCTTTGTGTTTTATGTCCAGGAATTGATTATTATTCATTTCTTCATTTTTATTTTTAAGCTTTTTTATAAATTAATGTACACAGGTGTTCACTTAATAAAAAACTCTCCCTGTATATCTTGATTAATGCGATAATAACCTCATAATTAAAGGCAAAAAACAGGGGGGAAAAGTCTTTCATAAATGAATCTAAAAATTTTACCCCTAATGCAAGAAAAAAAAAATCTCATGGCATCAACATAATAACTTGATTTAGTAAGAAAAAGAGAGCAGTGAGTGTAAGACACTTCCATAGTGATAACTGAATTTATGTATTTTCTATAGCTACTCCTGGGGCCTCATGTATCAACGCTTGCGGCGCAAGAAAACCTTGCGTACGCCAAAATCGGCGCACACGTCCAGATTTATCATCGCGAAACGAGCGTCGGTTCCAGCGCTAATCAACGCAAAGTCAGGAGGTGGTGTAGAAATTGGCGTTGAGCTGGATACTTGCGTTGACTGTGATTCGCACTTTGGCGACGCTGTGTGGCGGTGTTTGGTGACTCACTATGTGACAAGCGTGCACCACATCCCCGTGGCCGGGCAGCACGTCGCCCCACATGACGAACCAGCAGCAGACGGAGGGATGCGAGCTGATCCCTGCCGGGCCGCCGTCCTCGCGCGGGAGAATCTCATCGCCACAGTGTGAATGGGTAAGAAGTGAATACACAGTTCAATGAGCCAAATTAATTTATTTTCTCCACCAGACGCTCGAGGAAATTTACGAGCCGGTCCAGCCGCTCGTTGATCCCCGCGATCCCCCTGATGATTTCTTCCTGCGATTGCAGGACCCCCTCCGCGAGGACCCTTCCACTGCGTCCGGGTGGTCCAGCGGAAGCGCCGCGGCTGGTGGACGCTCCACCGCTTGTCGGCGCGCTGGTGCTGGGGCCGGGGGCGGGGGCCGGGGTGGCCCGAATGCCGCTGGTCCTGGCCGACGACTCCGAGCCGGCGGACGGGCTGCCGCGGGCCAGGGTTCCGCAAGCCGGCGACACGGCCGACACATTGATTTCTGTGACACAATAAAAATATTGGTTCATTTCAATTCCTGCTTCTGTGTATCTGTTGCGTTTACATCTCTCTCCACGGTATCATAGGTAATGTAATCCAGTATTTCGAGGTCAGTTATGCACATTACAGTTGTTTATTGCATAAAAAGTTATCGAAAAATGAAGTTAAGGGCGAAGTATAAATCACGTCTAAAAATAGACTGAATCCCGACGTTGAAATGAAGTATAAACTTAGACTAGACGTCTAATATACGTCTTTTGCTCAGTGGGATGACAAAGCATGTGGACATTTGTGTGACACGCCACTTACCCTATAATAATAATCGCCACCACCCGCTGCTCAAACGGCGTGAGGGTCTCCTCCCACGGACCCCCACCTGTCTGGCCGGTACTCCTCCGGAGGGCAGCTGTACGCCGCTTGACCTCCACCTTGAGGTCCGACCACTTTTTTTTAATCTCCGCGGGGGTGCGTGTCTCGGAACCCACCGCATTCACCCTCTCGCAAAATTTCTCCCACTCCAAGTGTTTTTGTTTTGCACTGACGCCACTGGACAGGCTGCCAAACAAAACACGCTGTCGCTCCTCCACCTCCGCCACCAGCACCTCCACCTCGCACGCCGTAAATTTAGTTTTTCTTGTCATTTTGTCTGCGTGCGAGGACAGGGAGACCCTATTTAAATAAATCTGCATATTTATAGGAGGGCGTAACGGGGACGGGCCCAGTCACTCCGACATCTGCGCTTAATTCCACGCTGATTGGGATTTATCAAAGAAACACACGTGGATTTCGGCGCCCGCACACATTGATACATACGGATTTTTTTCAGCGTGACGGACCTTGCGTGCGCTCGTTTCTGGTATGAGTTCCACGCAAGTGTTGATACATGAGGCCCCAGGTATTTTCTCACAGCAGTGTTTCCTCAGCTCCTCCTGCTCTCTTCTGTCCTTTGTTTGGTTCCAAAACTTTAACACGCACGCACGCACGCACGCACACACACACACACACACATCAGTGTTTTTACTGGTTTAGTTGATTGAATTTTTATGGGAAACACTCTAATTGATGTATTGATTGATTGATAAACTGAACAGCCACAGAAACAGACTTCATGACCAGCAGAGACCCATTAGCTTTGTTTTCTGTGGTCCAGTAAGAAGCCTAACTCGTCTTTTTTGGGGGGGGAGATGACATGACTGACACTAATGGGGTGTACACACACACTGCTGGAGCCCCTTATGCTCCTTACTGTGATAGAAACACACCAATAACCAACCACTGTTCAAAGCTGCACAGATCACAGCACAAAACTGATCCCATTATGAGCTCAGCGTACTGTGTGTTTACAGACCTCTGACCTTTGGTTCTGTGCAGTCCTGCATCTGAGCCAAACCAAAAGTGTTGTAGCATTACAGTTTGGTGTGAGTACATATTGGTTTCTAGCCCTATGTCCTACAGTTTTCAAGTCTACGCTCTGGTAAACATTTAGCAAATTTACTTTTAAATATAATATCAATTTATTCTTTTAGTCTGACTTAAACCAGACTTGCAAAATACAGTAAATAAAATTTTAAATGCACAAAACTGAATTTCTGAAAGTCAGACAAATGTACCAAGATGACGCTGTTGGGGTTAATCTTCAGGTCTGCATGTTAAACTACATAAATAAAATCTAGGAAGCCAGGGAATTGACTTCCTCTCATCAGTAAAAGAAGGGGAGATACGTTAAAGTGCTTCAGCTGTAGAGCCGTCTGTTTTTATATCATTGTTCCACAAACAGCTCATGAGCTTGGCTGGCGTGTTTGTCGATTGTTTTGGTGTAACATAAGGGTCACTGCATCCCATTGGTTGTAAAGGCTGTTAAGTGAAGTGCATTGGATGACAATCTGTTGGGTATGGCGTCTGGGCTCCAAACAGTATAGGTTTGCTTGCAGAAGTTGAATAGCAACAAGACTGTGGGCTCTATTTTCGTGTACGCCAGTGAGGCGTCGGAGGGTGGCGGACCCCGTGCAGTTGTATTTTCGTCTGGCGGAGCCTGGCGTCCAGCACGGAAGCGAACCGAGATCCGCCAAGCTGGGCGTGGTGGCGTGGCAGGGGGAGGTGTTGACAGAATCAGCGGGCGCAGTGACATTTTCGTGCACGCCAGTGGCATGTAAAGTGCGCTGAAAGCTCGCCGATTCAAACCTGGTCAGCTTTCAGCACAGGCAGAGCGCAGCTGGTCTAGAGGTATTTTGGTAGACCGGCGGCGTATCGGCATACGTCACTGATGCCTCACCGGCAGGTTTCCACAGTGTCAGGCACATTTCAGCAATAAATAATCATCAACAACTATTAATCTGAGTCAGCACATACATTTAGATCTATATAGTTATATTGTTATCTATATCTGATCTGATGAGCGCGTTTGGCACGCGTTTGGACACACAACCTGACCGAATCAACACAGCTGAAACCACATTAAATTAAATTAAATATCTCGTAAATAAACACACATGATGAAGTTAACAAGATATTTAATTTGTCTCCCTCCTTTTCTTTCTTCTTCTTCCTCTTATTTCTCGCGCAGCTCAACCTGGACATGTCTCCGTGTCCTCTCTCCGTCCTGCTGCTGCTGAACAGATTTGTTTCAGTGCTCAGATGAGTTATTTACTTTAAGTCTACATACGGTTATTATAATATTCACTTTTGTGAGCCAAATTTATTTTATATGCCAACATCTATGAAAGAAAGAGCCAGGCCACGGAGCGCGATGTGTCATTTACGCACAGATGGTTCTGATTTTAATGCCATTTTTGGAGTTTATGTTGTGATCTGTGCGCTCAACCCACCTTTGTCACGTGAGGTTTGAATATATGCAATTTTGTGTGAGTGTCTTTATTTGTGGAAAAGGGTGTTTGTCTTACCAGTGGGTCCAACATTACACACACCAAATCCATCTGTGCTCATATGAGAGTGTGGAGGACGCCCATTGCAGCGTTTACAGTCACACTTGTTGAGGAGCTGCTTTATGTTGCCATCATGTGGCATTACTGTCTTCAGACATCTCTTGATCTCTTTGACTACTTCACGAAAATTGTAATACGCCTCGCTGGTGGCGGATTTAAAGGCAAGGAGAGGAGCTTATGTGATTGGTGAAAACCGGTCTCAGCTGTGTTAAACCCACTCCACGCCTTCTCTCCTCCCTCTCTACACTGGGAGGATCTGAGTTAGGGAGGGGGGATACTTGCGCCGGGCTGCACCGCTCACCAAAATACCAAATTTTGCGTGGGAAAGCCTTGTTGGCGCGGCACCTCCGGCGAGGCACAAAAATAGAGCCCTGTGTCTTTAACCCCCAGTCATGCTGGGTAGTGGTCTTTAACTCTCCTACATAACGTAAGATTGGTGAAAATTAATATTGGGAGGAAAGGTCACACTTTGTGCTGTGCTGCTTCAGGAGTATCAAATGCAAATTCTTCTGCCTGTATTTTCTGAGGTCATCCATAGTACCTCTGCATTGATCTGGCGTTCTGTAGCTGCTACCTGTCAGGACAGCATCTAATTTCTCTGTTATCACTTGTTGTAACACCACTTCAGACAGTGGCAGCCTTTCAAGAGCCAGGGGCACGATGTTTGCAGAGCACATGGCAGAGTCTCACCAGCATAGAGACCATCTTTATCGGCAGAGCCAGCCACTTCAAAGACGCTGCTTTCAGTGGCAGCTGGGCTTATCTTTTATCAAAAAGGCCTGTTTATGTTCCATCACTGCTGTCCTCTGGGGACTGATGCTGCATACAGATGTGTTTGTTTCATTACAGCTACTTAGTTAAAACCAAGGAAATGCTTTATGCTCTTATGATCAAATCCTGTTCTGAAAAAAAGTTAGGAGGCTGTGTAAAAGGGTCTTAAAACAAAGATTTGTTGATTTATCTGCATCAATGTACCAAGAACAAAAACCAGTACTGTATCACTGTGATCCTCAAGTCCTTAGGCTGTCCTTGCACTATAAACAGACATATTTAAAGTGTTACAGCAGCAAGGGATCAGCACAGTAAACATAGAGGAATAAGATTACTTACCATGCACACAGTGCACAGATAGTTATAAAAGGTTAACTTAGACCTTAACTTTGTTTAAGTAGAGCTGACACAACACAACACAGTAGTTGACGTGTTCCTGTACCAATGTTTTCTAAAGCGATAAAGACAATTAACTGCCACACACCCAAATGACTCAACTGTGACTTTATCATAGGTAAACTACCAAGTTTTATGTTTGTTTGTTTGTTTTCTGGCTGTGCAGAGACCCACATTAACCCTTAAAAAAAAAAAATGTTGCCAGTGTTCAATTTAACATATGCATGCACTTTTCAAACTGATCAGTTTCAACCATAGACTGTATATACTATGGACAACTTGGTTCCGCCTACCGCCTGTATACGGATTTGAAGCCAAAAAGCTCTCTGTATTTCCGGGATTTTTCTTCATTTCCTGAAACCAGAGCTGCGCAGTAGCGATGTGCGCATTCGGACGCGCAGTCGCAGAGAGTCGCTGTGATGATGCTCGGCTCAAACAGCGTATCCCCTGGGAGAGCTACGCAATCCCTGAACGGCCATAGGCTGTGTAAGGTGTCAATCAAAGAAAACATGAACCCCCTAATAACTTTTAAAAACAGAGCTTCACAGAAAAAAGAGGACTTGAGCACTAACCAGTCTTACAGTGACTACATGTCAACATTGCAAGCAGGGGGGCGGAATTTATGTTCTGTGTAATAAATTTCTAAAGTTTGTCTACAGCCCCATAAGCTTTGCTGGCGAAGGCGGGGATTTATGACCTATACTGCAGCCCATCAACAGAGGGTGCTGTTCTCAGAGTGGCTTCACCCAGTGAGGAGGCAGACTCTGTCCATTCTTTATACAGTCTATGGTTTCAACACTAGACATGTTGTCCTTGCACAGTTTTAGTTAAATATGGGGTTTAAATGACCATCAAAATGTGTGTTTGTTTACATTTTACACAACGTCCTAACCATAGACTGTATATAGAATAGACGCCATCTTCCTCCCCGCTGGATGAAGCCACTCCAAGAGCAGCACCCTCTGTTGATGGGCTGCAGTATAGGTCATAAATCCCGCCTCCTTCAGCAAAGCTTATGGAGCTGTGGACAAACATTAGCAATTAATTACACAGAATATAAATTTTTCTCCCTCTCTGCTTGCAATGTTGACATGTAGTTATTGTAACACTGGTTTGTGCTCAAGTCCTCTTTTTTGGGGGTTTTATGTTTTCTATGATTGACACTTGATACAGCCTATGGGCGTACTAAAATTGCGTAGCTCACCCAGGGGATACGCTGTTTGAGCTTAGCGTCATCACAGCGACTCTCGGCGACTCTCCCTCTGAATGCATACAATGCTACTGCGCAAGTGGTGGAGTGCTTACAACACTACTGCGCAAATGTTGGTTTCAGGAAATGGAGAAAAATCACAGAAATGCCGAGAGCTTTTCAGCTTCAAATCTGTATACTAGTGGAACCAAGATGTCCATAGTATATACAGTCTATGGTCCTAACTTCAATGAGTTGGACTTTGCATTGTGACTTTGTTTAGAGCATTGTTGAGACAACATCTTGAGGAAAATACTCTCTTATATGGACCTATTTGGCAAGTTGTGCCACGAGAAAATTATCAACTACAGCTTGAAATCATTTTAAACAATTGCTGCGTTGCAATGGAGTTGTTTAAAGCAGTTAAAAACATTAGGTTAATAACACAGAAGTTATAACTTGTGCCCATGTGAAATCAAGGTTTAAGTTCAGTGACCAAAGTCTCTTTCTGATAGTTTTTCCTCATCACTCTAGGGGTAAAGTCACCAGTAGACAGAGCTTGATAAGAAAAACACCCCTAATAACAGGACATGCACACTATACACAGTACACACTGTACTCTACCTGTTTAATTTGTTAAAATGCCATCAACTCGTAGATAAATGCCATCTTTTCATGCTTCCCAAGCTTGCAGAGGTGACGTGCACTTTTCCCATTATACACAAACCTGAACAATGAAAGAATGGTTGGCATGTGTGATCCTTTTTTCAGAGTAATTGCAACAACAATTTGCATGATGACCTGCAGCAAGAAAGCCACACGAACATGACAGTTCAGAGGAAACTGTCCTGCAGGGATAAATGACAATAACCAATAACAAGGAGAGAGTAAACATGGATTTTCTCCTCCCTACAATCAGGATGGAGACAGAAAGCATTTATGAAAGGGCTCTGAGTAAATCCTTCAGGGCTCTTGTAAGAGCTTTAAGATTATACAATGATTACAACCTGCTCTGCACTGATGAGAGACACAACAAACAAGTGGATGCAATTACTTGTGAGACTTTACAGCGATACATGTAACTGCAATTGATCACAGACGTTGTTGTTCAGCAGCAGGTACACAGGGGGTTGTGGAGGGTGAGTCCTCTGACTGCCAACAACAGGCTGGTGTTGAAGCCAAAGCCTCTGCAAGGAGCAACATGAACTTATTTGTCTTTCATTACAAAATCAAATGTTCATTCCAGCACAGCTCAGTGAGAGGCAGAGCTCAATCCTCTGTAGAGCCCAGGGATTTACGCTCATATAAATCATATCCACCGATGTGGAAAGAAGCTGAAGTCCAGCAGGATTTACACAAAACTACACTGAAAAAGTATATGCCTATGGCCTCTTCCTGTAAATGAGCTAATATACAAACACATCACTTTTTACTGTTAATTGTGACAGAAAATCAACTTTGTCACCCTAACGTACAGCAGAATCATTCTACAAAACTTCCTGCTCATATTCGTCTATGATTGTTGAACACTTCAAGGTGTTTTGGTAGAGCTTTTCTGACAGATGGGATATCACTAAACCTTAAAGTTCATAACAAAAATCTTATTTGATCTCAGATTCTTTCATATCATCCAAAAAGTGAGAGTCAGGCAGATAAAACAATTTCAAAAGAAAAGGATGGATTTAAGGAAAAGATTTGAAATAAAAAAGCACATAGGCAGTGACTATTGACTTGTTTCAAAAATACTTTAGCCTGCCTCCAAATATGAGATGCAGATAATGGGGTAGGCAGGCTCTAAGGAAGTGACAATTTTTGGGAGAAATCTTGAATGTAAACACTAACCCTCCCAACCAGTTTTCCCCTCAGTTCCTCCTCTCCCCTCCCGCACCGCTCCAGCAAGCCCCGCCCACAAACAGATGCTCCTGCTCACATGTATCTTTTCAATTAAATTCAGATATAATGCAGATAAATACTTCAGATAATTACATATGGGACCCAGTCAATGTGAAAGTAAAAAGCATTGGTGCTACTGTAGATGCCAACAGACTACCAGCAAACACAATGTTTGCAGGACTTCTACAACTAAGATAAAGTGACATACTCCAGGACCCAAGGTAAACAGTTTAGCGGCGCTACAACACACAGCAGGTCCTGTTTGACAAGAAACACTTCTGTTACAGACACTTGGCTGAATTTGTTAAAGCGGTTTACCTGTCCAGCAGAAAGGTTACAGGGTCTGTAAGATCCCAAAGTGTCCCCAAAGGGTCTATGCTTCATTAATGTTGACCCGGCTTGTTCGGTCTACTTCCGTTTTAAGCACCCGTTATTCCACCGCCATTCTCCACTATTTACTTTGAATCCTCCTTTGGCCACGACTGCCAACACAAGCAGGAAAACAGACAATTTTCTGTACTTTCTGGTTGGTTTCTACTATCCGATGTTGTAACACACTAACTTTGTTTGGGCTTGTAACATTGTTCGTGGAGCGTGCCTCACAACATGAGGGAGCAACGTCTGCCTCACAACCAATTAGCACTAAGGAGCAGTTATCCCCTCACAGCCAGTTAGGTTGGGGGAGGCGGAGAATGGTTTTGTTTACAGTCAGGGAAAGCAGGCCGCTCAAAAATTTTGAAATGTCGACTACACAGACATATGAGAACACAGCAATATTTTTATATTACCAAGTGTCATCAATAGCTAATAGCTACTGACTGATATTAAAAACTTTTTTGGAATCTTACTGGCCCCCCCAGAGGCCCCTCATAAGGCCAGCAGAATATATAAGCACTTATTTTTAAATAAAAGTGCATTTTAATGATATTTTGGACTATCATTCGCATATCATTGATTAATTGCACGGTAAATAAAAATGAACTTAATAATTTTTATATCACCATGTGCATGCATGTATTTGTTGTCCTCGTCTCACGCCTCCAAACATGCTGGATGACAGGAGGGTTCACTCTGTGCATCAGTCTCAGCCTATGGGCACGTTTGTGCCCTAGCGGAATGTAATCAAGGGAATGAACCATCATGTCAGTCATTCAGGACAGCCTGACCATGAACACAGCAGAAGGATAGACGATTAGCAGATTTGTCCTTTTTGAAGGTCACCTGAGGAGAACATACATATGCAACGTAAGAGACGTCCATGTCACAACTGTAAAGTAAATAATGAGAGCACTTCAGTCATTTCAGTACACAACATTCACTGTTTAATTAAAAGGTCTTCCACGGCTTTGTCGCTTATTCACCTCACAATCAATTACAGAAGGAAGTCAATGTGAATGTTGATCAAAGAAGACAGCCTCACTCAGAGCAACATGAGAGCTGTGAGACTGCACTTGAAACGGGACTTATTCCTCCAAGGTATGTGCTGTTGTTCAATCACAAAGGGATTGAGCAGGATTTTCAGCTATTTAATGAAGAATTTCACAGTAATCTTTACAGTAATCAGTGACAAGGCAAACACAATCACACATCCTCCAGTACATTCTGTTTATCTCTCGCATCCTGTCATTTTTTTTATATTGCTGCAGTTACTGCTGTCCTCCAGGAGCTGAAACTAAGCCCTGAAACTGCAGCTCAATCAGTGCCCATTGCCTGCCGCCTGAAACCTAATTGGATCAACAGACACAAACATCTAGAGAATTTAAAACTGTGATCAGGCTTTTTAGTGCGGCCTGCTGTTATGACAAAGAGAGGGACAATGCTGGAAATTATACCCAATTTATCTTGAGAGGAGATGAATCTGACTGAAGTGCTGTGCTGGCAGGAGTCCTCCAGCTGTATCTGCTACGGGAGGAGTGAAATGTGACACGCCGATATAAAGATATCTGAGCTATATTCTTCCACCTTGACACGAATAGCCAAGGGGATGGTCATAAATTAAAGACACAGACAGAGGAAGGAGAGCATGAGGGAGAGGATCAAAGAGAACCAAGAAAGCCAGCCTTTAATCTGCCCGATGCCAAGGAAGAAATCTGAAGAGCAGTTGGTCAACAGGTGTGGACTAGGAGGCAAAAGGAAGACTTCATAAAAAAGAAAAAAGAAAAAGAAAAAAAGGTAAGACACATGGGTTTGCTGGCTGATGAAAAGTGTTTCCAATTTAATGCAGCCGCTGGCTCACTTTAATCAGGTTCAGAGATCTGAGAAGCACTTAAATATTTCATCTGTTTCAAAAAGGAGAAAAACAGATACAGTCACTGCCTGTCATGATGGAGGACAAGCAGTTTTGACAGGTGTTTGACAGCAGTACTGCCCAGACCTCATGAGGTTAGGAGCTTTGGTTTGAGATTCTATCCCAGACATAAAAGGAGGGTTAATGTGAGATTTATCCCCTCACTGCCTGCTGCATGACTTAAAAATCCTCAAGAAGTAAAGAGGTGTCAACACACCCGAGGACATATCTGAGGGGTGTATGTATGCAGAAGGCTAAGATAGGGGGACATGCATGATCCAAGCCCTCTAAACCCTTATTAGGGCCCGAGCGTAGCTGCTAAGCAGCTGCGAGAGCCCTATTATTCCCCAAGGGGTTTTTCTTTGTTAGGGCCCGAGCCAGCTGCAGAGCAGCCGGGCGTAGAGCCCTATTATTCCCCAAGTGGTTTTTCTTTGTTTCTTTCTTTCTTTCTTTCTTTCTTTCTTCTTTTTCCTCCCCTTTGAACTGGAAAATGGCCCACTTCCCACTGGCGAAAACTCATGAAATTTGGCAGGACGACCGGGCCTGGTGAAAAATTCGATATTCTGAAGTCGCCCAAACAATAAAATGCAAAATGGCTCCATAGCGCCCCCTAAGGTGAAAATTCACACTATTGACTGTCACGCCTGTACGCTTTGTCATATTGACACAAAAATTGACACACATATGTATCTCAATAAGATCTACAAAAAAGTCAGTGCGGCCGTATCTGTCAAAATTACGGTTAAAGGGTTATTTCGCATTTTTTGCCGATCCGCACACATTGGAATTTCGCTAACTCCTCCGAAGGCTTTCGTTCCACCGGCACCACATTTGCTCAGGCCAATCTACACCCCGTGGCCATTGAAAGTTATCAAAATCATGACGCTGCACCCCAAGGTTTAGGTTCTAGGGGGCGCCAAAGATAACCCTAAGATCCACATATTTAAAAGTCTTATAACTTTTTATTTTTGTCCTCACTGGCCTCCAAGTTTTCTAGGATGATGCAATGTCCAGCCATCAACACATTTGTGAAGGAATTTTTACTCCTCAAAAGAGCGCCCCCCCATGGCAGGAGAAAAAAGTCCATTTTTTCTTGTCCCCTAAGGTGAAAATACACATTGTTGAGTGTCACGCCTATACGCTTTGTCAAAATGACACAAAAATTGACACACACATGTAACTCAATAAGATCTACGAAAAAGTCAATGCGCGCGTATCTGTCAAATGTACGGTTAAAGGGTTATTCCGCATTTTTTGCCGATTCGCACACATTGGAATGTGGCTAACTCCTCCTAAGGCTTTCGTTCCACCGGCACCACATTTGCTCAGGCCAATCTACACCCCATGGCCATTAAAAGTTATTCAAATCATGATGCTGCACCCCACGGTTTAGGTTCTAGGGGGCGCCAAAGATAACCCTAAAATCCACATATTTAAAAGTCTTATAACTTTTTATTTTTGTCCTCACTGGCCTCCAAGTTTTCTAGGATGATGCAATGTCCAGCCATCAACACATTTGTGAAGGAATTTTTACTCCCCAAAAGAGCGCCCCCCATGGCAGGAGAAAAAAGTCCATTTTTTCTTGTCCCCTAAGGTGAAAATACATATTGTTGAGATTCACGCCTATACGCTTTGTCATATTGACACAAAATTTGACAATCACGTGCCTTGCCTGGTATCATTTTTTTCAGCACAACCTCACCTGTGCGAATTTACAGTTATTTTATCATGTTGACATACTGAATTTACACAATGGACCCAAATTCACACACAAAACATAAAATCCGAGTGGAAAAAAGTAACATTTTTACTGTGAAAACCACAAATATGTGTGATGAACTGTTTTTAAAACTTAAACTTCAAATAAAAATTGTAAACTTCAAAACATATGCAAATTTTTAACAAAGAACATAGTGATTTACCTCTATTTACATCAAAATGCAGGCAATGGCCCAGGCGTTCTTTGTAAAATTATTTACAAAACACTGTATAGTCTCACAAATGTCAATTTTTATTTATGCCACTACAAAAAAACATGATGTAAATGATGCATGATGTAAAACATGATGTAAAAAACTTGTGTAGATCCTCCTCTATGTCAGTCCATGTGTAATTTTTCCATAATTCTTTGTTTTTTGCAGCATTTTTGTTAGTGTAACTGCAGATTGTGCTGACAGTGTCTATGGCACAAAAAAAAAAAATTTTTTAAATGCCTCAACATGAACCCCTGGTGGTCTCTGAGGGTGAAACCTGCTAACTGCTGCAGCTCTGTCAGCTTCAGTCTCCCATGCAGAGCTCTGAGCGCATGTGTGGCTCTGCACCCTTAGCAGCGTTGCTAACTCCTCAGTAAGGAAAGCCTGCTTCATGTCAGAGTCTCTAAACTCCAGAAGAAGTCGATAAAAGTCCCTTTCTTTCTAAAAAAAAGTCGTTAGGGGGTCTGAAAAGTCATTGAATCTAACAACAAAGTCGCTAGGTTTGCAACTACGTGTCCCAGACTGCATCCCTGCTGAGAGTCCCTCCCTCCCTTCTCATGTTGCAGGAAGAACGTAAGCGCCCGCCCCTTCTCAATCAGTCACCATATAATTTTGGATTGGTTGTTGTGGTGAAGTTTTCCACCAATAGGAGAGATGTTGTGGTGTGTTTTTTTCTTCTTTTGGCAAGCCTTTTCCGCCTGTAAGAGCTGTCGCTAATGTCTGCATGCTATGTTTTCCTGTCTCATACAGCGCGATCGAGCGCCGAACGTGATCAAAATAAGCAGAAAAAAAGTATCGCGGACATAATTTATCATAACTCTGGTTTTATTTGGCCTATCAACACAATTTAAAAACTGGTATATAGGTTGAGGTCCTCACTTTTGAGATAAGTTGAAACGGAGAGTCAACGAGGCTCCGTCTTGCAGCTACATCCGGTTAAATATGTCATGTGACTTGAACGCACACACAGACACACACACACGCACACACACATACACACACACACACACACACACACTCAGAGTCTGGTTTTTAGCACCTGCAAAAACATGCTATTTACATATTTGACAAGAATGCAGAGGCTCCTTTTGCCCCTGAAAAAAATCAAATTTCAAACACAACTTGACTGGTCATTTCTCCAAAAGACAACCATGAAGCTCCATCCAAACCTGAAGCAGGCAGTTGGTGCATGTGTACAGTAACCTGAGGGGAGTGAGGTGAGTGCTTCTGAGGAGAACATGAGCAGTGAAGATTCACCTTGGAGCTAGAACAGAGACATGCACATGATTATACAGGGGCAGGGGCTCAAGTTTTTTCCAGTCGTTTATACAATATGGAAATTAATGTGAAATTAAAACACAAAGTATTAATAGAAAGGTAATGACTGTCCTGTGTAGGTGACAGTGATATCCAATAGGCTAGGCACTCACGAGGCTGGCTGTGGCAAGTGTAAGTGAAAGCAACACGCACTGGCAGGAAGAACAGCAAACGCCGATGAAGGAAAAGGGTCTTTGCAGTGATGGGCGTTACCAGAGAGGGCGATGGCCAGAGGACACAAATGGGACGGGGAGGCAGCACGTTGGGGGGGGGGGGGGACGCGACACGGCTCGGGCCCGCCAGTGCCCCAACGGGGTCCTAGTTTCTTTTTAGGGCCCGAGCGTAGCTGCTAAGCAGCTGCGAGAGCCCTATTATTCCCCAAGGGGTTTTTTAGGGCCCGAGCGTAGCTGCTAAGCAGCTGCGAGAGCCCTCTTGTTCCTGTAGTTTCCTTCTTTAGGGCCCGAGCCAGCTGCAGAGCAGCCGGGCGTAGGCCCTATTATTCCCCAAGTGGTTTTTCTTTGTTTCTTTCTTTCTTTTTTCTTTTTCCTCCCCTTTGAACTGGAAAATGGCCCACTTCCCACTGGCGAAAACTCATGAAATTTGGCAGGACGACCGGGCCTGGTGAAAAATTTGATATTCTGAAGTCGCCAAAACAATAAAATGCAAAATGGCTCCATAGCGCCCCCTAAGGTGAAAATTCACACTATTCACTGTCACGACTGTACGCTTTGTCAAAATGACACAAAAATTGACACACACATGTATCTCAATAAGATCTACAAAAAAGTCAGTGCGGCCGTATCTGTCAAAATTACGGTTAAAGGGTTATTTCGCATTTTTTGCCGATCTGCACACATTGGAATTTCGCTAACTCCTCCGAAGGCTTTCGTTCCACCGGCACCACATTTGCTCAGGCCAATCTACACCCCGTGGCCATTAAAAGTTATCAAAATCATGACGCTGCACCCCAAGGTTTAGGTTCTAGGGGGCGCCAAAGATAACACTAAAATCCACATATTTAAAAGTCTTATAACTTTTTATTTTTGTCCTCACTGGCCTCCAAGTTTTCTTGGATGATGCAATGTCCAGCCATCAACACATTTGTGAAGGAATTTTTACTCCCCAAAAGAGCGCCCCCCCATGGCAGGAGAAAAAAGTCCATTTTTTCTTGTCCCCTAAGGTGAAAATACACATTGTTGAGTGTCACGCCTATACGCTTTGTCAAAATGACACAAAAATTGACACACACATGTAACTCAATAAGATCTACGAAAAAGTCAATGCGCGCGTATCTGTCAAATGTACGGTTAAAGGGTTATTCCGCATTTTTTGCCGATCCGCACACATTGGAATGTGGCTAACTCCTCCTAAGGCTTTCGTTCCACCGGCACCACATTTGCTCAGGCCAATCTACACCCCATGGCCATTAAAAGTTATCAAAATCATGACGCTGCACCCCACGGTTTAGGTTCTAGGGGGCGCCAAAGATAACCCTAAAATCCACATATTTAAAAGTCTTATAACTTTTTATTTTTGTCCTCACTGACCTCTAAGTTTTCTAGGATGATGCAATGTCCAGCCATCAACACATTTGTGAAGGAATTTTTACTCCCCAAAAGAGCGCCCCCCCATGGCAGGAGAAAAAAGTCCATTTTTTCTTGTCCCCTAAGGTGAAAATACATATTGTTGAGATTCACGCCTATACGCTTTGTCATATTGACACAAAATTTGACAATCACGTGCCTTGCCTGGTATCATTTTTTTCAGCACAACCTCACCTGTGCGAATTTACAGTTATTTTATCATGTTGACATACTGAATTTACACAATGGACCCAAATTCACACACAAAACATAAAATCCGAGTGGAAAAAAGTAACATTTTTACTGTAAAAACCACAAATATGTGTGATGAACTGTTTTTAAAACTTAAACTTCAAATAAAAATTGTAAACTTCAAAACATATGCAAATTTTTAACAAAGAACATAGTGATTTACCTCTATTTACATCAAAATGCAGGCAATGGCCCAGGCGTTCTTTGTAAAATTATTTACAAAACACTGTATAGTCTCACAAATGTCACTTTTTATTTATGCCACTACAAAAAAACATGATGTAAATGATGCATGATGTAAAACATGATGTAAAAAACTTGTGTAGATCCTCCTGTATGTCAGTCCATGTGTAATTTTTCCATAATTCTTTGTTTTTTGCAGCATTTTTGTTAGTGTAACTGCAGATTGTGCTGACAGTGTCTATGGCACAAAAAAAAAAAAATTAAAATGCCTCAACATGAACCCCTGGTGGTCTCTGAGGGTGAAACCTGCTAACTGCTGCAGCTCTGTCAGCTTCAGTCTCCCATGCAGAGCTCTGAGCGCATGTGTGGCTCTGCACCCTTAGCAGCGTTGCTAACTCCTCAGTAAGGAAAGCCTGCTTCATGTCAGAGTCTCTAAACTCCAGAAGAAGTCGATAAAAGTCCCTTTCTTTCTAAAAAAAAGTCGTTAGGGGGTCTGAAAAGTCATTGAATCTAACAACAAAGTCGCTAGGTTTGCAACTACGTGTCCCAGACTGCATCCCTGCTGAGAGTCCCTCCCTCCCTTCTCATGTTGCAGGAAGAACGTAAGCGCCCTCCCCTTGTCAATCAGTCACCATATAATTTTGGATTGGTTGTTGTGGTGAAGTTTTCCACCAATAGGAGAGATGTTGTGGTGTGTTTTTTTTTTCTTTTGGCAAGCCTTTTCCGCCTGTAAGACCTGTTGCTAATGTCTGCATGCTATGTTTTCCTGTCTCATACAGCGCGATCGAGCGCCGAACGTGATCAAAATAAGCAGAAAAAAAGTATCGCGGACATAATTTATCATAACTCTGGTTTTATTTGCCCTTTCAACACAATTTAAAAACTGGTATATAGGTTGAGGTCCTCACTTTTGAGATAAGTTGAAACGGAGAGTCAACGAGGCTCCGTCTTGCAGCTACATCCGGTTAAATATGTCATGTGACTTGAACGCACACACACACACACACACACACACACACACTCAGAGTCTGGTTTTTAGCACCTGCAAAAACATGCTATTTACATATTTGACAAGAATGCAGAGGCTCCTTTTGCCCCTGAAAAAAAAATCAAATTTCAAACACAACTTGACTGGTCATTTCTCCAAAAGACAACCATGAAGCTCCATCCAAACCTGAAGCAGGCAGTTGGTGCATGTGTACAGTAACCTGAGGGGAGTGAGGTGAGTGCTTCTGAGGAGAACATGAGCAGTGAAGATTCACCTTGGAGCTAGAACAGAGACATGCACAAGATTATACAGGGGCAGGGGCTCAAGTTTTTTCCAGTCGTTTATACAATATGGAAATTAATGTGAAATTAAAACACAAAGTATTAATAGAAAGGTAATGACTGTCCTGTGTAGGTGACAGTGATATCCAATAGGCTAGGCACTCACGAGGCTGGCTGTGGCAAGTGTAAGTGAAAGCAACACGCACTGGCAGGAAGAACAGCAAACGCCGATGAAGGAAAAGGGTCTTTGCAGTGATGGGCGTTACAAGAGAGGGCGATGGCCAGAGGACACAAATGGGACGGGGAGGCAGCACGTTGGGGGGGGGGGGGGGGGGCGACACGGCTCGGGCCCGCCAGTGCCCCAACGGGGTCCTAGTTATTATTTTTCCTCCCCTTTGAACTGGAAAATGGCCCACTTCCCACTGGCGAAAACTCATGAAATTTGGCAGGACGACCGGGCCTGGTGAAAAATTTGATATTCCGAAGTCGCCCAAACAAGAAAATGCAAAATGGCTCCATAGCGCCCCCTAAGGTGAAAATTCACACTATTGACTGTCACGCCTGTACGCTTTGTCAAAATGACACAAAAATTGACACACACATGTATCTCAATAAGATCTACAAAAAAGTCAGTGCGGGCGTATCTGTCAAATGTACGCTTAAAGGGTTTTTTTTGCATTTTTTGCCGATCCGCACACATTGGAATTTCGCTAACTCCTCCGAAGGCTTTCGTTCCACCGGCACCACATTTGCTCAGGCCAATCTACACCCCATGGCCATTAAAAGTTATTCAAATCATGACGCTGCACCCCATGGTTTAGGTTCTAGGGGGCGCCAAAGATAACCCTAAGATCCACATATTTAAAAGTCTTATAACTTTTTATTTTTGCCCTCACTGGCCTCCAAGTTTTCTAGGATGATGCAATGTCCAGCCATCAACACATTTGTGAAGGAATTTTTACTCCCCAAAAGAGCGCCCCCCCATGGCAGGAGAAAAAAGTCCATTTTTTCTTGTCCCCTAAGGTGAAAATACACATTGTTGAGTGTAACACCTGTACGCTTTGGCAAAATGACACAAAAATTGACACACACATGTATCTCAATAAGATCTACGAAAAAGTCAATGCGCGCGTATCTGTCAAATGTACGGTTAAAGGGTTATTCCGCATTTTTTGCCGATCCGCACACATTGGAATTTCGCTAACTCCTCCGAAGGCTTTCATTCCACCGGTACCACATTTGCTCAGGCCAATCTACACCCCATGGCCATTAAAAGTTATTCAAATCATGACGCTGCATCCCACGGTTTAGGTTCTAGGGGGCGCCAAAGATAACCCTAAAATCCACATATTTAAAAGTCTTATAACTTTTTATTTTTGTCCTCACTGGCCTCCAAGTTTTCTAGGATGATGCAATGTCCAGCCATCAACACATTTGTGAAGGAATTTTTACTCCCCAAAAGAGCGCCCCCCCATGGCAGGAAAAAAATGCCAATTTTTTCTTGTCCCCTAAGGTGGAAATTCACACTATTGACTGTCACGCCTGTACGCTTTATCATATTGACACAAAAATTGACACACATATGTATCTCAATAAGATCTACAAAAGAGTCGATTCACGCGTATCTGTCAAATGTACGGTTAAAGGGCTATTTTGCATTTTTTGCCGATTCGCACACATTGGAATGTGGCTAACTCCTCCTAAGGCTTTCGTCCCACTGACACCAAATTTGCTCAGGCCAATCTACACCCCATGGCCATTCAAAGTTGTAAAAATCATGACGCTGCACCCCACGGTTTACGTTCTAGGGGGCGCCAAAGATGACCCAAAAATCCACATTCTTCAAAGAATCCACATGCCCCCCCCCCCCCCCCCATTTGGCAGGAGAAAAAGTTAAGTTTTTCCTGCCCATCGCTCAATGGCTCAATCGCATCGCTCTCCAGGCAACACCGTAAGGAGGAGCAACCTGCCATTTCGATATATCATAGCTGTGTTTGTGCCCTCACTCATGGTCCAGACTTTTTTCAAATAGGACATGAAGTTTGTCTGCAGCGAGTGTTTTGGTAGAAACTGCGCCTCCCATTCATTATAATAGGAAATGACCACAGACAAGTGCGCACACCATCTTTGGATCTTGAGTGTGACGCGATCGGGAGGGGGAGGCGGTCGCACTGGGGGCGGCGCGACACGGCTCGGGCCCGACAGTGCCCCAACGGGGTCCTAGTTTGTTATTATTATTTTTCCTCCCCTTTGAACTGGAAAATGGCCCACTTCCCACCCGCGAAAACTCATGAAATTTGGCAGGACGACCGGGCCTGGTGAAAAATTTGATATTCCGAAGTCGCCCAAACAAGAAAATGCAAAATGGCTCCATAGCGCCCCCTAAGGTGAAAATTCACACTATTGACTGTCACGCCTGTACGCTTTGTCAAAATGACACAAAAATTGACACACACATGTATCTCAGTAAGATCTACAAAAAAGTCAGTGCGGGCGTATCTGTCAAATGTACGGTTAAAGGGTTATTTCGCATTTTTTGCCGATCCGCACACATTGGAATTTCGCTAACTCCTCCGAAGGCTTTCGTTCCACCGGCACCACATTTGCTCAGGCCAATCTACACCCCATGGCCATTAAAAGTTATTCAAATCATGACGCTGCACCCCAAGGTTTAGGTTCTAGGGGGCGCCAAAGATAACCCTAAGATCCACATATTTAAAAGTCTTATAACTTTTTATTTTTGCCCTCACTGGCCTCCAAGTTTTCTAGGATGATGCAATGTCCAGCCATCAACACATTTGTGAAGGAATTTTTACTCCCCAAAAGAGCGCCCCCCATGGCAGGAGAAAAAAGTCAATTTTTTCTTGTCCCCTAAGGTGAAAATACACATTGTTGAGTGTAACACCTGTACGCTTTGGCAAAATGACACAAAAATTGACACACACATGTATCTCAATAAGATCTACGAAAAAGTCAATGCGCGCGTATCTGTCAAATGTACGGTTAAAGGGTTATTCCGCATTTTTTGCCGATCCGCACACATTGGAATTTCGCTAACTCCTCCGAAGGCTTTCGTTCCACCGGCACCACATTTTCTCAGGCCAATCTACACCCCATGGCCATTAAAAGTTATTCAAATCATGACGCTGCATCCCACGGTTTAGGTTCTAGGGGGCGCCAAAGATAACCCTAAAATCCACATATTTAAAAGTCTTATAACTTTTTATTTTTGTCCTCACTGGCCTCCAAGTTTTCTAGGATGATGCAATGTCCAGCCATCAACACATTTGTGAAGGAATTTTTACTCCCCAAAAGAGCGCCCCCCATGGCAGGAGAAAAAAGTCAATTTTTTCTTGTCCCCTAAGGTGGAAATTCACACTATTGACTGTCACGCCTGTACGCTTTATCATATTGACACAAAAATTGACACACATATGTATCTCAATAAGATCTACAAAAAAGTCAATTCGCGCGTATCTGTCAAATGTACGGTTAAAGGGCTATTTTGCATTTTTTGCCGATTCGCACACATTGGAATGTGGCTAACTCCTCCTAAGGCTTTCGTCCCACTGACACCAAATTTGCTCAGGCCAATCTACACCCCATGGCCATTCAAAGTTGTAAAAATCATGACGCTGCACCCCACGGTTTACGTTCTAGGGGGCGCCAAAGATGACCCAAAAATCCACATTCTTAAAAGAATCCACCCCCCCCCCCATGGCAGGAGAAAAAGTCAAGTTTTTCCTGCCCATCGCTCAATGGCTCAATCGCATCGCTCTCCAGGCAACACCGTAAGGAGGAGCAACCTGGCATTTCGATATATCATAGCTGTGTTTGTGCCCTCACTCATGGTCCAGACTTTTTTCAAATAGGACATGAAGTTTGTCTGCAGCGAGTGTTTTGGTAGAAACTGCGCCTCCCATTCATTATAATGGGAAATGACCACAGACAAGTGCGCACACCATCTTTGGTTCTTGAGTGTGACTCGATCGGGACGGGGAGGCGGTCGCACTGGGGGCGGCGCGACGCGGCTCGGGCCCGACAGTGCCCCACCGGGGCCCTAGTCTTTGTTTCTTTTTAGGGCCCGAGCGTAGCTGCTAAGCAGCTGCGAGAGCCCTCTTGTTCCTGTAGTTTCCTTCTTTTGTTATTAGGGCCCGAGCGTAGCTGCTAAGCAGCTGCGAGAGCCCTCTTGTTCCTGTAGTTTCCTTCTTTTGTTATTATTATTATTATTTTTCCTCCCCTTTGAACTGGAAAATGGCCCACTTCCCACTGGCGAAAACTCATGAAATTTGGCAGGACGACCGGGCCTGGTGAAAAATTTGATATTCCGAAGTCGCCCAAACAAGAAAATGCAAAATGGCTCCATAGCGCCCCCTAAGGTGAAAATTCACACTATTCACTGTCACGCCGGTACGCTTTGTCAAAATGACACAAAAATTGACACACACATGTATCTCAATAAGATCTACAAAAAAGTCAGTGCGGGCGTATCTGTCAAATGTACGGTTAAAGGGTTATTTCGCATTTTTTGCCGATCCGCACACATTGGAATTTCGCTAACTCCTCCGAAGGCTTTCGTTCCACCGGCACCACATTTGCTCAGGCCAATCTACACCCCATGGCCATTAAAAGTTATTCAAATCATGACGCTGCACCCCACGGTTTAGGTTCTAGGGGGCGCCAAAGATAACCCTAAGATCCACATATTTAAAAGTCTTATAACTTTTTATTTTTGCCTTCACTGGCCTCCAAGTTTTCTAGGATGATGCAATGTCCAGCCATCAACACATTTGTGAAGGAATTTTTACTCCCCAAAAGAGCGCCCCCCCATGGCAGGAGAAAAAAGTCCATTTTTTCTTGTCCCCTAAGGTGAAAATACACATTGTTGAGTGTAACACCTGTACGCTTTGGCAAAATGACACAAAAATTGACACACACATGTATCTCAATAAGATCTACGAAAAAGTCAATGCGCACGTATCTGTCAAATGTACGGTTAAAGGGTTATTCCGCATTTTTTGCCGATCCGCACACATTGGAATTTCGCTAACTCCTCCAAAGGCTTTCGTTCCACCGGCACCACATTTGCTCAGGCCAATCTACACCCCATGGCCATTAGAAGTTATTCAAATCATGACGCTGCACCCCACGGTTTAGGTTCTAGGGGGAGCCAAAGATAACCCTAAAATCCACATATTTAAAAGTCTTATAACTTTTTATTTTTGTCCCCACTGGCCTCCAAGTTTTCTAGGATGATGCAATGTCCAGCCATCAACACATTTGTGAAGGAATTTTTACTCGCCAAAAGAGCGCCCCCCCCCATGGCAGGAGAAAAAAGTCAATTTTTTCTTGTCCACTAAGGTGAAAATACACATTGTGTCAATACGACAAAACATACAGGCGTAGCACTCAACAAAATTTTACATACACGTGTATTTACATAAGATCTTCGAAAAAGTCAATGGCCACGTATCTGTAAAATGTACGGTTAAAGGGTTATTTCGCATTTTTTGCAGATTCGCACACATTGGAATTTCGCTAATTCCTCCGAAGGCTTTCGTTCCACCGGCACCACATTTGCTCAGGCCAATCTACACCCCATGGCCATTAAAAGTTATTCAAATCATGACGCTGCACCCCACGGTTTAGGTTCTAGGGGGCGCCAAATATAACCCTAAAATCCACATATTTAAAAGTCTTATAACTTTTTATTTTTGTCCTCACTGGCCTCCATGTTTTCTAGGATGATGCAATGTCCAGCCATCAACACATTTGTGAAGGAGTTTTTTCTCTTTAAAAGAGTGCCCCCCCATGGCAGGAGAATAAAGTCAAGTTTTTCCTGTTCATCATTCAATGGCTCAAACGCACTGCTCTCTCGGCAAAAGCGAAAGGAGGAGCAACTTGCCATTTGGATATATCTTAGCTGTGTTTGTGCCCTCACTCATGGTCCAGACTTTTTTCAAATAGGACATGGAGTTTTTCTGCAGCGAGCGTTTTGGTAGAAACTGCGCCTCCCGTTCATTATAATGGTAAATGACCACAAACAAGTGCGCACACCATCTTTGGACCTTGAGTGTGACGCGATCGGGAGGGGGAGGCGGTCGCACTGGGGGCGGCGCGACACGGCTCGGGCCCGACAGTGCCCCAACGGGGCCCTAGTTATTATTATTTTTCCTCCCCTTTGAACTGGAAAATGGCCCACTTCCCACTGGCGAAAACTCATGAAATTTGGCAGGACGACCGGGCCTGGTGAAAAATTTGATATTCCGAAGTCGCCCAAACAAGAAAATGCAAAATGGCTCCATAGCGCCCCCTAAGGTGAAAATTCACACTATTGACTGTCACGCCTGTACGCTTTGTCAAAATGACACAAAAATTGACACACACATGTATCTCAATAAGATCTACAAAAAAGTCAGTGCGGGCGTATCTGTCAAATGTACGGTTAAAGGGTTATTTCGCATTTTTTGCCGATCCGCACACATTGGAATTTCGCTAACTCCTCCGAAGGCTTTCGTTCCACCGGCACCACATTTGCTCAGGCCAATCTACACCCCATGGCCATTAAAAGTTATTCAAATCATGACGCTGCACCCCACGGTTTAGGTTCTAGGGGGCGCCAAAGATAACCCTAAAATCCACATATTTAAAAGTCTTATAACTTTTTATTTTTGCCCTCACTGGCCTCCAAGTTTTCTAGGATGATGCAATGTCCAGCCATCAACACATTTGTGAAGGAATTTTTACTCCCCAAAAGAGCGCCCCCCCATGGCAGGAGAAAAAAGTCCATTTTTTCTTGTCCCCTAAGGTGAAAATTCACACTATTGACTGTCACGCCTGTACGCTTTGTCAAAATGACACAAAAATTGACACACACATGTATCTCAATAAGATCTACAAAAAAGTCCATGCGCGCGTATCTGTCTAATGTACGGTTAAAGGGTTATTTCGCATTTTTTGCCGATCCGCACACATTGGAATTTCGCTAACTCCTCCGAAGGCTTTCGTTCCACCGGCACCACATTTGCTCAGGCCAATCTACACCCCATGGCCATTAAAAGTTATTCAAATCATGACGCTGCACCCCACGGTTTACGTTCTAGGGGGCGCCAAAGATAACCCAAAAATCCACAGTCTTAAAAGTCTTATAACTTTTTATTTTTCTCCTCACTGGCCTCCAAGTTTTCTAGGATGATGCAATGTCCAGCCATCAACACATTTGTGAAGGAATTTTTACTCCCCAAAAGAGCGCCCCCCCATGGCAGGAGAAAAAAGTCCATTTTTTCTTGTCCCCTAAGGTGAAAATTCACACTATTGACTGTCACGCCTGTACGCTTTGTCAAAATGACACAAAAATTGACACACACATGTATCTCAATAAGATCTACAAAAAAGTCAATAGGCACGTATCTGTCAAATGTACGGTTAAAGGGCTATTTTGCATTTTTTGCCGATTCGCACACATTGGAATGTGGCTATCTCCTCCTAAGGCTTTCGTCCCACTGATACCAAATTTGCTCAGGGCAATCTACACCCCATGCCCATTCAAAGTTGTAAAAATCATGCCGCTGCACCCCACGGTTTACGTTCTAGGGGGCGCCAAAGATGACCCAAAAATCCACATTCTTAAAAGTCTTTTTGGTCACTGCAGGAGTACAGAGTACTGCAAGATACACACACATACACACACACACACACACACACACACACACACACACACACACACACACACTCAGAGTCTGTTTTTTAGCACCTGCAAAAACATGCTGTTTACATATTTGACAAGAATGCAGAGGCTTCCTTTTGCCCCTGAAAAAAATTAAATTTCAAACACAACTTGACTGTTCATTTCTCCAAATGACAACCATGAAGCTCCATCCAAACCTGAAGCAGGCAGTTGGTGCATGTGTACAGTAACCTGAGGGGAGTGAGGTGACTGCTTCTGAGGAGAACATGAGCAGTGAAGATTCACCTTGGAGCGAGAACAGGGACGTGCACATGATTATACAGGGGCAGGGGCTCAAGTTTTTTCCAGTCGTTTATACAATATGGAAATTAATGTGAAATTAAAACACAAAGTATTAATAGAAAGGTAATGACTGTCCTGTGTAGGTGACAGTGATATCGAATAGGCTAGGCACTCACGAGGCTGGCTGTGGCAAGTGTAAGTGAAAGCAACACGCACTGGCAGGAAGAACAGCAAACGCCGATGAAGGAAAAGGGTCTTTGCAGTGATGGGCGTTACCAGAGAGGGCGATGGCCAGAGGACACAAATGGGACGGGGAGGCAGCACGTTGGGGGGGGACGCGACACGGCTCGGGCCCGCCAGTGCCCCAACGGGGTCCTAGTTTCTTTTTCCTCCCCTTTGAACTGGAAAATGGCCCACTTCCCACTGGCGAAAACTCATGAAATTTGGCAGGACGACCGGGCCTGGTGAAAAATTTGATATTCCGAAGTCGCCCAAACAAGAAAATGCAAAATGGCTCCATAGCGCCCCCTAAGGTGAAAATTCACACTATTGAGTGTCACGCCTGTACGCTTTGTCAAAATGACACAAAATTTGACACACACATGTATCTCAATAAGATCTACAAAAAAGTCAGTGCGGGCGTATCTGTCAAATGTACGGTTAAAGGGTTATTTCGCATTTTTTGCCGATCCGCACACATTGGAATTTCGCTAACTCCTCCGAAGGCTTTCGTTCCACCGGCACCACATTTGCTCAGGCCAATCTACACCCCATGGCCATTAAAAGTTATTCAAATCATGACGCTGCACCCCACGGTTTAGGTTCTAGGGGGCGCCAAAGATAACCCTAAAATCCACATATTTAAAAGTCTTATAACTTTTTATTTTTGCCCTCACTGGCCTCCAAGTTTTCTAGGATGATGCAATGTCCAGCCATCAACACATTTGTGAAGGAATTTTTACTCCCCAAAAGAGCGCCCCCCCATGGCAGGAGAAAAAAGTCCATTTTTTCTTGTCCCCTAAGGTGAAAATACACATTGTTGAGTGTCACGCCTGTACGCTTTGTCAAAATGACACAAAAATTGACACACACATGTAACTCAATAAGATCTACGAAAAAGTCAATGCGCGTGTATCTGTCAAATGTACGGTTAAAGGGTTATTTGGCATTTTTTGCTGATCCGCACACATTGGAATTTCGCTAACTCCTCCGAAGGCTTTCTGTCCACCGGCACCACATTTGCTCAGGCCAATCTACACCCCATGGCCATTAAAAGTTATTCAAATCATGACGCTGCACCCCACGGTTTAGGTTCTAGGGGGCGCCAAAGACAACCCTAAAATCCACATATTTAAAAGTCTTATAACTTTTTATTTTTGTCCTCACTGGCCTCCAAGTTTTCTAGGATGATGCAATGTCCAGCCATCAACACATTTGTGAAGGAATTTTTACTCCCCAAAAGAGCGCCCCCCCATGGCAGGAGAAAAAAGTCAATTTTTTCTTGTCCCCTAAGGTGAAAATACATATTGTTGAGATTCACGCCTATACGCTTTGTCATATTGACACAAAATTTGACAATCACGTGCCTTGCCTGGTATCATTTTTTTTCAGCACAACCTCACCTGTGCGAATTTACAGTTATTTTATCATGTTGACATACTGAATTTACACAATGGACCCAAATTCACACACAAAACATAAAATCCGAGTGGAAAAAAGTAACATTTTTACTGTGAAAACCACAAATATGTGTGATGAACTGTTTTTAAAACTTAAACTTCAAATAAAAATTGTAAACTTCAAAACATATGCAAATTTTTAACAAAGAACATAGTGATTTACCTCTATTTACATCAAAATGCAGGCAATGGCCCAGGCGTTCTTTGTAAAATTATTTACAAAACACTGTATAGTCTCACAAATGTCACTTTTTATTTATGCCACTACAAAAAAACATGATGTAAATGATGCATGATGTAAAACATGATGTAAAAAACTTGTGTAGATCCTCCTCTATGTCAGTCCATGTGTAATTTTTCCATAATTCTTTGTTTTTTGCAGCATTTTTGTTAGTGTAACTGCAGATTGTGCTGACAGTGTCTATGGCACAAAAAAAAAAAAAAATTAAAATGCCTCAACATGAACCCCTGGTGGTCTCTGAGGGTGAAACCTGCTAACTGCTGCAGCTCTGTCAGCTTCAGTCTCCCGTGCAGAGCTCTGAGCGCATGTGTGGCTCTGCACCCTTAGCAGCGTTGCTAACTCCTCAGTAAGGAAAGCCTGCTTCATGTCAGAGTCTCTAAACTCCAGAAGAAGTCGATAAAAGTCCCTTTCTTTCTAAAAAAAAGTCGTTAGGGGGTCTGAAAAGTCATTGAATCTAACAACAAAGTCGCTAGGTTTGCAACTACGTGTCCCAGACTGCATCCCTGCTGAGAGTCCCTCCCTCCCTTCTCATGTTGCAGGAAGAACGTAAGCGCCCTCCCCTTGTCAATCAGTCACCATATAATTTTGGATTGGTTGTTGTGGTGAAGTTTTCCACCAATAGGAGAGATGTTGTGGTGTGTTTTTTTTTTCTTTTGGCAAGCCTTTTCCGCCTGTAAGACCTGTCGCTAATGTCTGCATGCTATGTTTTCCTGTCTCATACAGCGCGATCGAGCGCCGAACGTGATCAAAATAAGCAGAAAAAAAGTATCGCGGACATAATTTATCATAACTCTGGTTTTATTTGGCCTATCAACACAATTTAAAAACTGGTATATAGGTTGAGGTCCTCACTTTTGAGATAAGTTGAAACAGAGAGTCAACGAGGCTCCGTCTTGCAGCTACATCCGGTTAAATATGTCATGTGACTTGAACGCACACACAGACACACACACACGCACACACACACACACACACACACACTCAGAGTCTGGTTTTTAGCACCTGCAAAAACATGCTATTTACATATTTGACAAGAATGCAGAGGCTCCTTTTGCCCCTGAAAAAAATCAAATTTCAAACACAACTTGACTGGTCATTTCTCCAAAAGACAACCATGAAGCTCCATCCAAACCTGAAGCAGGCAGTTGGTGCATGTGTACAGTAACCTGAGGGGAGTGAGGTGACTGCTTCTGAGGAGAACATGAGCAGTGAAGATTCACCTTAGAGCTAGAACAGAGACGTGCACATGATTATACAGGGGCAGGGGCTCAAGTTTTTTCCAGTTGTTTATACAATATGGAAACTAATGTGAAATTAAAAAACAAAGTATTAATAGAAAGGTAATGACTGTCCTGTGTAGGTGACAGTGATATCCAATAGGCTAGGCACTCACGAGGCTGGCTGTGGCAAGTGTAAGTGAAAGCAACACGCACTGGCAGGAAGAACAGCAAACGCCGATGAAGGAAAAGGGTCTTTGCAGTGATGGGCGTTACCAGAGAGGGCGATGGCCAGAGGACACAAATGGGACGGGGAGGCAGCACGTTGGGGGGGGGGGGGACGCGACACGGCTCGGGCACGCCAGTGCCCCAACGGGGTCCTAGTATCAATTAAGAACTGCAGATTACATCAACACCATTGTGCTCAAATCTGTTGTCATTTTGATCATTTGGAAGTGTACTTCAAAAATATTGTTGACACAGAGAATTGTGGGGAATTTTTCATCTCTTCCGCAACATTTTTAGATAAAGAGAAACAATAGGGTGTGGTCATGAAAAGTTAGACATGAGGGCACAAATGCACTATTCAGTTCACATCTAACATGCAGCAACACTGGAAGCTTTTAACAGAGTCACACCGTCTCTTACTGAGCTATTTTGGTGCTCTTACTTTAGTATCTTTTACTGTTGTTTTATTATGTTTTATTCATTCTTTTTTAAATTTCATTCTATGTTTCTTTGTTTTTAGATTTTAACCTAAACCTCCAGTGTTTCCTTATCTTGAGTTTTAAAATGACGTTTCCTCAGTGCACACGTTCCTGTTTCCACAAAATCAAGCCCTTTTTAGGTTTATGCATTTTAATACTTTTTCTGGTTGTAGTTAGATCATGAGAGGTTGGACTGAGGTAGATTTGGGTATTCTTTGTTTCTTTTATTCTTTTTTCTGTGTAAAGCACTTTGTGCCACATGGTTGTCTATAAAAAGTGCCATATAAATAAAGACTGATTGATTGATTGATTGATTGATTGATTGATTGATTGATTGATTGATTGATTGATTGATTGATTGATTGATTGATTGATTGATTGATTGGCATGGCTTCACGCTGAGTATGAACAAAAAGTAGAAGGTGCACAGTTTAAGATTTATAATAAAGATCAGACACAGTGAGAAAAAAATAGAGGATGTGATACAGGTGATGGGAGTTTCCTCTGATGTGGCAGAGATTGATGAGCTGACATGAAAATATGGGGAAGGATTAGGGGTGTCATGTTAATGAGGGTTTTTCTTCAGTGTATCCTAGAGGGAGGGTTAAAGTGTGTGACTACAAATAAATCAGCTTATATAAAAATTGATCAGCATTTGCCCTAGAGTAAACTGCATATATCTGACGTATGAAGCTAAAAATACAAATACACACATTTCCCATGAGTATTTTGTAACATCATGATGAAATAATAGTCTTCACCATCTGTTTGCGATATTCATGCAGGAAAAAAATAAATGATAATATAACCTGGGTAAATGTCATAGTATAATAACATGTTTAAATAGCAGTGAATGTGCACACACAATGTCAGCCGTCTGTCATGATTAGTGCTCTGTGTCCGCTTGTGCAAATGCATGCGGGCTGAGTACTCACAGGACTGCAGGGCTCAGATAAGGAGCAGCCAGTGTGCTGTGGGTTAAGCCAGGCGGGATAAACCTCATCTGTATGTCCTGCCAGTGAGGAACAGGAGCTGTGAGAACCAGCAGCACCAGCTCACAAGCCTTCATGGTGCAAAGAGTGGATCAGAAACTCTTCTTGTTACCCCTGGTTTACCCAGACCTTCAGCAAATATTACGCCCAGGCTCAGACACTCTCAAACATGCATAAATTTATCTTGCTAATCTCCTGATTGAAATTGGCTGCATGCCGGGCTGAAATTTGGAGGAGAGTGCGTGCAGTGCATTGCAACAGCAGCTCTGATAACATAATAACTAACTTGTAAATCTTTGCCCTGGCACTGTCATGGTGTGGATCTATTGTTAATGTGCCTGTGCAGACACTAATTGCCCGGTAGCTAAATGGCTTTTCCAGTGTGTTGAAAACATAATCTAAACACAAGAATGCAGCGTATAGTAAGCAAAAACATTTCTGTGGGACTGAGCTGGATAACATACATCTGAGGGTTTACAGGAAATGGCAGATGCCTCCACTAAGAGTCAATGAGCCCTGACTTCCTCAGCATATTGAGATCCACTCAGGATTTGATGAGCTTTTGAAGGGCAAATATGCACCTTACCATCTGACTGCTGCTGCTGCTGCAAAGTGGGCCATAAGGTGGTTTGGCTGCCACTGAGCAAGCAAAGGAGGCCTGGTGGAACAGGAGAGTAGAGGAAATGATAAGGGATGGAGTGGGTAATGATGAAGAAAAGACATCTGTAGTACAGCTCACAGCCAAATGCATGGAGATTTAGTCAAAGGTGATGACTGGGGGCTGAGAGAGCAGAGTTATTCAGGTGTCTGTACCTATTGCTCTCAACAGATGAAGAACATTAGAGGTTTAAAACAAGGAAGACAGTCAACAACTTTGTCCCCTCCAAGGTTTTAAACTTGCTCTAACGATAGGCTGCAGCCTCCAGAACAAGATAACTACAAATACACACCCCTACAGGCCTGTGTGAGCATAATATCATGAAACAGCCACACATCCAAGTCCCAAATGCTGCAGAGAACAGGAAGAGGGGATTCATTTTCTCCTCTTTGAGCCCTGTGGGACACAACTTCAGTGAGATTGTGTTCTGCAGAGGTAAGGAGTAGGGAGGAAGTCAGCTAAGGGGCTAAAAACAGGAAAAGCCAACCATTTAGTCAGGAGCTCAGTGTGCAAAAGATATTCCAGTTTAACTTTGTGAAAGCAGCTCTGAATGAAGCCTGAATCTCTAGAACTAAAAGGAGACATAAAAAAAAATGCAAATAATTGATAACTGGTAATAAGTACTTTGTTGATTAAATGAACTTCTGCATACTCAGCAAACAGTGACTGATTCCTGAAGGATGCCTCCATTTTTACTAAGAGGGCAAAATGTGCCAAAAGATGGTTGTCATGAAGGGGATAATGACATGGACTTTGCTCAGAAACAAATAACATGAACAAAACTATAAGGTTTTTAACTATTTACATCCCTTCAGAACTGTCCTCCAAATACTCATAAGATGCTACACGCTTACTCTTGTCCATCCATTTGTTAAAATCTGATCAAATTACACTGTTACCGTCTTCCCACAACAACAGCAATTAAAACAATCTTACAAAAAGAGCTTCTAGATGTTGAATCTGCTACTCTGTGTTCTATTGTTAGTTTACTGTCTTTGTTCACTGTCTTATGCTGTCTGCAGATCAATCAATCAATTAATCTGTCATTATGAAGGGCTGATTTTTTGGAAGTGTCATCCCAAGTTGAACAAGAAAAAAAAAATAATAATAAAGCTGGTCTAGATCAGACTCCATTTACCAAAACAGACCCAATGTAAAGATGGGATCAGACTGAGTTCCATCCTGTGAGATCAGACCAACTTCCATCCACCTTCAACCACAAGAGTGAAACACTTGATAGCATTTATTAACAGACAGAAACCTCAAGCAGAACCAGACTGATGTTAAACTGTCATCTGCTTAGACTGAGCGGGGTTTAGAGAGGAGAGAGAGGGAGACGGAGAGAGTGTGTGAGAGAGAGAGAGATGGACAGAAGAGAGACTGATGCTTGTCAGCAGCTGTAAAGCAGCAGGTCCACAACAGTGATCCAGATGAACCTACAGGATGATAGAGCTCAGGGACTCCCAGAAAAGACTTAATTAGTGACTCTGATGGGGCATGATAATCCAAAGTTAATGACACAGAGAGAAAGAGACAAGAATCTGTGTGAATGCAACTAACAACGCAAATAATAATAACAATAATGATGAATTTTATCTTTAGTGCACTTCTTATTGAGGAAACAATCTCAAAGTGCTACAGACATTACAACAAGAAATTTAAAAGTCCATACTGAAAATCTAGCTAAAAGCTTTGTTAAAATCGTAGGTTTTTAAGCCTTTTTCTAAAAACGCCCACAGTTGTTGGTGCTCTCAGGTGGCCGAATTTTCACACTTTAACCAGGATCTGGGCAGCACAGTTCTGTTAATACAACTAATGTGGTCACAGTGAGACTTCAACAATACAACAATATTATGTAGTAACAAGGACACAATCTATTTCTGACAACTTAATACCTTTTTATATGATGTCTGTTTTTAATTTGGTATCTATAATTTGGTAAGAATGCCAATAACTGTCCTTCAACTTAACCAAACATGAATTCTGTAATGAAGTAACGGCAGAGAGCTGACGTTAACAGCTCATTTTACTACTTTACTACTGTGTTTGGACCTTTTTTTTACTATTAGACTAACGATGAGCTGAGTTGCTGTGATGTTTTGGGACTAGTGATTGTGAAGCATGATTTGGAGACTGACTGGAGACTGACTTCTTCTGGTGTATGGTCTGAGGCACTTAAGTGGAGTGGATGATGCTGTCCTCTTCATGCTTCACTGTGACCTGTCTCGTCTGGAGGAACCTGGGGTTTATGTGAGGATCATGTTCTTCAACTTTTCAAGTTCATTCAACACCATTCAAACCACCATACTCAAAGACAAGCTCACAGAGATGGAAGTGGATCCTTCCTGTATTCCTGGATCACAGATTACCTGACAGGAAGGCCACAGTTTGTCAGGCTGGGGAACTGTGTTTCTGGGACATTAATGAGCGGAACAGGGGCTCCACAAGGGACAGTGCTGGCTCCATTCCTGTTCACACTGTACACGTCAGACTTCAAATACAGCACTGAGTCCTGCCACATCCAGAGATACTCAGATGACACTGCTATCATGGCAAGTATCATAAATGAAAAAGAAGCTGAATACAGAGATCTGATAAGAGCCTTCAGTGACTGAGTTGCTGAGGAGGAGGCAGTTTTTGTGACAAAAGAAATGATCATAGACTTCTGCAGATCCTACCCTCTGTTTCTTTTCAAGAAAATGATCTGTGACCCTGTCGTGAAAGAAGAGAGTCTCCAAACACAATGCTAGTTGTCTTTAACAAAAGGTAGGAGTCTATGAGCGTTTGATAGGAGTCTATCTTGATGTGGCAATATTTGCCCACTGTTCTTTGAAAAACCGCTCCAAATCTGACAGATTGCGAGGCCATCTCCTTTGCACAGCCCTGCACAGCCCTCCTCAGATCACCCCACAAATGTTTGATGGGAAACAGGTCTGGGCTCTGGCTGGGCCATTCTAAAGTCTCAATCTTATCCCGGTGAAGCCATTCTTTTGTTGATTTAGATGTGTGCTTTGGGTCATTGTCATGCTGAAAGATGAAGTTCCTCTTCATCCTCAGCTTTCGGCAGAAGGCCGAAGGTTTTGTGCCAACACTGACTGGTATCTGGAACTGTTCATGATTCCCTCCACCCTGACTAAGGCACCAGTTCCAGCTGAAGAAAAACACCCCCAAAGCATGATGCTGCCACGACCATGCTTCACTGTAGGTATGGTGTTCTTTTGGTGATGAGCAGTGTTAATTTTGTGCCAAATATACCTTTTGCAATGATGCCAAAAAGTTCAACTTTCGCTTCATCAGACCATAACACATTTTCCCACATGCATTTGGGAGATCTCAGATGTCTTTTTGCAAAATTCAGCTGGGCTTTGATGTTTTTTCTTTGTAAGATAAGGCTTCTGTCTTCCCACCCTACCCCATAGCCCAGACTTATGAAGACAGCAGGAGATTGTTGTCTCATGTACTACACAGCCAGCACTTGCCAGAAATTCCTGCAGCTCCTTCAGTGTTGCTGTCGGCTTCTTGGTAGCCTCCCTGACCCGTTTTCTTCTTGTCTTATCATCAATTTTGGACGTTCTGTTCTTGGTAATATCACTGTTGTGCCATATTTTCTCCACTTGATGATGACGGTCTTTACTGTGTTCCATGGTATATTTAATTCCTTAAAAATTCTTTTGTAGCCCTTACCTGACTGATATCTTTGAACAATGAGATCGCTCTGATGCTTTGGAAGCTCTCTGCGGACCATGGCTCGTGCTGGAAGATGTGGCTACAAAAATGTTAGGAAAAGCCTACTAGAACAGCTGAACTTTATCTGGGGTTGATCAGAGGCACTTTAATTGGTGACAGGTGTGTGCTGACTCCAATTTAACCTGAATTGGTTAAATGAACACAGCCACATCCCCAGTTATTAAAGGGTGTGCACACTTATGCAACCACATGATCTCAGTTGTTTATTTTTACTTCACCGCCCTGAAAGATTTCTGTTTGTTTTTCAGTTGTGTTGTACAGGTTATAGGTCACATTAAAGGTGGAAGAAGTTGTGAAATTATTTATCTTGATTTAATTTTTTTACATCACAAAATCCTGGCAGTTGAACAGGGGTGTGTAGATTTTTATATCCACTGTAGGTGTACATCTGGATAAAGTTTGACTGGTCTAAGAACATCCATCAACAGAAAGGGGCAGAGCCGGCTCTTTTGCCTGAGAAGACTCCAATCAACAGACATCTGTAGTAATATGCTGCAGTTGTCAGTCTGTGGTGGCAAGTCTGTTTAGTATCAAACACAAAGATGTGAGACATCCAAACAAACTGGTGAAAAAAGCTGGCTCTGGCTCTACACTGAGAAAGGTGGAGACTATTCTAAAGAACAATCATTACCCACTTCATTATTGTATCGTATATCTTATTCTTAGCTTACTGTTTTTTAATAGCTGTTAAATGTCCATTGGACATAGGAGGTCATTCAGAGCTTATGCCAGGTGGTTGATGTGGCTGGTATTCTGTGAATGCACCTTGTTAAATGCAGTAAGCTGTATATTCTATGGTATAGATTTCAGCAAAGTCCCAAATCCCCTCGAGGCTTTTTAATAATTCCGGTACCCGGGTTATTCAAGGGGACAGTTCAGCCCTAGACCAGATGCAGATACAGAAAGCAATGTCCCAGCTTACTCCTGTTACCTACTGCTCACTTTCTCTGAGTCATAGAGTGCTCATTATACAAAGCAATACTCTAGCAGCAGCAATTTGCACGCCATATTAACAGAGTGTTCACTGTGGCTGTTAATGGGTCACTAAACCATTGTGGAAAAGCTGATTGTTGCATGTGGAAAGGTATGAAATATTCAAACATAGATCAGTCCAAAGATTTGCATTGTCCTAGCAGCTAACAGGAGTTCATGCAGGTCCAGTGGTGAATGCTCATTCTCTTTCTCTACTATTCAAGCCCCCACAGTAACACTGAAATAAAAGAGATGGAAAAACTGGCACCATCTTTGAGTCCTGAATCCAGTTTTTATGAGTACAGATGAATTCTGCTGTTCATATGTTAAGAAGTGAACTTAACAAGATCAGGTAGGAAGCTTTTATTGTTGTTTTCCTTTGTTGCATGAACCAGTTCTTTGTTTTCCCATTCAAGGCTTTAAGATGAAGTTAATAAATTGGTTTAAATGGAAGATTTGCTCAGAGATTAATACAAAATAACACCTTCATTAGAGGGAGTCCTGAGGACTGAAGAGAGGAGAGTTTGGTTAAAAGTTAGATAAAATGTAAGATATAAAAACACAACCACTGAACTCCCTCCGCCTCAGGACTTAAACTTTCTATCACTGTGACAATAAAGTGACTGGTTAAATGAAGTATAATGATCACCATTAAATCAGGGATCTTAACTTTTCAAAGGCTGGTAATTTTTTATATCAGCCTTTCTCAAAGTGGGGTGCTGTCTGACTGTGTCAGGGGTGCAGTCGTAAAAAGACCTACTCTGACATTTCATATATAAATATATGAGTAAATGCATAAATACAATCTTTTTACGTATATGCCTGAATAAATAAATGAGTAAATTCGTTTAAGATAAATAAAGCATTAAATGGATCATCAGAATCTGTTCCACATGCCCATTGTCAATAACATGTCACAAAGTCAATTGCCCAGCCCACCGGGGTCAGTGCAAGGTCTGACTGCACAGCATATCCTTTTTTTTTTCATTTAACCATGAAAATACTTTTGATCTCACAAAGAGCAAGGAACAAGCAGCAGCATCATTGATTGTTTTTGAAGAAGAAAATGAATGCATAAAAGCTGTTAAAGACTGACATGTCTTAACAGAAGTAGAGGATCAGGCAGTTCCCAAACTGATGCAGACACTTTGAACTTTGCCTCCATCTTTAGGGCTGTCAAAATTATGTATCCATATGCAGTTATCCATAATCATCCTTATGCAATCAGTCAATAAGTGATCCATCCCCTCTCCCTTTACCTCTCTCTACCTGACATGAGTAGGATCTCTGCAGAACACACATACAGTACAGGCCAAAAGTTTGGACACACCTTCTCATTCAATGAATTTTCTTTATTATCATTACTATTTAAATTGTAGATTCTCACTGAGGGCATCAAAACTATGAATAAACACATGTGGAATCATGTGTGTAAGAAAAAAGTGCGAAGTAACTGAAAACATGTTTTATATTTCAGATATAGATATGATTTAGATGTAGCAACCCTTTGCTTTTTTGATAGCACTGCAAACTTTTGCTGTTCTCTCAATGTGCTTCATGAGGTAATCACCTGAAATGGTTTTTACTTCACAGGTGTGCCTTGTCAGGGTTACTTCGTGACTGACACAACTTTTCAGTCACTCCTAAATCCTTCTTTATCAACAATTACTGTCCTCGACATGACCTGCCTGAGAACTGAACAGTGTGGGCAAAACTAAACTATGAATCAATAAATCATTATCAATGCAGCAGTTAATGCAGCAAACACATGAGAGAGACAAACACAGGGGGGAGGGAGGGCAGCAAGCAGCAGGTCAGAGGAGCAGGTATATTTGCATGTTGGAGACCGGAGGCTTGAGGGGATCAGGTAAAGAACCAAGCAACAATGAATATGCCCTCGCACCTCTACACAAAATCAAAATCAGTCCCACTGCCATGACCACACCCTTTGACAAAAACTTAATATGTTGATAATTTCAGATTTGTAATGTGTCTACAATACACTGTATGGAAGCAATTGTGACTCATATCTCAAATTCAAAAGCATTAGCAGAAATGCTTTTTCATTTCAAAGTCATGGCTGCACTAATTGACTCAAAAATAAAAATCAAAAGCAATATTCCATAATGCATTTTCATTTTCTTCTTCAATACTGCTCATTTTGTGACTGAATTAAAAAGCAAAACCAAACTCTGAAATGCTTTTTCGTTTTCATGCTCGCCCCGCAAAAAGTGTCTCATAATTCAATCTGATTCGCAATCTCAAGTGGCGCAGGAAAGTGACGTCACAGACCCCACTCGTTCTGGCCCCTTCTGGCCGATAGGGGGGAGAACGAGTGGGGTCCGTGTTAACCTGTGACTGTATGCAGATGTCAGCGGTGTGTCAGATGTGCTGGTCCTTTTACTCACTCACTTACAGCATGGAGACGTGGACTCTACACATTTTATCTAACTAACCTGTGACAACCTGTACTGTAATACAGAGGAGCACACCCAAGTTTGACAAGGTGCCGACTAAGGATCATTTGAACAAGAACAATAAAGAAAGTTGCACACTCTTATCTCCTCTACTGTTTTATTACCTTACGGTTTCAGATACTGTACCCCTGAAATAAACTTTGCAACAACATACACAAAATTCAACATCGAGGCATGCTGCTGCAGTGTTCGAGCTGTGAGCTGCACAGAAGCAAGCTAACAGCATACAGTACAGGTGCTCCTCAACAAATAAGAATAAATATATTCTCATTTATTGAGATGGGATACTTTAATACATTGTGCAACAGAAGCCTGCAGATGACTTTGAAATTAGAATATTTTAGTCCACTGAAGATAATATGTGGAGAGTCCACGTCTCCATGCTGTAAGTGAGTGAGTAAAAGGACCAGCACACCTGACACACCGCTGACATCTGCATACAGTCACAGGTTAACACTGACAGAGACTGCAGTGATTCTGCCTCTGTGCCATGTATTTTTAAGGCATCTCTATGACCATTTTGTCTGTTTCTCACTGTTTATGGCCCTTTATTTGCAAAATACCCCAAATCCATCGATCAGTAATGAGAACAATAAAGAGTATAAAGTCCGTTAGTCAATTGAAATAGCCGCGATCCACGGTTTGATTTCATTCACGCTGACTGCGATCAGTACGAGTGGTGACAGCGGACGCTTTTCCACATTAAAGAGGGAAATATTTGTAATATATCTTCATTAACACCAAGTGTTTCGTTTCTACTTATTTGAAGCGTGGATAATAGTTGTGGAGACGTCCACACAAACATTGAATACAACCAACAAGCGAGGTGTACAGGCTGTGTTAATTACATTGAATATCAATTGAACGAATGGTACATGGATTCACTGCCCCCTATCGGCCAGAAGGGGCCAGAACGAGTGGGGTCCGTGACGTCACTTTCCTGCGCCACTTGAGATTGCAAATCAGATTGAATTATGAGACACTTTTTGCGGGGCGAGCACGAAAACGACAAAGCATTTCTGAGTTTGGTTTTGCTTTTTAATTTAGTCACAAAATGAGCAGTCTTGAAGAAGAAAATGAAAATGCATTTTGGAATATTGCTTTTGATTTTTATTTTTGAGGCAAATAGTGCATACATGACTTTGAAATGAAAAAGCATTTCTGCTAATGCTTTTAAATTTTCAAATTTGACATTTCAAATTGAATTTTGTTACCTTTTTGCTGGTGAATGTTTTGAAAATTAAATGTTAAATGTGATTTGCTTTTGCTTTTTAATTTAGTCACAAAATGAGCAGTCTTGAAGAAGAAAATGAAATTGCATTTTGGAATATTGCTTTTGATTTTTATTTGTGACTCAAATCGTGCAGCCATGACTTTGACATGAAAAAGCATTTCTGCTAATGCTTTTGAATTTGAGATATGAGTCACAATCGCTTCCATAACACTGTGCCAATTTGGAGTTGATCATAATAATAATACATTTTATTTATTAGGGCACCTTTCAAGGCACTCAAGGTCGCTTACTGTATAGATAAAACAATACAGAACATTATAATAGAATATAATATGATATATGATATACATATTTAAAAAAATAATTAAAATAAGATTAAAAGTACATTAAAACCAAACACAATAGAACAAAGTAAAACTATGTGGAGGAGGTCAGACAGGTACGGAGGGGCAAGGTTGTGAATGGTCTTGAAGGTGAGCAGTAGAATCTTGTATTGGATGTGGTGTGAGATTGGGAGCCAGTGGAGCTGCTGGAGGATTGGTGTGATGTGGTGACTGGATGGGGTCCTTGTGATAATACAGGCTACTGAATTCTGTACTAGTTGTAGTTGCAGTAGTTGAGTCGGAAAGTGATGAGACTGTGGACCAGGATGGCAGCTGTGTGAGGTGTGAGAGAGGGGCAGAGGTGGTTGATGTTGTGAAGATTTAGGTAGGCTTAGCGGGTTATGTGGCTGATATGTGGGGTGTATGAGAGTGTGCTGTCGAGGGGGACACCCAGACTATTTACCTGGGAGGATGGAGAGATGTTGGAATCATCTATGGATATTGTGAAACTAGGAGATTTGGATGGGCTGGTTTTTGTGCTATGAGTAAGATTTCTGTTTTGTTGCTGTTCAGTTTAAGGAAGTCGGATGAAAACCAGGGTTTTATTTCAGGAGGCAGTCAGTGAGGAAGGAGGGAGGGAGGGTGGACTCAGGTTCAGTGGAGATATGGAGCTGGGTGTCATCCGCGTAGCAGTGGAAGTTTATGTGATGTTTCTGGAAAACGTAACCAGGGGGGATTAGGTAAAAGATTAAATTGATCAGGATTTGCTGCTTCCAATATTAACCCTTTTATACTACCTCCTCAAAACACAAGGATGCAAGACATCTGAACAAACTGGTGAAAAAGGCTGGCTCCATGGTTGGACTCACTGGAGGATGTGGTGGAGAGATCTACACTGAAGAAGGTGGAGACTGTTCTAAAAAACATGGATCACCTACTTCACAACACCTTAATGGACCAAAGGACCAAGGATGGTGGACAATCTTTTGTACCCACAGCCATCAGACTTTACAGCTCTTCTATAAATAGTAGATGACTTTTTGAGACATGACAAATGAGACGACAATTGAATTTCCCATTGGGGATCAATAAAGTTTAAAATGTTCACTTGAACATTTTAAGTGGAGCCGAAGAGCAATTATTAGCAAAGTTTTTGCACAAGGCCCTTCAAATATCTAGATGTAAAATGTCTGACCCGTGTGCAAAATAAAGTGAGTTTCATGGCATGTTCAAGCCTCAAACAAGCAATTGATTCAGCGAAAAAAAATAAAAATAAAATAAAAATGCTGTGCCCTCTGTGCTCAGGCCCTCATAAAGTGCAAATATTATTAGGATGTGATAAAGAATCATTCAGAAATAGGATAGTAATGTATAATAATGCAGCCCAAGTAATTTCACTTATGATTTGGTGCTCTCCAGGAACATGATCCATACACTGTAAGTGATTAATACTGAGCCTGTAATTAACCAGATTATTTCCCTTAATTGCCCCAGGGCACTTCTTCCCAGCTTTTTGCAGTTTGTGCTGTTTCCCCAGTGACATCTTTTGCATAGAAATTACTCTGGTTATTAGACAGCTGGTTCTTTCAAGATGAAATTCTGTGAGATTCTGCAAGTGTTGCATTTACCAAAAGTGCTGTATGAAGAGATTTTGTTTATCCAAGGGACTGTCTATTTACTCCCTCTGCAGCTGGGATAAACCTGGTGGATTCTGTGAATTAAAATCAAACAAACAAATCTGACCCACTTTCAGTTGAACTGTAATGAAAAAAAAGTGGAGTTAAGCCACGTAGACGCTTTGAGCAAAAAGATATATAAACAGAGTTAACACTTTGGGGGAGGGCCTGCCAGTAATAGACTGGAGGCATAGACGTCTACACTAGAGATAGAAGGCGCATTATAAGGATTCAAACTCAGATAATGTAGAAGATCTTCCTGTTTGTGCGCTTGGATGTAAACACTGATAACTTGGAAGTCAGTATAATGGCATAATCATATGTCCATTAGCCTTCGAGGTAAAACTCTATAACACAAACTAAGTCTTTGTTTTGACATAATCCTTATGTGCTTCATCATACCCTCATCCTCCCTTTATGTCTCATTCATATAGACAGAATTGATTGAAGAAGCTTATTTGGTGAGGTGGAGTGATAAAAAGTGCTGTAGATGCTGATTGACAAAGAAATTATTCAAATAAGTTGGCTAAAAGGCTTCACATTCTCCCAGATAGAGAAGACAAAAACACTGAAATTTGTCATATAAGGTTATTTTTCATCTTGACCTGGGTGTGACATTACAAGGAGATGTCCACTGTGGGACTATGGTGGAAAAGAACTTGGTTAGCATTAAAAACACTGGTAACAGACCATTTGGCTTTGTGACAGGTTTGTTGGTTTTGGACATTTAAAGCCTATGAACCCCTTCATAAAAGTTTATAGGGCTTTAAGGTGCAGTGCGACAATCCTCCTGTTTTAAAATCAAAGCCACAGCTGACAGTATTCCTGCTGTTTAAGCTGATATTGACACACAATCCTGTTAGCTACACTCTCTTAATCATGTTGTTGTGACTCACTTCAAGCTCTGCATTAGCTGGTTTGTGTTTTTGACTCTGCGTACCTTTCTGAAAGCACACAGGAGCGGATAAGTGCTTCGTGCTGTTGTTATCAGCCTGCTGTTTCCTCAGCAGAACATGCTATGCTCTCCTGTGTGTGTGTGTTCTCAGAGTATTTACAACCCATGTATTAATAGCCTGTCGCTTCTTTCCCTGACAGACCTGACTGAGCGACGCTGGAGGAGAAAGAACAGACCAGAGGAACCTGCTGGAGACAGTCCAAACAGATCCCCTCACCACAGCTGTGATGGTGGATGAGGACATTTGAGACTTCTTTTGTATTTGAAGTCAGACCCGAAAGTTTTGTTGGACTTTCTGAGAAGCTGTCAAAGACTCTGTACAGAAAAAAAGACACTTAATTCTACCCTAAACTGTAGTATGATGCTCTTATGTACCGTCAGTCCACCTCACAAAGCATCCTGTCACGTTCAGGTGTGAGGGACTGCTGTTCAAACAGACAGTCTTAGATGGAGAAAAGATAACATCATTAAAGCTTTAAGGGTTTGATTCAAAAGCTAAGGAGGAATGATGTAATGTGACTAAAGCTGAAAAAATAATATGTCTGTGGTTTGTTCATATTTGAAAAAAAAGAAGTAATTGCATGAAAAATTAAAGTTTTATTCTGTGACCTGCTTTGCAGGATGTAGTTCAGGGCTCAGAAAAAACAACAACCACCTCAGTCAATACGTTTACATGATTTTAAAACAGCTGAGTTATTTCATTTGCTGGATTTAAATTGAACCTTTACATGTTAGCCAGACTAAGACTGCACTGTGTTGAATCCCTCAAATTTGGAGTAACATACCTGGATAATGCAGTTGGGGATCAATCATGTCTTACATTTAGAAAACCCCTAAACACTCTGCGCATGCTCCACAGTATGCACAACAGGCTTTGACCTGAAAGATGAACTGTGTAAATGTTTGAGGAAAAAGGTAGAACACAAAACTTTTACAGAAGATGACAAGAGATGAAGCTGTTGTACCATAGGGACGAAAGGTACAGAGCTGTAAAATAGCTAATGTTTTTACCATTTGACATGCAACCACTTAGCTTCCTGCTAATTTGTTTGTTGATTGTTTTGGCATGGGAGACATTCTCATTCATGGTTTTCATGTGGCATCACACAGCAATCATGGCGCCATCAAGGACAGACCCGGGGCTGAGCATCAGCGATTCACTATTCTGTGTATTACAGAGTACCAGGGTCATAAAGAGGATTTTTAAGTTTTAATGGCTCCAGTGAGTAACTGTCGGCTTGTGTCAATTTTAGCAGCCCCTGTGGACAGAGGGGAACATCCAATCTCTTTACCAATCTTTCTCTATTCAAGCAAAGGTAGTGTTTAATGAAAGAGCATGCCATCCTGCTTTTTTATTGTCAAATGGACCTCTCATTGGGCATTTCTTCAATTTGTCATCTTGTCTGGGACTCATCCCCTTAGAAAATTATAATATTAACATTGTAGAGGAACATCACTGTTAATTTAAGTGTGTTTCATTGCCTTTTCAAAACTCTTCATGGTAGCTTTATTGTATCCACAATCCTCTGTCATAGCTGTGGGCTGCAGCAACAGTAAATCAAAAAAAGACCTGACTGGCCCTTTAAACTTTGATGTATTTGTACATTTTTCTTGCAGACCTTCCCTAAGCAGCCTCATGTTGTGTTTACACCAAATATCAAAAGATCACTTGGGTTAGTGACATACACTCACCGGCCACTTTATTAGGTACACTATGCTAGTAACGGGTTGGACCCCCTTTTGCCTTCAGAACTGCCTCAATTCTTCGTGGCATAGATTCGACAAGGTGCTGGAAGCATTCCTCAGAGAGCTTGGTCCATATTGACATGATGGCATCACACAGTTGCCGCAGATTTGTCGGCTGCATATCCATGATGCGAATCTCCCGTTCCACCACATCCCAAAGATGCTCTATTGGATTGAGATCTGGTGACTGTGGAGGCCATTTGAGTACAGTGAACTCATTGTCATGTTCAAGAAACCAGTCTGAGATGATTCCAGCTTTATGACATGGCGCATTATCCTGCTGAAAGTAGCCATCAGAAGTTGGGTACATTGTGGTCATGAAGGGATGGACATGGTCAGCAACAATACTCAGGTAGGCTGTGGCGTTGCAACGATGCTCAATTGGTACCAAGGGGCCCAAAGAGTGCCAAGAAAATATTCCCCACACCATGACACCACCACCACCAGCCTGAACCGTTGATACAAGGCAGGATGGATCCTTGCTTTCATGTTGTTGACGCCAAATTCTGACCCTACCATCCGAATGTCGCAGCAGAAATTGAGACTCATCAGACCAGGCAACGTTTTTCCAATCTTTTATTGTCCAATTTCGATGAGCTTGTGCAAATTGTAGCCTCAGTTTCCTGTTCTTAGCTGAAAGGAGTGGCACCCGGCGTGGTCTTCTGCTGCTGTAGCCCATCTGCCTCAAAGTTCGACGTACTGTGCGTTCAGAGATGCTCTTCTGCCTACCTTGGTTGTAACGGGTGGTTATTTGAGTCACTGTTGCCTTTCTATCAGCTCGAACCAGTCTGGCCATTCTCCTCTGACCTCTGGCATCAACAAGGCATTTCCGCCCACAGAACTGCCGCTCACTGGATATTTTTTCTTTTTGGACCATTCTCTGTAAACCCTAGAGATGGTTGTGTGTGAAAATCCCAGTAGATCAGCAGTTTCTGAAATACTCAGACCAGCCCTTCTGGCACCAACAACCATGCCACGTTCAAAGTCACTCAAATCACCTTTCTTCACCATACTGATGCTCGGTTTGAACTGCAGGAGATTGTCTTGACCATGTCTACATGCCTAAATGCACTAAGTTGCCACCATGTGATTGGCTGATTAGAAATTAAGTGTTAACGAGCAGTTGGACAGGTGTACCTAATAAAGTGGCCGGTGAGTGTATATGTCAAGTCAATGTTAAGACACAGATGTGAATTCTTGTCACGCAATACGAATGATGGGGGGACGGGCATTGGACGGATTATATGCACAAATATGGTGATCCAACTCTTTACTCACTTCATTCCCGTTTTCACCAGAGTTGAAAAATCTGAACACAAGTGAATCCTGTGTACCACAATAGCCAATCAGCACGAAGATTGCCTGGTGAGGTATGTCAATATGAGCTGGTGATGGAGCTCTCCGAGAGGAAAGTGAGTGAGGACACAACAAAACACAACAAAACCTCTAAATATGGTCGGCCTCCACCATGTTTGATGTGAACAGACTGAAGAAGGAAACCCCTCCCGTCTTACATTTTTTCATGTTTAGGCACTCCTGCAGAAAAAACATGGCACGCAATAGAGTAAGTCATTTGGAGTGAGCCAAATGCAGGCATCAAAGGTAAAGCAAATTAATGGTAGTATTTTTAAATGCATTGCTCGCTGTATGAACTCACATTTGGTTAACAAACTAACAGTCTTGTAGGTTTACATATATTATTGCCAATGAACCTGAATCCCAATCAAATAGAAGATCTGACCTGTAGTATGATTGCAGTTTAATCCCGACACATCCTTTCTGTGCCGAAGATTTCATTAGATCTCATGAGGCTACAGTCATCAGCAACATGATATTTGAATGTTTGACTGAACTCCAAGGTCTTAGCCTGACTATATCATCCATCTAACAGGGAAATAAGGGGCAAACAGTGAAGTAAAGTAAAGTAAAGGTTTATTTGTATAGCGCTTTTTGCAGTACAGGTACTCAAAGTGCTTCACAGTATAAACCATAAAAACATCATAAAACAGAGTCATTCAGTATAAAGTCCAGCAGGTCCATCTTGTAAAATTCCTATTCCTGTTCAACGGCTGACCTGATCAGTCCTGGTGAACGTGGCGGTAGCTACAAGTGTGTTTAGTTGTGGTAAGCCTGTCAACAGTGATGCTCTGTGCTGGTCTGATCTTTGGAAAGGCAAGAGAGGCAAAACTTAATGTGGATTGTTGGTAAAGAGGTTTGTGGTGAATGGACTCACAATATCTTGGTTTTAATTCCAAGTGATACAAATGCTTTTAGACTGAAAATAGTGAGGCTATTAACTAACATCCAGTGACTGTTGAGCTGTCTCCTGGGTGGCCTACTATGTCGTATGTTTGTCATTATGATTAGGCAGGGATGGACAAGCCATATTCTGCTTACCCCACACAAGATGAGGTCTATGGATGAAAACTCCCCATAATATGGACAAATGAATCATTCTGTATGTCTAAAGACTATTTTTATAGGGCAACCTTGTCCTTTTCAAGTGGGCCATATGAGGTACTTATCAGTGGGGTGTTTTTGCCCCAGGGGAAGTCAGTCTGGTTTATCAGTCCATTGATTGGTCGGGCCAATTATTGGCATTTTTAGATAATTTAATCAGTTTATCAAAAATCTATCTGCATGTTCCCAGCGAATATAACCATGTGAATTTGATTTTAATGTGTATGGACTATCAGATTTATGTTTTTTTTTTTTTGTTGTTGTTTTTTTTTATCTGTGGATCAGCAGACAGCAGCTTCTATCAGTCACCGCAGATAGGGTCATCTCTCCCTGGTAATTTAGCTCATAGGAAACTCCAAACAAAGTGCTGTTCATATTATATCTTAGTGTGTGCTTTGTTTGAAATGTTCACCTTGTCAGAGAGTCTGTTTGAGTCCCAGACTTATGTTGACAAGTACTTCATACAGTTACACCATAAAAAACTTCTCCAGTACAAACTTGATGTTCATCTGACTGATTGAAAAAATTGGTTGATGGTATGTTGAGAGTAAAATTAAGATTTGCGTTTATTGGGCAAAACAAATCACCAAATTAGAGTCAACACAAAACTTGAAAAGGTATCCTGGGCTTTCATTCATGTCTGTCAGTGAACTGTCCCTGCCTATAGGCCTCAATAAAAGACAGAACTTAAAGAATTTTTTCATGAATTTTTCCACGGCTCAAAACTGAAAACTACTAAATACTTGTTGTTTATTTAGAGCCTCTTCAGACAGAAAAGTAGTTGTGGAGGTGAAACCCACCAAACCACTCACTGATCCCTTCATCTTCAGCCTGCTGCTCTCAGACACCCTGAGATGCCGCCTGCACACTCTGCACTCTGCATCCACTCTAGCTCTGGCTCATGACAAACTTTCTTCTGTCCACCCTTACCTTCATATTGTATAATATGTATTGTGCAGATCTGTCCTCTATTTGAATTTATTTAACTGAGCATGTAGCGGCACCTGGCTAGACTAAGAGTCTCAGGGTTTGATTGAGACCACATTAAAATTTTTAATTGTATATTGTTGGGTGTCCATGCAAAAGTTATGCCTAAGTGTGCAATAGCATTTCTGTTTGTTTCATTCTGATAGGCACTGAACACACAGGCAAATAGGTAAGTCATTCATGTTGCAAGTATTGTGTGCGCCGAAGATATATCCTCTGGATATATCCTCTGGATATGTAATTTAAAGATACATACATATAATATTATAAGGCTGTGTAAATAGCCAGATGGCTGAAAAAAGGAAAATGAGTTTGAGTGTGATATGGCTCTCAGGAAGGTCAGAAACTATGTAAATAGTTATAGGAATACAAATACAAAGGAAAGACTCAAAGTGATGCTCACTGTTACATATTTAAAACACAGTAAACAATATGAATAATACTATTGGATAAATGTGTTTTTCTGGCTCTTGGAGACCAGAAAGTATGATATGACTATGAAAAAAAAGAAAAATCCAAGCTATCTACACTTATTCAGTTTAAAACTATTTACATGTGTGAGGTCAGCTAGTCTGACAAAGAGTAAGCACAGGTCTACAGACACGTATTAAACTAAAATAAACAGGATCACTTTTGAAACTGTTGGCTGTGATGTCTATGTCAGGCACAGAATGAATAAATAAATTCAGTGTCTCACTACTACTGCTTCTACTGCCTCTACCAATTCCCATTGGAATTTTGGGGGTCAGCTGATTGATGAATGATTGCAGACACCGCCTCTGTTTGGATCTAACTGTGTAGATAACAACTCACAAAAGGGCGTTGATACTGAACCAGCAAATATTGTGTTTTTGGTGTTTTTGCTGATAAAGTCAAATTGATTTTTTTCATTGATCAGAGGGTTTAGAGATGTGAGTAATTCTCCCTTGTCTCCTTATATCATAACACTGCTCTCTGTAAGGGCACTTAGGGACACCGTCACCTTCAAGACCTCAGCCCTTAAGACCCAAATGCTGCAGCCTGAGGTGTCACCAAGCGTCATTGTGCATCTTTTTTCAACAAGAATTCACACATCCTTACACACAATAAGGATATTTCTGGTTGAAATTGACTTAAGTCGATTTCAGTGAAGAGGCTGAAATCTGCTGTGTAAATAGCAGACATGCTGATTGGTCTGATTCATTTGTATTTGAATGTTTATAGGTCAGCTCATGTCATTTTCAACAGAGACTCAAAAGCATTCAGATTCATGTATGTTTGGTTTTTGAACTTAATTAATTTTCCCATTCTCCTCCTGTATATATCACAGTTTGTTTAGCCCTCGACAACCTTTGAACTTTGCACTGATATTTGAGAAATAAACTAAAAACACTAATCTTCAATGAATATTTGGCTCAGAAAAACATTTTTTATCCTCTATCAACAATGAATGCTGATGTTTTTCATATGTTGTACAGTTCATATTGTATAAAGTACATTTCTTTTGCATGTCTGTACTGTTATTGGATGCTGCTGTGTAACATTTGTATTTATCACAAAAAGACATCGGAAGCCAAAGTGCTGATGTGTTTTTTTTTTTTTTTTTTTTTTAATTTAATCTGTGGGGCTCCTCCGATGCTAATGTTATCATCCTGTGCCAGTTGAGATCACAAAGGTGTGTTAAAGCAGAGAGTGTGTGTCCCAGGTAGGAATTGGTTTGCTACATCTCTATTGATTTAACTCCAAAAGCAGCTGGATACATGCAGGCTGAAAACACTGCCTGGCTGATGCATAATGCAGCAAACTATCCTCACTGAAAATATTGTTCCTCCATCTGGGAGGTTTCAAACGCAGGAGCCCAGAAAATGTGAGAGATTTGTTCACACATCTCTCTCTGGAATCAGGAGAGTTTTTTTATTTGAAGCGCTATTTCTTTGTACCTGTGTACTCTTGAGTAATCAGCATTGGGTTGTGTACACTCTGGTGGAGCCTGAATTCATACCGTGTCACATCTCACAAATAAACCAATTTACTGGCAGCAGATAGAAGTGTCTGTCAGCCAAAAGCATGAAAATGTTTGGTAGTTTGCCGTCCCCTTTGACTGAGCCGTAGATTGGACTACAAGAAAAAGGAAATGACAACAATAACATGAATAGTAGAGCTAGCCCCTGATGTTATAAGTAAGCTAAAGTGAGTGTCACAGCTGTCAAAGCTTGCTTGAAATTAGGATTTGAATTGTTCACCTCCTAGTCTAATAATAAAAAATTGCATTGTCATGGCTAATCAGTAAAAGCCTTGTCATCTGCACCTGCTGCAGAGGGATCCCAAGTTTCAAACAGAGCAGGACTCAACAGTCTGTGATGAACCCTAATGAGCTTAATTCAATGTGTAAAACTCAAGACATGTGACATCAGTGTTAGTCTCATTCATCATCCATGATTATTTAAAAAAAAATCACTATATGGTTGCATTGTGGTTTATGGGTTTTCAAAGTTCATTATCTGCAGATCTTTCCCTTATTCTTTTTCTGTTCACTCATTTTTAAAACCTTTTAACCAATAACATTTCTGTCTGTGTTACATCACACCAACCAATGAGAAGAACAGGTAACATCAGCAGGTGAGGCACACAGATATACCCAAATGTAAGCCCACCCTGAGGATCAGGACAGACTTTGAAGACCAGAACTTGTTTGATAGAGGAAGAAAAGTCTTTGTAGACCCCCTCATCCTGGTCTACCATCCTCTAGGCTTGCTTTCTGAGCCACACTGCCTCTCTTATCCATGGTTGATGTCTGTTACGCTATCAAAGGGAAAACTACTCTTTCTCTGGTGCACCCTGAGTTTAACTTTCTTGGTCTAGATCTGCTGCTAATGCCAGAACACAATCAATTTGCATGGTTTATGACTTTTTCTTTATAAGACAGACTTAGCAGTCACTTTCAAGGCTTTGGAAACAGTACCTGTGGGTAACAAGTACACTTAAATCAAGGCCTGCCATGCAAATGACATCAGTGGGCACAGGCCCTAAGGGTCAGAGAAAAATCACCTCACACAGCCCATGAAAGTTTCCCTATGAGAACATTTGTGTTAATTAAATTTGATTAAACTTGCTCTGTGAATTCAATCCCCACAGGTATGTCAGCAAACCAAACACTGTCATGTCTGATTTCACAATACAGAGTGAGACTGAGAGCAGGAGGCTGCAGCACAGAGCTACAGAGCTCTCTCTTGACTCTATGCACTTGGCATGCTTCGCCCTCTTTTTTTTTAATAGCTGAATTCCATCTGTATGAGGAC